GATCAGCCAACACAATGGAACTTCAAAATTTAGCATAAATAACAAGTTTTGGACGAAAAATCAGGACATGCAGCTTATAAATCTCACCACTTCCCACTGCAGATATCACAAGTTTCAGATCAAATTACTCAAGGCTTTAAACCATACATTAAAAGTGAACATACGAACATCACCTTTAAGAGAACAAGTTCAGATGTCAATCCTGAGCGGAAATACATAGACGGAGATGTCCAGACCCCTGAAGAAGATATTTACGCTTTGATACCAAGTGTTATTGAATCCCTGAGGTCAATGAAACGTTTAGAAGATTTTAAATCTACTTTAATTGCTGTTATAAACGGACACCTGTTCAACGATATAGCCTTCCATTTACTCTAAGATGTTGGCATTTTTTTTTCTCATAACACTAGGTATAGTGGAGACCATACTTTTTTGGCTAACAATTCGGAAATTATTTAAAGGAGAAGGTATCAATTTTGCCCGCGGCTAAAGGGCCAAGGACTCAACAGTGAACAATCTATAAAGCCAGAAGAATGTAAGATAAATTTCGCCGTACCATCAGATCTTGTTTTATGTAAACACTCTGCAAAGTATACTTTGGATGCTGCTAACCTCTATTACAGGACCTACCTATTGTATTTATTGTTAATTTGTTCTTGTCCAGAACATGCATGAAGTATTTGCCAGTTGACGTAAAGCAACCAACAATCAATCAATTTATAGAAAAAACTGCAGTAACTGTTACAAGAAATGACAGTATTTTAATATAACAAAAAAAGTATGTAAGCATGAGCTATGTAAAGAAAAAAGGCGAAAGATACCAAAGGGATATTCAAATTCACAATCGAAAACAATCTGACAATGCCCTGACAAAAAATGAGAAACGATCAAAACACAAACAGTTTACAAAACACAACATACAAATCTAAAAACTGAGAAAACGGAATCCACCAATAACCGGGGGTGATCTCAAGTGATCCGGAAGGGTAAGTAGATCCTGCTCTATATGTGTCACCTAAGATGTAAGGTTTCTTGATATTATAATGTCTCTTTAGGTTTTTTCTCTGACTATATAAGGACTTTTCATATCAGATTAAAGTCCTCACTATGATTACGAACTTTCGGTTGTCTGGAAATTGTTATGATGTGTTTCCATGCATTATTATGATCAAATGTGAGCCAAAATTTGTTCCTCTGAAAAAAATTCCAGTGGAACAAATATCACAGGAAATATGTTCTGGGAGAACTTTTTTCACAGATGATTTCTATATAATTTGTTCCATCTCTATAAAATAAGTTCCACACTTTACCTGGTGAAATAAGTACCGGGTTGGTGAAATTTGTTCCTTACCTGGTGAAATAAGTTCCGGGTTTATGAGATTTGTTCCTTATCTGGTGAAATAAGTTCTGGGATTGTGAGATTTGTTCCTCACCTGGTGAAATAAGTTCCTTGTTTGTGAAATATGTTCCACTGGTTATACAAGTTATCTTATATACTGAGCATTTGTCATCAGTGAGTTTAAAGTTATCATTCAAGTGCATTATAAAAATAAGTATTATATCAATAATAAAAAAAAGTAAAAAGTGTAAATCATCCAATTCGGATCCTGTGGAGTATAGCAAATGTTTAATTATATACTCCGTAAAAAATATTCAAATGACACTTTTCAGCCAGAAAAGAGTAGAATAAGAAAAATCAATCATTCAGAAAAAAAGTATAGTTAAAGATGAATATATGTACTTATTTGAAAAGGACAAAGTGACTGATCAGTTATATCAAAAGACATGTAGAAACAAAAGACACACTCTTTTGAAACTGTGCTATGACCTAAGTACATGTATGACTAGAACACGGGGCCATGACAGTTAACAAAAACCAAGGAGGAATACCACATTAAACATAAATACAAATTATGAAACATTACCATCGCTTTTATTTCTTATCTTCATCCTTTAGTTACAGTCATGCCTTCAATTGCAAATGTATTCTATGCAAGCACACTCAGTACAGCACTCAGCTTGCATTATAATTTAAATGTAACAAGAAAATGTTTCGCTTGCAATTTGTTGCAAAGGTACTTATTTTCTGTGAAAATATGTTTGAGCGGAACTTATTCACTGATTTCTATGAAATATGTACACGTTCGTTTAAAACAAATATCACAGGAACTTATTTAACTTTTTAAAACTCTTAATATTAATTGGAACACAATTCATGGAGCTTTGATTTTTGTTCCGGAACTTATTTCACATTTGGTCATAAAATTAGTTCCGGAACAAATTTTACAGTGCTGGAAATTATTTTCTGTGATATAAAGTCCGGTGGAACATATTTCCTATGAAATTTGTTCCGGCGGAACAAATGTCACGCCGGAACAAATTTTTTGTTACACAAACGCCAGTTTCATAAGTTGTTTGCTTGTGCAGACGATTTTAATCTCTAATATTTGATTTCCTTATATCTGTTTTGGGTATATGAAATTTTTGAAAGAGTTTTTTTTTTACTCGACAATGATTATCATGTTTACCAAATTATCAGCATGGTATTTTTAATGAGCTTTACAACCACTGAGTCGATGCCTCTAATGGTTGACTTTTCGTCTCCGAGGGTATGATCAGCCCAGTAGTCAGCACGAGTGTGTTGACATAAAATAGTGTTGATATGTTCATTTTAATGTTTTTCAACTTCGTATTTGATTTGCCAAACCGCCAAATATGACCCCATCTTAGATGTAAAAAAAAAAATTGTATTCAGATTGGTATAATGCGGACAAGGAATTTGGTGAAAATTAGTTTGTATTCCCTTTTATAATAGTTAACTATATAAATTTGAAACAAAAATGTTATCTTTAAAAATGTTGTCATCGTGTTCATTTCGTTCGTTACACTGCACATCATACTATGTTATTGGCTCTAATTAGTACTCCCATCTTTAGGGGGTTTGGTACATAGTTCGTTGTGGGCAACTCGTGTTTCTGAGAGAAAAAAATCTTGATCCTCTACAATTGTTCAAAAATAGGAAAGACCAACCAAACTACTACCAATAGATTTCAGGAAGTTTGAAAATTAGTTCAATGCAAAATTTATGAATAGAAAATTTAGGTTGAAAATTAAGCTTTACGACAAAAGATAAAACCCCAATAACTTCACGGTGAGCTTTTCAACTTTTATACAGGAACATGTCAGCAGTGCAAGTAACTGTGGTATTTATATATACCAGTTGATATAGTGTTCCAAAGCTTGTTTGTCCTATGCGTATTTCCCTGATATCGAATAACTGAATGCACTTGCCATCAGCAACACAACTTTGTGTAGGAAGTGCAAAATCTCTTTCTCCATTTGCTTTATTTATTTGTTGTTTCATTTGCGTGTTATATTTTGAGGACTCTTTCATCTTTTTATGTCCTTTTTGTGTGTTTTTTTTTTTTATCATTTGTTATTATCATTCTTTCTTTACTCAAAGTTGTATTGCTCTTATATATAGTCCCGTTGCTGAATTTGAAAAAAATAACTGTCGGTCTTGATATTGTATAAAAGTAAACAACAAACCGAAAAACGATCAAAATACAAATCAACGTAAATTTGTGAATTTTCAAATGCTTTATTTTCTTCATTCTTTATTAGAAATAACACACAATAATTATTTAATTTCAGTCATGAATAACTTAAAATGGTGTTTTTCTTTGAAATCTATATACTGTAGAAGTCTCTGATAGTTACACAACTGTTAAGGTTTAAAATATCGGACATTGTAAAATACACTTTACATTACCATCATTATCATATATATTTATAAAACAATGTAAACTTCATATCACTAGTAATCATGGTAATAGGTGAACATTAAGGTTAAAACATGCATTATGTTATTCTATTTTGAATATATCTGGACAGACAAACATTAAATATTATTCGAGTAAGTTGAATACAGACAAAATATGAATGGATACGAAATGACAGTAAAATATACATCACTATACAAGTTATTTACTTTAGCAATTAACACAATTACGCTTCAACTTCTTTCTGCAAAGTTGACTTTTGATGAATTTGCCTCTTCGTTTAAGACCCCTTTTTAGATACAGCTACTAACGCTTCTAGATATTCGAATATCCCTTTTTTTATGGGTGTGAGAGTTCCTGACAAGCGTGCCAGAAAAACTATTCAGAACGGGTACGAAATTTGTTAAGTGCTATTTTCATTTACAAAAAGCACGATCAGTTTTCAAAATAGTAAATTCCTACGTCCTCCACGTATCATATTGTCTCTGGCTGTTAAATTGTCAGTATTAAATAACTATAAATAATAGTTTGTATTCTGCACAATGAATCGAATACGAAACAAATTGAAATAGTAATTTCTGAATTTTTCATAGCATATATGTTTCTATTGTCAATAAAGAATTTTAACTTCAAATAATGAATGAAGATGATTTTTGCAGTGTATCATATTGTCACATTCATTCGATTGCAATTATGATTGCTATTACAAAGAAAAGACACAGTGAATTGGCAAAAGAACATTTCAACAGTTATATCTTGCTTAGCATGGTCTGCTACCGTTTCCTGTGGATTTGCGTAGCTGTGATTTCAGGAGATAAATTCTGTTTACCATATTTTATGTGTAAACCATTGAAAAATACTTTGTCCTATCTGTGGATACCTTACCTTGTATGCTAGCTCGTGTGCATTAAAACAGTGCATTGTTGTTAGTTAATTTGTTCAACTGGGATTATACAAAGATACAAGAACACATGACTGATGACGATACTATACGAAAATGAGGTTCCGTATTATCCATAAGATATTCACTGTGAGTAACATTGAATTATGGCGATGTAGTCCTAATCATATTTGTTAATGCATGACTTACAAGTTAGATCATCTTTGAAAAAAAGGTTTTGTATATCATATGAATCATAAGTAGCAATTAGACATCAAATTCAATAGTTTTCACTGATTATGTGTGATAAAAAAGAAACATTCGTTAAGATTGAACTCAAAACAAACTCTATATTTAAATAGAAATATTGCACCTCCCAGAACAAACACTGCACATAAAGAATATATATGACTTCATATAGTTATATCACAAAATGGGAAGGGTCTGCAAGACATAGCTCACATAACTTATCAACCGAAGTTGGTCCATCTGAAATATAAGAAACGATTATTTTTTTACGGAAACTACATCTTTTGTCTTTTTAGACTATTTGATATGAAATCTGCAATTGTTTCAATAGTTCTCAAAAGTTAGCGAGTATCATCGTGTGACTTCAGAGAGAGAAAATCGAATCATACGAACACATAATGTCTATGTCAACAGTGATAATGTTATTTGTTTAGGGGCGTGTGCTTATTACTTATTTCTATGATAAAATGTGGTATAATATATGATATAAGTGTCTACAACATAGGACGAGAGGTTTAGTTACCAATGTTAATAATTGTTTAGAAATGATATGATGATCCTATTGATTTGAAAAAGTGTGTAATTTTCTTTAGCTGTGATATCACATATACGATATTTATTCTTTGTTGGTGAAACACACATATACACGTTTATAACAAAAAAAAATAAAAACAACCAGTTTAACCCCACAATACCTTCATGTACCTGTTCAAAGCCAGGAACCTCATCAGTAGCTGTCTTTTGTTATTTCTAAATGAGCTTTCTCATTTAGTTAATTTTTTAAACTTTGATAAAACGCTAGCAAAATAGATAAGCGTACTATTGCTATGTGGTATGGGTTTTGTTCCTTGTTGAAGGCCGTAAAGAACCATTTTTGCCAAATTCTATGTCACTTGGTATCTGTTGGAAAGTTGTCTTTTTTTAGCATTCATGCAACATCTTTTTTTCATATTAAGTGCAAAAATTGAAAAGCTCACATTTAAACATTTATACGAAATTCAGGTCATAATGAAATCATTAATTCCATGATATTTTTATAATATACAATTGTTTTCTATTGATTTCTAACAAGAATTGATTTGATTTAACTAAAATCTTACTGAGTGGAAAATATGTATCTTTCTGTATATCCTTTCTTGCAGCTTCTATACACCGTTTCAAAGCAAACAAAGCTGAAGAACTCATACATAATGGTGGTTCTCCAACAGCTAATAAAATAAGATTTTAATTAAACACATGGTCGATAAATGTTTTAATTTGTACATTTTTTATTGTTGAGTATACACATGTTATACATCCTGGCCTGCATAGTTTTTTGGGTCAGTTTCCAAGAAGCCAAGGGGAAAAACATAAGCCAAATAAAAACAGTTTTCTTGTTTGAATTATTTTACATTTATCATTTAGGGGCCTTTTATAGCTGACTATGCAGTATGGGTTTTGGTCATTGCTGAAGGTCAGTAACAAATAATTGTTAATTTCTGTGTCACTTGGTCTCTGGTAGAGAGTTGTCTCATTGGCAATCAAACCACAGTTCCTTATTTCATATTAAAAAGGAAAAACAAAAGTAGCAAAATGCTACACATCAAACTCAAGATTGAGGAACACGAATTCAACTAACAACCGGGGCTGATTTCAGGTGAAAGTGTTCTCTTCACTCATTCGGACAGTTTAAAGAGGAAGCGCAATTAAAGTCTTTAGCGAGTTGATTGGTCGTAACAGTATGTTAGGTTATTAGTTTACCAGAGACATGGTTTATGTGTCGTAAATCAACCTGTTAAATATTTCCCATTTCAAACCCGTCTGGAATTGGGGTATCGGTATGCTGCTTCATTAAATCCTTTGTGTTTCTTTATTGTATATGTTCGTACCTTTCGATCTGAGGACACCTTTTGGATTAGGAGCATTCTTCAGCAATTGAATTCGAAAGTCGATTGGAATGTCTTTACCCATAGGAGGTTTGTATTCCTAGTATAAAATTTAATAAAAGTATATTTTAGCATTCTTACTTGTATAAAACGAATTTAAAAAAGCACCATATTTATACATACATTCGGAAATTCTTTGACGATATCATCACAGTAATGTTTTGAAAGGACTATACGTTCTGTGATTACAGTTGTTCATGAAAATCTTAATCCACCTTATCGCATTTTGTCCGCCATTACTTGATATTAAAGACGTTTCCGTAAAATTTTGACAACACAGCTACATGTCTGACGAATCAAAGCACGATTGATCACGAATGGAAAATATCTAGTCAAGGGTCGCAGATTCCCCACTAGCAAAAGGTTTATTTTAAGATGTTAAGTATTCAGCTCAGCGTGAATATTTTCCAACAAACTGCTTAGATGAATAACAGCAATTAAAGCATTTTTTCCCTAACATTTTATCAATAAATGCTACATCTACTAAAAAGATATCAACTGTAACTGTATTGATAGATTTACGACATATTTTCCGTTTTAGGAAAAGGTATTAGTATGAATAAGAACAATGTATGAATATGTTGAATGGTAACTTGATTAATATTTATCCACTTACCCATGTACTGTTGGTTAATAGTTCTCCAGACTGAGGATCAAATTTGAGGTTTTCTGACAGACAATATCCAAGTCCCATTGTAAAAGCACCTTCGACTTGTCCTATATCTACCATCGGATTCATACTGGAAACATTAAAGATACATATATAATATACAAGTGGAAATGTAATTTTACTGTGAGTAAAAAATAACAGAATTTTACCACAAGAAAGGTATAGCCAAAGCCGGGCAACAAATCAAAGCTTTGCATGAAGGAGATATATTCCTTTATTTAAGATATATTTTAAAATCTGTAACAGTAAATTTTAATAACACACAATATCCGTATTTAGTTTATGAATTAGATTGTAATTCCATAAAGTTAACATATATTTGATACCTTTCCCCGCAATCGAACAACATGTCTACTCTATTAATAAGGTATTGTCCAGTAAGTACGTCTAGTTCCACTTCAGTGCAGGTTACACCATAAGAATTGTATTGTGGTTCCTCTAAAATCGTCCCAGGCTCGAAGGCACTTTAAATAAAGTATCGGTTAATTTATGGTAATTTGTAGCTCTGTATGCATGAAACAATAAAGCTTGGGGTTCCATCTTGCATACTATTTTCTGTTATTTGAATCGATGATTAAAACGTTAAATTGAACTACTCGCTGAAAATTGTTAGTAGTTAAAGGTAAGTGAATTAGTTACGGGAATATAAATGTTGCTCAAATATTCATCGCGAATGTGTTACAATTTTTTTTTTATATTTTGTTCTTTTTGATAGATATGTAAGTTATCCGGCTTCCTATTCAAGTGCAGTCTTATTTTGTCTTGCTTATTTTTGTTTTTTTATTATATTTATATGGGTATTATTACCAAGTAGTTAAAGTCTATAAAAATCATTTATTCGTCATTTACTGCACCAAAGAGTTTGACTCAAAACGTATGAACAAAACAACTCAAAAGGTCAGAAGGCAAATTCCAAAAGAAGGACACTTGAAAACTTAAAACGAAACAAAGGACAACTATTGACCAAAGAAATGTTTACCAAAATCTGGCAGACAGGTCCACTTTGTCCACTAGACATTTTTGTGCCAAGTCTTTCCACGAAGGGTTCTGCATTTTAGCTTTCACTGGTGCCATCCTTGATCTTAATGCCGTGCAACAATTCAAAACAGCCTGCAACAATCCAACAATTTTTATAATGTATAAAGTAGACCATTGATTAGAGCAATAACATATCATCGGACAATAGATTGTTTTCTTTCAATTCAATATTTGATATCATTGGATTTGAAAAAAAATCCACATTCTTGCATGTTAAATGGAAATTAGTTTTTTGACCGACTTTACACGAAACTTTTGGATCATGAAAATAATGGCTTAAAATACGAATTTTTTCTTTAAATTTGATGTCTAAGTTGAAATTACAAATAATCATATTCATATTCGCCAATATATGCAATACATTAAAATTCATCTATAATTGCCAAATATATGAATTTGAAATGACTCAGATATTTAAAGAGGAGATTTTAGTATTTTATCAAACATTTAAGTGTTCCAGTTTTTGAACTGTTTTGTCCTTACCAAACAGCACAATTCAGTGCCTATACTGCCACCGGTTACAAAATCATTAGCATTAGATGTCGTTTGAGTTGATTTCACACTTATAATGTCAATTGGCACACCGAGCTCAAATGCGCAGACTTGTGCTACCTTGAACATAAATAATGAAAAGATAATTGGACAGTGGTCATAGAAGACATACATTCTGTCAATAAATTTATAATGACACTTCGAATTTATAACTGTTTTAAGTTATCAAATCTATATTCTACCAATATTGTTAAAAAAATAGATTGTATATATGATTCCAGTAGAAAATTATAATGTTGTTTTAAAACATTTATATATTTATGGTTCTCTCGATCTAATTTCATTGAATAACTAATTATAGAGACATGAATACCACTCTCATTGACATAAATATATAATTGAGTCAGTTATTTGCTTGACGCCTAGTGGCAAATATTTTCCTTCATGAAACGAGAACAAATTGATAACATAAATCAATGCATTTTATAGTTCGGTTCTATTAATTGAGTCGATATAATGATAAGGAATTAAAACTACCACTGGAAAAAAGGACTGTCGAATAGGGTTAGAAATTTGACTTTGCAACCGGCCACCGACATACCCTTAAGAGAGTTGTTGCAATTAGCATTAACAAGCAGAGAGACGGACATTCTTAACTCCTTGCACAATGGATTAAATATCTCTATCACCGTGTGACAAGAAAAATTAATACACATGTGAAAATCGGTTCTTTTGTACTTATCATTGACAATTCACCAAGAACAATGTGGGAATTAGGTGTTAGAGAAGATGTGATTACAGGACTAGATGGACTTGTTCGTGCTGCAAAGATTCGTACATCAAATGGACTTTTTACTACACGGCCGATTGTTAAACTCGTCCCTCTTGAAATATGAACAGTAAACTCATTTTGAGGCCCCAAGAATGTTGTAGATTACTTTTTTTTATTATAGACATTTTCTTATAATTGGTAAACGTTTTAACGTCATTTAGCGCGGTATTTACGTAACAATAAATTCGACGTCGCTACTTAGCGACGATATTGTGATCATATGTAGTTTAGATAAAGATTTCGTTATGTGAAGACGTTCTTCATTATTTCTTTAGAATATAAGTCATAATCTCCATTCCAACCGGACGTTGCTGTGTATTTAAACACCCAATCAGTCACTCCTGTTTTGCCTGTTGAAGACATTTCCAGACCCCATCCAACCCTAGAGATAAATATCATTTGATTGTTATCATTTGTTTTGAGTACAACTGTTTTTAAATGGTATATATTGATTGATTGCAAAAAAAAATGAGGTTTGGAAGAAAGTGTTATATCGTGCTACGTTTTAGATTTTAAAATTCTGCATATGGTGGATTACATTCATATCTCCTACTAAAACTACAATTCCGCGACATAAATATCAAACGCTTAACAAGGTGTGGATGGGAGCTTACAGAATAGAGAATATTGGCCAAAAAATATTAAGAATAGAGAAAAATGGACCAAAAACAAAACGAATAGAGAAACATGAGGTGATAAAATATAAAGAATAGAGAATAGTGAGCTAAAAGTATAAAGAATAGAGAAAAATGGCCTAAAGCATTAAAGACTACAGAAATGAAGGACCCCCATCTAGACCATCAAACAAGATGAAACTATTGGCCGCATGCAGTATCTGCACATTTGTACGGTCATCACTGTTTCCTAAAGTTTTCCATGAATTGTAATGTTTCAGAAACGGGGATTATGTTTGGTTTCATGTTATTTGTATGCTTGTTTGCTTTTGTATGCATTGCTTTTGGTATAATGTTTTAGATTTAGAAATCTAACTCCATAGTATCTTCTGATATTAATTCTTACACTCTCCCGACTATTAAAAGTCAAATAATTTTTCAATCGTTTTATTCCGGGATATTATCTCATATAGATAGCTTGTGTAAATTAACTTATATAAGATGATATATAAGATTTGTTTTTGGTCTCAGTATTGCAAACCAGTACTCGTATCAAATAAGAATAAGAAATAACACCGTAGAGACAAAATTTGGCTTTGGAAAAGCATTTTAGATAAAAGTATTATGATACACTACTGTAAGGTGGTAGAAAAATAAACATAAATTTATTAAAAATACACATAAACAGCTGCGCCAGGAGCTTGATATGCCCGTCGACACAACATTGAAATTATATCCAGGTTGAATCCACTATTGTGAAAGCCATTAGAAGACGACAACTTGATATTCTGGAGGGGCGGGGCTGGAGGATTTTGAAAAAAAGATATACTGGCCGGATGAGAACTGTCCAAGACAGAATGAAAATGAAACGTCTGCACAACTAAAAGCCGCCCGAAAAAAAATTTGCAGGTCTATCAACATTTAAAAAGTCTTTTATGCCTTCTGGAAAAACTCACGCTCCACAGACCACCCCCTCCATCTCCTCCTTTCCCCGAAAATCAAATTATCGTCCACTTATATCAGAAGTCTGAAAAATGAGTTTGATATATGCTTGAGCATATATACAATTCCTTGAATGTCTGTTTAAGTCCAATAAAGACAAATAAAAAAGATTTGACGACAAAAACGTGCCGTCATATGTCTAGATTCTTTCATACAATTTTCGCAAAAATTGATCAAAGCATTTTCTGGTTAATTTTACGACCTGTTAATGTACGAAAAATGGCATAACATAATAAGTTTCGGCTACGAACATCGTTTAAGACCTACCGAACTGATTTTTCATTAAAAATGTGCTGGTTCTTTTCATTTCCGAAAGATGGCCAGTACTTGTGTACTTACTTGTCATTTGGTCTCTGGTTAGTAATTGTCTCTTTGACCTTTTGATTTTTGCCATTTGATTAGGGACTTTCCGTTTTGAATTTTCCTTGAAGTTCGGTGTTTTTGTTATTTCATTTTTTGCAATTTTAGCAAATCTACTTATTCTTATTTTAAGAATTTGAAACATTGCCCTTTTTGTATGGACCAAACAACTTGAATACCTTTGTATTGATCCCTTGTCCCATTTCAACTCCACCGTGGGCGATGGATATACTTCCATCCCAGGCATATATATTGACAATTGCGTTGTAATGAACGAAAATATAACTTATTTCAAACTTCATAGGAACAACTGATAATCCTTTTTTCTTCCATCTGTTTGCCTGTAACATATTAAATGATATCAACCATCAAATAAAATGTGTTTAAATATAACAATAGTTTCAGTATTTGGGGCAAAGTATCACCCCTCGTAATATGAATTGTAGCGTAATGCTTAAATTATCCACTGCAGCTAACTATTTGATACGGTTAACCTTAATTTTGACAAATTTCCATTTTAGACTTTCATATTAGCGTTTATTATGGTAAGCTTCATACCATTTATAACAGCTTGCCTTTCGCTGTGTTGACTTTTCCTAACTTTGGTTTAGATGTTTCATTGGTTCCTTCTTATAAAGTGTATATTTTGCAGTAGGAGCGATGTTTGTTTGCAAGTTGCAATGAGTGTTTTGGACATGATTTCTACACCAAGAGATTAGATTAAGTACTTTGAGCTTTGTTCTAGTTTGACGAGTGTGATACGATGTTAAAATAAAGTTTTTTTCCTGAATTACAATTTTTTTTTTTGTGTTTTGCTACGAAGCTTTTGTCATTCTGCTGATGGAAATAAAAAAGAAAGGGTTGAATCTCAAAACTGTTTTGTATCGATTGGATGAGTTAAGCCCTTTTAAACTGCTTTTTATAGTTTTTTTTCTTATGTTGTGCTGTTTCACCTCTGTCCCAGGTAATGGAAAGGGTTGCAACATTCTGATTGTGCTTGTCCGAAGTCAGGAGCCTGTAATTCAGTGGTTGTCGTTTGTTGCTGTATGTCATATTTGTTTTTCGTTTATTGTTTTGTTCATAAATAAGGTCGTGAGTTTTTCGTTTCAATTGTTTAACATTGGTTATTTCGGGGCCTTTTATAGTTGCTATGTGGTTTGAGTTCTACTAATTATTGAAGTCGTATGGTGATCTATAGATCTAGTCATGAACTTCTTTGTCATTTGGGCTCTAGATTTGAGTTGTCTCATTGACATTTATACCACATCTTCTTTTTGTCTAGCCTGCGAAATTTATTTCGCGAAAGTGAGCCATAGCGATCCAAGATTCCGGCGTCGGCGTCGGATTCGGCGATTTCAACATTTAGGTTCAGTCTATGGTTAAAGTTTTTGTAGTCATCAATAACTTTGTCAAACCTACATGGAATTTTATGAAATTTTGACAGATGCTTATTTATGATCAAAATACAGTATCCAGAACAAAATTTTGAAAATATTTATTTAAATTTTTCCGTATTTTTTTTATGAATGGACTTAGTTTTTTTACAGATGACATTCAGATTTTGTCTGAGGTTAAAGTTTTTTCAGACATCAATTACTTGTCAAACCTGCAAGGAATTTTATGAAATTTGGACAGTAACTTGTTTATAACAAACGACAGTATCCAGAGTGAAATTTTGAAAATATTTATTTTTTTCTTCCGTATTTTACTGATAAATGGACTTTTATTACAGTTAACACTGTTTTCTGTATTTTGCTGATAACCTTACTCTTTTTTTTTACAGTAAACAAGTAGATACAATCTAGGGTTAAAGTTTGTTACACACCAATTACTTCGTGAAACCTTCTTAGAGTTTTATGAAACTATGGCAGAAGAATGTTAATGATAAAGAGATAATGTCTGAAGCAAACCTGTGAAAATATATTTTTTTTCATTTTTAGTATTTTTCTGATAGATGTACTTCGTTTTTTTACAATTATCATTTACAGACAGTCTGGGATTAAATATTTTTGACATGATAAATTTGTAAACCTTCAAGGATTGTTATGAAACTCGGACGGAAAAGAATCTTCAAGACCAAGAAATATATATATAAATAGCATCTAAATAACAAGTTTGATTTTTTGTTCTAAAGTTTGTATTTTACTGACTCACTTTTTTAGTCAACATTACACTTTTACACTGACATCAGCAATCGCAGGTGAGAAACAGGGTTCCCCCGAACTACCTTTCGAACTTTTTTATATCCAACCTGGCAACATTTAGAAACATCATTAATGATTCTCTTTTGTTACATCGGATCGTCTTTTAATCATTATGGTGTTGATGGCATATCTTAGCCAGTCTACGTAAATTTTAAAGTTCTCGAATCGGGGTAATTAAGCAAGGAATATATAATATATGTATATGTACTTGCTTATTGTTTAAAACCATGTTTTGATCCTTTTATTGAGGGTTTTGTGGTCTGTTACTATATTATTGGTCTATACCTAACATCTCTTTTTTCTTCATTTTTTCGAACCTATATAAATCATCGTAGATCGTCTTATTGATACAAAATCAATATTATTTAATATGAGAAACTCTGTAAAAGATGGATTGCAATATTAATGTAAAATACCTGGTTGTATGCCTGGACAGATGTCTGTCTCTGTTTTACTGTTGCTGATGTCATTAAGTCTGTGGTCAGTTGCCTGATATTGCAGTACAGGAGTGGCCTATTGTGGGGTGTTGTCTGCAAGTACAAGACATTATTAGTACTTAACATATACATTCTTGCTTAATGAATATCATCCATATGCAGACTGCATCTAGTTGAGGTACGAAACATATCAGGAGTCTTTCACGAAATAAGTAAGGAGTGTTAGTTTATCCATTGATCATACTATATTCATGTTGTAGAAACAAATTTCAACAGCACTTTATAAGATTTTGTTATCACATTTGTGCAGTTTGTTGGTTTTTTTTTGTTTTTCAATATTGCGTGCATTTTTTAATCTTTTACCATGACACAATTTCGAAACATTTAGCTGTTTAGATAACTTTTAATCCTTAACCAAAACACTTTCTGGAATACAGCGGACACACTGTGATAGAACTACACGAAATTACAAAAACACCTCCATGAATTTACTTGAAGCTCGGAATTGTTTGATTTTGTTATCTTATAGTGTAATCGCACTTTACTTTGAGTGTGCAATAGATTGCTTGGAATTTCTCAGATCACGATGATAAACGATGATAAATTAAGGTACCTGTCCCTTTTGATACAAATTGAGAACCCTGACATCTGTTGGATCCAGTTGTAGTTCCTTTGCAACATGTTCCATAATAGATTCCATGATAAATATACCCGGAGTTGAACCTGATGGATGAAAATTATTTTTCATATCAAAATGTATACAAAATATAGATCTTACAAATCAATTCGTGTAGTTCATCGCATTAATCAGTGCATTACTAGATTGTACACTGGTGTAATATATTTGTCTGATCAACCCAAGGGTGAGGGGTATCTTTTCCTATCAAAATATATACACACAAGAGCCGCTGATACGGTCACTTTTTTTTTTAAAGTGAAATAGATCATGGGGTTGCAATTTCACGGAGGGAATATTACAATGGGTAGAATTTTATATGTCAATTGGTCATCATGTGAAAACATCTTAGTTTAAAAAATGTCACTGATTGTGTTTATGATAGCTTGGATACGTATAAATGGGTTTTGATTTTCCTATTAAATATATGTATGGGTATGGATTTTCTCAAAAATCAATATATGAAAGAGGGCCTGGTTTTTAAAATTCAAAAAAATGAAATATCACACTTACCTGGTGCTCGGCAGTACGTATTACAAGGTTTGTTCGTTTTGACTGTTTTCGGTGTTATTTTCCAGTTCTCACAATAGTAAGCTGTATACAAAAAGAGGTTTTATATGATTTTTCTCCCGAAAACAGTATATATAGTTTTGATATAAAATGAATAAGAATGCTTCCTAAATTCATAGATAGCAAAAAACTTGTCTGCGTACATTAAATAACATGACGTAAACAAAAAAAGTATACTATTTTACCACCTTACATGTATATCATTCACGTATCAATAATAGTGAACAAACGAAGACGTTTAAAATTTACTTCATATTACGTATTAATAATTCGCTCTGAAACAACAACTATTGGGGTCATGTTTATGATAAAGAGTTTTCATCACAGCTAAATGGAACTAGACTTACTATAAATTCTCTGAACATTCTTTTTTTTTTATAAATTTTCTAAAACTACAGCAATTGACATTTATGAAACTAATAGACGAAATAAGCAATGATTTCTGTGATAAATAGTGTTTGAACCGCATTCTTTTTCTAAAAAAAAATGAGTTGTTTCATTGGCAATCATACAAAATGTTCTAAATTTTATATGAAGCAAAAACTAAACAGAAGATCATGTCATCATATGAATATCGTTCCAAATGAAGCTTCGAAGTTAAATTCTTGTTTTCTGTATTTGTATATACTTTTTTTCTATTACTTATACTTGTCTAATATCTGGTAATCGTAAACGGATGTCGATAGAAGCCACTACATTTTGTTGTACATTAAACACGAGAAAGAAAATTGTCACGTAACAAATGATAACAACAGGCGATCAATAAAAACAAATGTCACAACTGAAACCTTCAAACAATTTCTGATATAAGATAATTGGCAAAGTAAGGACAGAAACCCTATTTCATCTTAAAACTATTGAGAATTTATCTTACCATTATCGATGAATCCATATACAGAATATAACGTACTGTCATTTCCATTGTATCCTACATCTGCATACAGTGTCATTTTGATTCCATTCAATTTTCCCTGGTCAGTACATCCAACCTAATGTTAGATAATGTTATTCACTCTAAGTAACTTTTAGAAATGAAGGTGTTTAACATATGAATCAATGTATACGAACTTATCTAAGTTTAGTAAAAGTGTTACATTTGTGGGGTAATGGTTTACTTGAATTTTCAAATTTAGCTGATGCTTAGCAAAGAAGTGAAGCTCAAAACAGTTAGGCATTGGATTTTGAGCTGTTATTGTCATATACACATTTGAAAATCTTTAAATAACAAACAAAAAACAATATTTTGGTTCGTTATGATTTTTATTTATTTTTCATATTTTCACGGAAGTAAAAGTTTGACTATCCCATATATAATCTTGTGTGCAGCTACTATTGTCCGCCATAAGCATTCCTCCGGTAGAGGTAAATCTGCAAATGAATACAATTTGACCTGTAGCACAACTGACAAAATATAAGTTACTACCTTAATACTTTGTAATATTTCCTTTGTCATTTCATCTCATCGGAATACTGTTATGTCAGGATTTTATGTAAGTCACAAGTTAATTTGTCAATATATACCGAATTTAAGGTTGTGTTTAGCATTATCTAAGCTATAATAAGTTTGGCCTCTTGAATTGCAGTCAAAAACTACTAGAAGTATCTGAAATACCAGCAGTCATGATTTAGCTCCAAATGAATTTAAATATCTAACAACCTTGTCTTTCACTTTTTGTGTTTATGACTTCTGAAAATGGTAAATTCTTTTTATCTCACAAAATTGGATTTTCCATGCATAATCTATACAAAATCTGGCAATTTTTGCACAACCTGTAGCGTGAAATAAAGTCCGGTGACCAATACTTTTTATTAAATTTTGGAAATAAGCAGGTTAAAAACTACATTTTTGACAAATTATTAAAAAATTCTGTGGATTTTAATTAAGACCCCCCATCCACCTTAAGACGCATCAAACTTATAAAGCTTAATTTTCATCTTCATGTCCGATAGGACCATGCAAATGAAATTAAATATATTTGAGTGAATAATATTTCTCATTAGGTTTACCAACTCTATGTTAACAATTGTACTTTCGTGTCAAAAGAGAGTCGAAAGATACCAAAGGGATAGTCAAACTCATACGTCAAAAACGACCGGACAATGGCATGAAAAAAACAACAAAAAAACGACCAAAAGACAAACAACAGAGCACAAAACACAACATAGAAAACTAAGGCTGAGCAACTCGAAATCAATTTTAAACCGGAGGCAATCTCAGCAGCCCCGGGAAAAGTAAAATAACAAAAATACCGACCTCCAAGGAAAATTCAAAACGCAAAGTCCATTATCAAATGTTACAATCAAAAGCTCAAACACATCAAGCGAATGGAAAACAACTGTCATATTCCTGACTTGGTTCAGGCATTTCCCCATGTAGAAAATGGTGACTTAAATCTGGTTTTGTAGCTGGCTTTACCTCTCACTTGTATGACAGTCGCATAGAATTCCATTATATTATCAACAATGTGTGAGCGAAACAAACAAAAGTAAATATGTCAAAAACTAGGGTTCAGCAGTCAACATTGTGTTTTAATCATAATCACTTTAAAACAAACAACTATGTCAACAAAGAAAAACAAAATGGCATATATTTCAAATATGTCTTATTTGTCAGTATAGTCGAGTTACTCGTGGTTCGTCTACAGGGTTTTTGTTTTATGTTGTTTGTTTTCATGTGTGTTTACTGTTTGATCTTACATTATCTTGCCTTATATTACAGTTATTTTATTTTTATTTACTATATGTATGTAAAAGTTAAGATAAAAAATCAGCTACTTCATTTATATTATTTTAAGTTTAAAGCAACTATATGCACAGGATTTATTTGTTTATACATAGTTTTTATTTAGAGAAAAAACCGACATGGTTAGAAAATACAAATAACAACAATATTACAAACACAATTCCATTTTAATATTCTTGTCATGGTTAGAAAATACATAAAATAACACCATTACAAAATATTTTTGTACGTGTCTATAAATAAAACAAATCTATTTTGTTTTTAGAAATTTACCTGTGATAATATAAACGTCACAAAATATACGTCCCTTTTTGTAACGTTGATCCATTCATGTGACGCGCAGTTTATATTTCGTTTGTGGTGTCCTGGCGTGCTGTCGTAAATTCATGGGAGGTGTCCGTTGTTATTTTGCGGTGTACATGTTGTAATGTACTATTATATTATTTATTTATGTATTTCTCTGTGTTGAGTGTTCTTGCGTTTGTTTGTACTGTATTCCTGTCACGTAGTGTTGTCATTTTAGCGGTACTTTTAACATTGCCATATTAACGGGAGGTTTGGCTTGCCATTTAACCAGGTTCTACCCACCATTTTTTTTAATGTCCTGTACCAAGTCAGGAATATGGCAGTTGTTATCAGACAGTCCGTTTCTATGTATGTTAGTGTCTGCTTCTGCTGTAGTTCAGTGTTTTTGTTGTTCCGTTGTTTTCCTCTTATAGTTGATGTGTTTCCCTCGGTTTTAGTTTGTTACCCGGATTTGTTTTTGCTTAATGGAAGTATGACTATTGAACATAGATACTATTGTTGCCTTTGATAAGGGACGTTCCGATTTGAACTTTTCTTGGAGTTCGGTATTTTTTATTATTTTACTTTTTATATAGAAACTCAATATACAAAGCACATAAGCAAAAATGAAATACAAGAATAAAGGTAAGCAAATACTGCTCCACATGTGGCCCTTGTCGTGTTGCTCATGTAAGTACAAAACCGGTGGTAATTTAGAAGGTCACATTCGAGAAAAAGAGGACGAGATTGTGGTTATGATAATTTGAACATATATGTCGTCATCGGTGAAACAGATAATCAACAGCAGCAACTCGTGATGGCTTCCGTCAAATTTTCGAAGGGATGATTCCAACATCACCACTTGGAACTCTTGGACTAATGGGTGAAAGCATCTATTTAGTCGTAATGTTTTTTTCTCAACTGACCCTCATTATCAATTTCTAGATGTGATTCAAGATATGATGTAGACTTAACTTTATTTACTATATTCTTTATTTCAAGTGCAATGGGATAGATGCATTCAACATATATAGTCATTAAATACTTCAATTAAGATACATTTCAATTTAGATATATTCCAATTTTGAAGATATGTTTCAATTTTATATATTTCAATTTAGATACATTTCAATTTAGATGTACTTCAATTTAGATGTATTTCGATTTTATAGATATATTTCAATTTTATAGGTATATTTCAATTTTATAGATATATTTCAATTTCATAGATATATTTCAATTAAGATATATTCTTAATTTATATATATTTCAATTTAGATATATTTCAAATATAGAAATCAGAATATGTGGTGTGATTTCAATGAAACAAATTTTCTACAGAGACCAGGATGTTAGCAGTTAATAGATAAAAATTAACGTCAATTTAAACATGTTATGACGCCACGGTGACGTTGTAAATGATATTTTTGCACTAAATTGACGGATTATATTGCACTGTTCTTTAAAAAAATTTGAAACTTAATAACGGCTCTGATCACATCTCATCCTTTAACAGAATCATTTTCATATCATTAAAAGCTTTGAATGCTTTTATTTGTCTCCAATGATTTCTTCGTTATTGATTCTAATACCACTGCTATTTCGAAACCATGGAAGTTCGGGATGATTTTAATAATGAATACGTTATACACTAGATAGAGCAAATAGATATAAGAAGATGTGGTATGAGTGCCAATGAGACAACTCTCCATCCAAGTCACAATTTTTAAAAGTAAACCATTACAGGTCAAAGTACGGCCTTCAACACAGAACCTTGGCTCACACCGAACAGCAAGCCATAAAGGGCCCCAAAAATGACAAGTGTAAAACCATTCAAACACTATAGTGTTTAAGGAAAATAAACTATATCAACCAATGGTCTAATCTATATGAAAAACGAGAAACGATAAACACTTATGAACCACATCAACAAACGACAACCACTGAACATCAGGTTCCTGACTTAGGACAGGTGCAAACAAATGCAAAGGGTTTAATCGTTTTAATAGGCGCCAGCCTTTGCCCTACCCTGAACCAATAGTGTAACATCACAACATAGAAAGACACACTATAAAATATCAATTGAAATGGCTAAACTCAAACCATATATTGGAAGAAAACTAAAGTATACTCATACTTCCTAATAAGTAGCAAAATTACAGCAATTATATTAAGGTTCAGGTTATGAAGAACACTCGTCAAAACAGGAGTCATGTCCGGTTGAAGTGCTCCTCAAACTTTAACCAAACCATGAATAAAAGCAATTGCTCCTTGAGTATATAAATTGTTTAGGACGATGTTATAAAAATGAGTATGGTCATTTGGTAACAAAACGGGGCAAATCATTTCCCCTTGAAAGAAAGACATCTTTGTTTGTGCTTCTGTTGATACAAAAGAACACTGACATTTAAATCTCATGATATAACACATACCGTATAGTCAGCTCTATAAGCAAGTCGTCCTCCAAGCATCTTCATTTGTGTGTGAAATTCTAAATTCAGTTTTACAGGCCTGGAATTTAATAGTAGTGAATGTTACTTTTTTTTAAATGTATTTTTCTCAAAGTTTTTTTTGAGATCTTGTTTTATAGTTTTCAATACAGAACGTTAAAGAAAATTTGTGACTTATTTATCTGATTCCTTTTTATTTGAAAACGAAACATGATTGTGATGATTATGAAACAAAGATGAAATTGAAATATGATGTATATGTCTTTTCACTGATCAAACATATCTTTTTTTTTTAAATGTAATGTATTCATTTGTATTTTACAACGTTTGACTCAAGCTAAGCATCATCGAATTAATTATTAAATATGAGACTTATTAAAACCTGTTCATGATGTGAGCTGCCAGTGCACAACCTGCAGACACTATATAATTCCTTGTTATTTTAAATCCAAATGCTCCACCAAGTCTTTTAACAGTTACATTAATTCTGAAAATATATGTGAAGTGTTATTAAAAACAACGATACTAGCCAAACTGCACTATACTAGCATGCTTGCAAATTTTATGTCTTTTGCGTTTAACTATGGTATTCGGTATAATAATTGATCAGCTTATGTTAAACAGTTTGAGCTAAATCGCAATATAATATTTATTCCATTAAAAGACGTATCGAATTTGAAGCTAATTTAGTTTTTCTTGTTCTTTTTCAAAGTCTGTTGTGTTTTGTATAGTTGTCAGTAAGATGAAAATGTTTTGTATATTTGAGATAGAAATGAAAATAAATGTAAAGTGTGTTATTTATGATACAGCAACACAAAATCTAAATAAATAATTATGAAAAATACTTTTCAAGGTCAACTTTAGACAAATGGTTGTATTATATGTCGAAATCTACTTTGTTCCATCTGGATAAGTTGTGAATATTTATTATTTAGACTACTAAAGGTCTATCATTGTAAACTCTAAATATGACAACAATAGCAAAATCAAACATATAACTAAAACAGCCACTGATACAGTTCCGTGGTACATTAATATGTTTATTGTGTGTGCAAAATTTTGAAAGTAGATTTTGATTTGAAGGATATGTGGGATATACGTCATTGAAATTGATTTTCATCTGTTATGAATCACGTGGTTTTCATGTTTATAACTCACGTGTTTTCCATCTGTTATGGCTTACGTGTTTTTCATGTATTATAACTCACGTGTTTTTCGTGTGTTATGAAAGAGGGACGAAAGACACCAGAGGGACAGTCAAACTCATAGATCGAAAACAAACTGACAACGTGTTTAAATGACTCACGTGTTTAAATGTGTTAAGTCTCACGTAAATTTCATGCGTTATGAATCACGTGATTTTTTACCATACTATATTTTTATACAAAAGAAATTACCTGCTTTGATTAACTCCTAAAACCATTGCAACAGCTCTCTGTGAGTTGTCAATCCACTGCGTAGACGTCTCCACATTCATTCCTTCTGGTGTAGGTTTGCAGTAACTTATCTGTTTTATATATTAACATTCACATATTGGATCTTTTTCTTACAACTTGGAAAACTTTTGAAATCGAAACTGAGATCTGTTTTTTTTTTTTTTTTTTTTCATTTCTTTTAATTATTAATAATATAATATCGACATAAATATAAGTTGAAGTTTTGATAAACAAAACCGCATTAATACATACCTGGGTTTCCATTGGAAAATGTTTCTGTTCGCCAAATTGTATGCTTCCAGTTATTTGTTTGGTGCTATTAGTGATTGCAGCTGTAAGAGGTAAATCCAAAATGTTTTAAAATATAAAACTAAATGTGAATGTTTTCGCATGATGATTAATTCATTGTTATTGTCCATTGTAAAGTCTACATTCTTACAGTGCAAACTAAATAATTTTGTTTGGCATTGTATGAAAGTTAGTGTAAAATTTATTGTCAGAGCATATATATAAATGTACATCTTCAATAACTAGTCTTTGTATTAACTGCATCTAATTCAATAATAATTGCATGCAATATAACATGTATATTCTTGAAATGTTTCAATCTTTTAAAAGCATTTTTGTATGAAGCATTCAAAGGAATTGCAGCCATGATATAGTTTAGCCTAATTAATTGATATATAGTTATCGTTGTAAATATTTGTTGGTGTTCTTCCCGATTGTTTACAGATGTAATGAAAATGTAAAACAATTACATCCTAAAAATCATTCACAAAATGTAAGGCACGCCGATGTTAGTTATCGTCAGCATATTTTAGTATTCTGATGTTAAAGCACTGCTCATCGGTATTATGTTTTTGTTAAATTAGTTCAACAGCAAAAGAAAGATACCAAAGGAATATTCAAACTCATAAGTCGAAAACGAACTGACAATGCCATGCAAAAAAAAGGAAAACGACGAAAAGAAAAACAAAAGTACACCAAAAACAACACAGAAAACTAAATACGAAGCAACACGAACCCCACCAAAAACCGGGGTGATCTCAGGTGCTCCGGATGGGTTAGCAGATCTTGTTCAACTTGTGTATCTATCGCAACACTAACGTTCACGCCCGTTTTTAGAAGGGTCTTGTTTTGTTTTTATTTCCCCCTAGCATAATCCATTTGTATGGCTATGTTAAAAACTTCATTCAATATATCGCACCAAAATATCTAAGACGTTTTGAAACATTAAAAACAAAAAAAGGCTTAACAGAACACTCGACTTCGTCCAAAATCAACTTCGACCAAAGGAGTTCTGAACGTATCTGCTGTTGAATTAACGAAAGGTAAATAAGTCAACTTTAAAGTTTATGAAATAATTTCCTTTTGCAATAACAATTGATATGAAAAGGATAACCGAAACAACAAATCAATTAGACCGTACAACATACCGGACCAACCTCTAACAACCAAATATTTCGAAAAAAAAGACAAATAGACAAAGAAAAACAGGAACTTAGTCTAGATTACCTGAATCTGACTTCTAATTAATATAGCAATTGAGTTTCAGTAATACTATGAACATCTGAGGCGTGTTGTAAGGTTATAACCTAAATTTCAATAACTGTAGAAGATAAATTGAGAATAAAAAAATAAATATGATTCACCCTACAGAGTGGCGTTACTAATAAACTCATCATAGATACCAGGATTGAAATTTAGTATTTACGCCAATGCATGTGGTTAAGATGAAAAAACCTACTACTAAGGGCATTGTTGCTTTAATTACCCTCTAATTTTACGTAATAAAATAGCACAGGGATAGCATTAAGTAAGAATATAAACTAATTCCAAAAAGATGTTCCAAAATAACAGGTTGTTATTTTGAGAAGGGAAATTGATACAGTGATGTATCTGATTCACTCAACAATATCAAAGCCAGAGAAAAAACAGGACCACTTAATTGCATAAAACTGTAGCTGTCATTTTATGTTTTGTTTATTGCTGACATACTATGGTGTTTAAGGAAAATAAACTATATCTACCACATACGCCTTAGTGTTGTCAGCTACTAACTAATGTAAACATAAATCCATTTGTGTCTTACTTTGAGCATTTCCTTTCGTAAGAGGATAAATGTCTGGTAAAAATGATCCCTTGTTTATCCCATCATCTAAAGACAGAATGGGCGTTTTTTTATCAGAATATGTCACTTGAACTTGTTTAGCAGCATTGTTTGCTGTTTCTTCGTCCACTGAAATTAAATAGTGCAAAATCAAAATTACTATATAACATATCGTTATATAAATAAATTTTAATGGTACAATAGAAAGTATTTGTTTAAATGGCACAAAACAAGGAAAACAGTACCCATTGTTTTTTAAAGCAAGGAAATTAAATATTACACAATCAAAATGAGTAAGGGAATAAAGTGGATTTATAATAATCAAGATACTGTATTTGTATGAAAACCTTACATTTATAATAAAAACATCACATCGCTAAATTTAAAATCAAAACAAACCTGCAACAATGATTGCCAAAGCCTGGCCAGCATACATAACATCGCCGCCACATAATACCTTCAAATAGAATTATCAGTAACAAATAAATATCAGTGTTGAAAGACAGCAAAAATTAAATGAAATATGTTATTTTATAAAAGCTGTAATATTTCTGTTTATAGTAGAGAGAAAAGATTGTTCAATTGAAATTCAGAATAATTAGATATAAGAAGATGTGGTATGAGTGCAAATGAGACAACTCTCCATCCAAGTCAAAATTTATAAAAGTAAACCATTATAGGTCAAAGTACGGTCTTCAACACGGAGCCTTGGCTCACATCGAACAGCAAGCTATAAAGGGCCCCAAAAATACTAGTGTAAAACCATTCAAACGGGAAAACCAACGGTCTAATCTATATAAAAAAAGAGAAACACTTATGAACCACATCAACAAACGACAACTACTGAACATCAGATTCCTGACTTAGGACAGGTGCAAACAATTGCAGCGGTTTTAAACGTTTTAATGGTACCAACCTTCACCCTTATCTGAAACAATTGTGTAACATCACAACATAGAAAGACACACTATAAAATATCAATTGAAATGGCTTAACTCAATGTTTATTTCAAATCAGCTGCATAATGTACCATATTCTCTCTCAATGTTTTGTTTATTTTTGAATAGTTGATAGTTTTCTATGTTGTGTGTTTATATTGTTGTTTGTCCTTTGGTTTTTCCTTTTTTGCCATGGCGTTTTCAGTTTATTTTCGACTAATTGATGAGTTTGAATGTCCCTTTTGTATCTTTCGGCTCTATTTGTTAGTTATTCCAACTAGGAGGATCAATGAGCTTACTAAGATACCTCACAATCCTGATCGAAACAAAATTTGCAATTCAGCGTTTTTGTAAATAAGGCCTCTTCATGTCAGTAACGTAGAATCAAATAATGTTTCCTTAACTGTTTATTGAAATTCATAGCTAAATAACGATTTTTCATGAAGATTCATAAAGTTATCGTTGTTGTTTGCCTTTGTACTATTTATAACAATGTTATATTTAACTATCCTGAAAAGAAATTTATTAATAAACTTACCTCTTCCGGAACAGAAGGGATGGTGGATGATACTGAAGAAAAACAGTTATTTTGTCCAGGAATATCCTTTGCAGTTATAAATTTCAATACTCCTGACATGCTCTGAATTCAAAATTTTATCTTTAATATAATAACGATTGGTGATAGGAAGATTTCCTTTAAACTTTTCCGACATATCTATTTAACTATCAGAACTGAAATTAAACCAATACTGGAAAAAGGAATTCAACTGCTTTTGTAAAGTAAGGTGTGTTTTTCATTGCTTCGCTAATGTTGGTAGGGTTTTTCGATTGATTAAGGTCAACACAAACACAAACATATGTCATTAAATCTTTTGAAATTATGTTTTTAAAAAGGACGTTTTAAATGTATGTTTTAAATCATTTTTAGTTCATAATTAAAAAAAAACAGTTTTTACTGGTTTGTAATTTGTATTTTGATGGATACAATTATTGAACAAGAAATCTTTTTTATGTTTAAAGAATGGCCTTACACTAAATCGCTTATTAGTTAATAAGTGTTTTCATTTGTATGTGTATATTTGTATTTTTTTATTGCTGACTGTCAGATTTTGATATGTTGACTTAACGCAAAACATACGAAAAAATACACATGGCAATTGATGAAATTCGTTTTTAATGTGAAATAATAAATTATTTTTAACATCTTATATATTGGTTTTTTTTATGTCCATAAAATCTAAGAAAAAAATATTCTTATTTTGTTGTTGTCAATACCCATCAAAATTTGATTGGTTTCCAAATGTTAAACCACAAAATACATGTAACATATTCCAGTTGTAATCAAGTATAATGTTGCAAAATAAGTTTTAATCTTACTTCGCAATGATTATTATAAAATGTAATTAAGTTATTCAAGTACATATTATATAAAAATTCATTTAAATTTATTTATTACCAAAGCTTTCGATGGATCCATGTTCTGAAGTTTTGCATTTCCAACAGTGCTTGTAACAAATGCAGCATACAAAGTATCTTGTTGTACTGGAATATCGTTGATATAATCTGCTCTACCGGTGGTCTGTTTATATACATAAGCAAACTTAACCAAACAGAGTCAAGTTATACAGACATATTCATCGTAGTGTTGAGAATATGTTTTATCATTTGATTTTGCCATTTGATTAGGGACTTTCCGTTTTGAATTTTCCTCGGTGTTCAGTACTTTTGAGATTTTACTTTTTACATGTCAATTGTCTAGACTCGGAACAACGTAGTCTTTGCCGAATTGAATATATTAATTGATTGTTGTTTTCTTAACGTCCAGTACCTAACATTCGAACAGATAATACCTTTCGGTTATTAATGCTCTGAAACTTCGTATTTGTTTTGGTCTTCTAACTGTTTTAATTCGAGCGCCACTGGTTAGTGTTATGAAACCGTAAACGCGCGTCCGGCGTACCAGATTATGAACCTGGTATCTTTGATGTGTTATTGTTTTGATATTTGTATGTTACTTGCTACATGTGTGAACCTCTACATGTCTCTTGTACTTTTGTTCTGTTGTTGATAAACTGTGTTTTAACGTTCATGTTCAATACACTAAATTTATTTTAAAATTGAAATTAATTCTTTTTGTGAATATAAAGTTACGAATTATAGCAAATGAGAAAATTTTCATTTACATATATTAATCTGAAGATTTCAAAAGAGGGACGAAAGATACCAGAGGGACAGTCAAACTCATAGATCGAAAACAAACTGACAACGCCATGGCCAAAAATAAAAAGACAAACAGACAAATAATATTACAGATGACACAAAATAGAAAACTAAAGACACCCGTCGTGTTGATTATGTTATTACAAATTCGGTAAATAGTCTAATTCGGTAAGTCACATTCGTGAAAAGGGAAGGGTATTGTAGTTACGACATAAGGAACATATCCGATATCAACTCGTGATGGCGCCCGTAAAATTTACGAAGGGATGACTTCAACTTCACCATTTGGAACTCTTGGCTTAATAGCTTCCTTGTGAGCAGCAATCCTCTATCAAGGAAATCATGATAGGAAACACAAGCCCGGGAATATCGTATCAATTGGGAGATATATACTCCGTATGCAGGCGCTGCTGGAATGTTGCTACATAGAAATGGAAAGTTCACAATTAGGAAGCTGAAATCATCTCTTTTGTCGTAAAGTTTTGTTTTCAACCGACCCTCATTGTCAACTTCTAGATGTAATTCAAGATATGAGGCAGACTTAACTGTATCTGTAGTATCCTTTATCTCTAGTTCGATGGGATAGATTCGTTCAACATAGTCACCAAATTTTGTATTATTTAGTGAGAGAACATCATCTATATAGCGGAACGTAGAATTAAAGGATGTTGCTAACTTCTTATCTTTTTTCCTAAGAAGTTCCTGTATGAAGTCAGCCTCATAATAATAAAGAAACAAGTCGGCAAGAAGAGGGGCACAATTGGTTCCCATTGGAATTCCGACAGTCTGTTGAAAAACACGTCCTCCAAACGTAACAAATATGTTGTCAATCAAGAAATCAAGCATCTTGATAATGTCAGTTGTTTGAATCAGAGTGATTCTTTTCAAAGTAGGATTTATCCCTCCCCAAGACAAGATACTTGTATCTACGCTCACCATTCTTTTTAATGAAACAAAGTAATACCAACTCTTTCAATTTGTCTTTAAGTTTGGAATGGGGAATACTTGTGTAAAGTATAGAAAAGTCAAATGTTTTAATACTATTGCAAGATGAGAGAGTCTTAGATTGTATGTACTCTAAAAGATCTTTGGAATTTTTTAGTATCCACATCTGATTCACGCCACCTCTAGAATAGGCAGTTTCACAATAACTTTGGAGCCCGGCTTTGATTGCTGATAAAATAGATGTTAATAATTTAGAAAGAGGTTTCGTGGAGCACTTGGAAGACCCAGCAATATACCGTTGTTTGTAAGGACACTTATGTAGTTTAGGTATTCAATACAGTGATGGAAGATCCAGTTCTTCATCTTTGGTTGAAATTCCAAAGGAACATAGAACAGACCTATGATTATCCAGGATTTCCTCTTTGGTAAGTGTCGTGAGGGTATATGTTGAGTTTCCAAGTGAATTGTCAATACCTAATTCATTTATCAAACAGTTATTTTGCAAAGGTTGAAATCCGTTGTAGTAGACTATTTACTTTTACCCTTATACATTTAAGGAGAAAAAACGAAGGAACCATACCTGGTCCATAGCCTCCAACTTAATCATTGGTTCAGTAAGTGGCCATTCCAACGGCTTGGTGTCATATGACTGCTGTCCGGATGAAAGCGGTCTAGAAAGAGGTATCGCACCACTTCTATAAATACCTCCTGCTGTATCACCTACCACATCAAGAATATACTGAAAATATAGAATATCTCCAATGAAGAATAATTGTCTTACATGTTTGAAATATTGTTCTGAAGTTAATCGATCTATATAAGGGACAGTCTTGGACTTCATGCCAACTTATGTGTTCGTACTATACAATTGCTAAAAAAAATGTATTTATTTAAAAGTTTTTTTTTGTAGCAACAATACATCAGTTTAAAAGATTCTTGTTCAATCTAATATAACTTAAGCTGTTATAAAGGAAGGTGACACCCGTATCCTTTTTTTAATGTTTTTTGTGAAATTACTAAAAAAAATAATCCCCCAAAAATGATAAATGTTTTTTGGGTCATATCTTTTTTCTATCATTTTCATTTTTATTATAGTTGTTTGTAAACATAATTTTATTCGCCCATATGGTTGATGATATTAAATAGGAAGTTATCTAAGAATAAAATTGAAAATGGAAACATGTTTTCTTCAAACTAAGTATCATGACATGCACCTGCAATGTTAATACATTAAAAACTGTCTCAATAGAATAAATGAACAAAAAAAGTTGTCAATTCAGGATGTATTTAATGGAGATAATCGTTATAATTTATAGACAGTATATTTTTTCCTTTATTTATGTTACGGGTATATAATAAGAATTGATTAACAAAACAAGCTGCGGTTCTGCAGTGGTACCATTCAGTGTCGCTAAACTTATAGACAGAAATTCATATTTTTAAACAGATCATTCAGACCAATCACTATCAGGAAAGAAAAATATCCAATCCCCACTCTTTGTACAAACTCTCATTGATTTTAATTCTAATGTGTTCCTTATTATCTTATCCCGATAACGTGTTCAATTTGGCCCTATAAATGCTTAGTTTAATGAACAATTTAACAGACTCGACCAACCATAGCAGAGTAATTTGATCATTCGTTTAATACTGAATAGATGGCTTTTTTCGAATTTGTTTTATACAAAAGCAAATGAAGATAAAGTTAATATTTTTTTACCAAATTAAAAAAACATTTTCATATGCAGTATAGGTTTAATAGGTTTTGATTTCTTATGCAGTTTTCAGTAGAAAAGGCACAGTTATAACCTTACATATGCACATTTAGAAAGGTAGATGATAAAATTATTTACACTGTAAAGATATCCTATTGCTACGTTCTTTCTGTATGCGACACTAGGCTCAACAGCATCAATGTTGGGATCGGGATTCAATTCAGATGCGAGAGTAGTCATTGCGCCTGCAGATAAAACAAATGATTTAAAATGATTAATCTCCAACAACTGCATAATCTCTGAATTTATGCACTTGTTATATAAAACAATATTTGATTACTTCAACGATCAAATTGCACCGGTAATTTCAATACCTAGATCGAACCTATTTTCAATCACAAGAGTGTATTAGAGACCTTTATCTCAAGAATGTAAAATACTCACTTCCGATTTCTTTAGTCTATTGTCCCCATATAGCAATTAGTAACATGGAGAGATGTTAGCCAAAACCCGAAATATCGAATTTCCCAGCCAATCAACTTACAGAAACACTTAAGGTTTAGTTCACAGATTCAAAAAGAAAAAGCATCTTGCATATTTTTTTGTTGTTTTACTTTCAGATACATTGATGATGCTCTGTCATTCATTAACCAATATGTTAGTGAGTGTTTGTATCTCATATGTCCCAGTCAACTTGAGATTAAGGAAACTACAGAAACTAGGAGGTCTACTTAATGTCTTGATCTTTTCCTTGATTCTGACACAGACGGAGGACTTCAAACTAGAATCTATGACAAAATTGATGATTCCAACTTTCCAATTGTTAACTTCTTAGCAGAAACATACCATCTGCCCCATCGTTTGGCGTTTACATACATGAATATATGCATTAAGCTCGTGCATGTTCCCACTATACAGTCTCTATTTACAGGGGTGTGCTCCTTACACAAAAACTGCTTCAACAGTTTTATGAAGAAGAACGATTGAAGTCGACACCACCTAAGTTTTACGGTCACCATCACGAATTGACCGATACGTCTGTGTCTCTACTTACAAGCGACGTGTCTTTGCGGTCTTTGATCTTTAGATACTAGAACAGTGGTCTGATCTGTAGATTTACCTATTGTGTCCTTTTCCCGATGGTGACATTTGTTACTGAATACGGATTCACATTGCGGATGAAGCATGCATAAAAGAAGTCGCTTGCCCTGTCGAAGGACCCAATCTCGCTCCTTTTGTCTTCATGCGATTCCTTTTTTTTGTGTTTACCTGGATTTGTATCTTCTAGCTATACAACTAGGTTTTATCCACCATTTTATACATAAGAAAATGCCTGTACCAAGTCAGGAATATAACAGTTGTTATCCATTCGTTTGATGTGTTTGAGCTTTTGATTTTGCCATTTGATTAAGGACTTTACGTTTTGAATTTTCTTCTGAGTTCGATATTTTTGTTATTTTACTTTTTTCTTGATAGATTTTGAAGATTTCAATATCGGTAAACTTCTTTTTTGCCTCTGAATATTTCAATTATTCACTTCAATATGCTTATTTATAAGACAGACACCTAGTTTATTACAGAACTCTGTGAATTATTAGTCTTCAGTGTTTTTGCATGTATCAAAGGTTAAAACAAAACAAAACCTTAATGTTTATCATAAAAACGAACACTGACTCTATACATCTGAATAAGGTTAGATTTATAAAAGAGATAGAAACCCTTATGTTTTATATAACTCGTACAATCTCTCATAAATCCTTTCAGTGTCAAATACTGGTTATAAGTAGGATTGTACTCTCGGGTCACGGGGACTAACAGTCCACATGCAATATAATCGACTCTCTCATAGTTTTGATAGGAATTAGTAATTACATAAATCATTTTTAAACAATGCATTCAAATATATTGTAGAATGCATTGGTCATAATGTTATCGCATAACATAATATGAATTTCAATTGAAACAAGTCCAAAAAAAATTACCAAAACCATCTTTAAAACGACCTCTAGAAGTACCTGATATGAAAAATTATTACAATATCAAATATGCTTGACCATAACGACGTTTCAACAAAACAAATGTAAAAACAGCCTGGGGTTTAAAATGTGATAATCTTAGAAGAACCGAGGTGACCATTACCACTTTAGATATAACAAAAGTAATAGTATAAGACGGAGAAAAAAATAAACTCATCAAAAATTCCATGCTTTGCTACGCCAGATGCTCATTTTTGTCTACTTGAGACTCATTAATGCCCAAAATTGAACTAAATAGTAGTAGTGAATCCCTTATTTTCTGTAAATATCTGTAAATATTATACCAGTACGCTAAACATAAACTATGTATGTTGTCAGACACATCTTACCTTGTATGACGGATGGGTCTACCAATGATTTTCCTACGAGATAAGATTCTGTCTGCACTGCATGAACCTTAAAATTATAGTTGTAGATAATTTTTATCAGAGGGACTCGCAGATCGGGTGACGAGAAATCTATGATTCTTGTTAAAATATCCGTTTATCTTGATTACTACAAATGCCCAACTGACAAAAAAAAGTTGATAAAAGCTTTAATATGTATTTGCCTGGCGGGTGATATATTCATAATGTATAACGCTTACCCTATCGACGCACACGGTCTTGCTCTGTATGTATACATCCCAAGCTTTCAAAGTGTTCCAGACAAAGATAAAGTCAGAAAAAGCGCTTAGGACGCTCAAAATTATAAGTGATATTTTTATTTTGGAGTTCATGCGATTCCCTCAGTTTTAGATTTTTACCTTGATTTAATTTGTATCATCTTAGTGGATTTATGAGATTGTAAGGTCAGTAAACTACTTTTATTACAACTAATTTGCTAGAGCGCAGTGTGTTGCTTAAAAGTGCACTACTTGTATCTGAAAGCTTGTTCCTCTGTGAAATTTATATATAGGGTTCAGTTCATTTCAGTGATTTTGATTCATACAAATGTCTTTCAATCCATGTCTTTTGATAACAGGTGGATATGTGTTTAATTGGCAATCTTCTTTTTTTTATATTGGATGTTTTTGTGTAATTTTGCATATACTAAGTAACAATATGTTTTCTTACAAAATCTTTGGAAATTCCAGAAAAAACAATACAAGGTTTTTCCATCACTAGAAATTTATTGTGTGTGCCAACTTTCATTCTAACACCAGCATTAACAAAGGAATGTGAGTTCTGTAAAAGCATGAACAAAATTTAGTTCAGATATAATACGCAATAAGTTAAATCAGGAAATAAACAAGTAACATAAAAAGTAAAATAACAAAAATACCGAACCCCGAGGAAAATTCAAAACGGAAAGTCCCTAATCAAATGGCAAAATCAAAAGCTCAAACATAAGTTCTTTTTTTACATTTTAAAAATTTACTTCACGCATTCTATAAAATGTTTATATGAAATTCACTTTTGATCTTTATAAAGACTACTGCGACTTGTAAAAAAAGTTTGTAATCCTATATTGAAATACTATTTAATTGCTTTTATGGAACTATTTATTTTGAAATAAGTAATTAACTACTGACCTCTGCTCTTTGTGCAACTTTGTATAGTCTGACAATGTAGTCGTCAGTCATAGCTGGTACCTCCATGGCAACTATCACTTTGTTTGTCATATCTGTCTTAAGGAACTGGCTGATAGGTATCGTGTTAGATCCAGTACTATCCGCTGGAAAGTGACAAAAATAATATGCAAATGTTCTTACCATAGGATATAATATTCCACCAATAGTGAAGTACTCTGTGTAATGGAATTTAAGTTGGCCCTTACAGTTACATATTATTTGAGACTAATGCAGAATATTCAATTTTGATTTTTTTTTTGTCGTCTCTTATAAAAACATTTATTTTTGTATTTGTTCTGGCTGGAAGGAGGTGAGTCAATTTCCACTGCATTTTTTCAATCATAAAGTCGATATCTAAAAGCTATCAAATGCTGTATAAATGAAAATTTAATATTGAAAAGTCTATGTCCTATAACTGAAATGTTTTAGGCTCTGTCAAACTATGTATTTATTTCACTCATATACATGTAGTCGAAATCTAAAAGCTGTCAAATGCTTATGAAAATTGAATATTGAAGAGTCTATATCCTATAATTAAAATGTTTTAGGCTCTGTCAAACGATACGATATGTCTCTGTCTCAACTTACTAGCGACATGTTTTTATGTTCTTAGATTTGTGGATACCAGAATAGTCGTCTGATCAGTAATTTTACCGATTGTATTCTATTCCCGATTGTGATATTTCAACAGAGTGTGGTGGTTGATGAATGCATACCTGCATGATACGCTTACCCTGTCTATCCATCAAGTTCGTATCCTTCAGGTGTTCATGTGATTCCGTTAATCTTTATATTGTAATCTTGATGTATCGTCTTATTAATTTGTGAGATCAGTAAACTACTTTTCCCTTAATTTTTCAACAATTCTAAATAATTTTATATCATCATACTGTTATTTCCGCGATAAATGTTGGTATAAACGGCATTTTGATTTAAAAAAAAATGCAAATGTTACATGATTTTGGAATCGGAGAACGTAGCTAACCAAAATGAATTAATTTGTATCCAGCAGACCAAATAAAGCTTTACTTTTAAAAGAATTTTACTTTTTTATTAAGTACCCTCTTCTTATACATTTCAGTAATATATATTAAAATTTGACATCAAACAAATAACATTTCATCTAGAATCCAAAACTATGAACAATATTTAGCGTGTGATATGATATGAACATTCGTCTATTGTTGCAAGCTGTTTATTTAACAATATTTGGTTTTTTTCTTTGCTTTTGATTTTGTTAGTTTGCTGTGTCATTAACGTAAAATCTACATATCAATGTTCAATAAGAATACATTTGTGACGAAAATAACTTACCTATTATAAGTTTGACATTAGCTGCTTCCAAAGCAACGTAGACATCCGATTGAAATTCTGGATGAAGATGTTTCAGCATGAGGTTTCCTGCCCAAGAGGCCATCTGTTTAATGTGTACATGTAATTAGATATAAAAGAAAAATATTTGCAATTAACCAATGGAATAAGAAGATATGTGGTTTTCAAACACTTCTAGAGAGATTAGGTCCTAAATTTATTATTTACTAAAGAAAAATATGTAATTAATTGTGTCTTTACATGCCTTTTTATCCTAACATATAATTTCAGCAAATTCACAAAAATAAGTTGAAGTTGACATTTTAATGAGATATAAACAACTTACACTACGCACGGATCTACCAGCTACTCTCATTAGCATGTCTTTGATGTTTGCTAGATATCCTAAAGAAGGTGTAGATTGGGATCTAGTAAAGATATCAATTAACTGGGTAATAGATAAACCTGCCCCGAGAACAACTGTTGGGTCAAACTAAAAAGAAACAAACCAGGGAATTACACACTGGCTTAATATATATATTGACTGTTGACACCATACCTAAAATATCGACAATATATTATAATGCAAGTGAAAAAAATATACAATGTTCTTATATATATTATTGGTGGTATGAAAGGTAAATTCAAGATAATACAAGATTCCAAATCAACAGTGAGATATCAAACTGTTGCGACAATGAGTCCCTTAGTGCACAGCCTCTTTCAATGCTGAAAAGAAATCGGGTAAGTTCTCCCCAAGTTTTCACATGAGTTTTATAAGCTAACAATGTTCTTGTGAGATTTGTAATAGATGATTTAAAATCTATGAATAAATGATTATAAAGGTTAAGAAAATATGTGGTTCCTCGGTATTATGATTCAAATCATACATCAGTCTTTAGTGTTCTCGTCAATATGTATCGAACGAGCTCAAGAGCAGTGATATCAGACTAAATTTAAATGCTATGCATCTTAATGTTTTCAAACAGAATAATCTTACTTACATTTACACTGTATAAGCCTTGTATTCCTCTTATATCAACGAGAACATCAAACCCAGCCATATCTAGCTCTTGGTTGTATATACCTTAATGTAATGTATAAAACTTTAGATCAATTCATTAAGGTTGCAATTTTTTTCAAAGTTATATTTATTTATTTTTGATAATCAAAATTGATTATTATCACGAATAAGTTGCACGATTAGTGGACATGAAATACAATTTCAGTTCTAAAATATTCAATAATTTCTTCATACAGTGTTCTTTTTGTTACTTGCAAAAGTAGTCAGTACTTCGGTACTGGCATGATTTATAACAAACCGTTCTAAAAGTGACTGTTTATCAATTTAGAAATGGTTAAGAAACTAAGGTTTCAACTCTTGAGGCAAAGTTGACCTTAAATGAAGTTAGCTAGTATTTCTATGTCCTTTTTGGTCATATGGCTATTTAACTGTTTATGTTCTTATACATCATTGGCTTTCAAATATCAGGCTTTGAGCGTTCCTGATGAAGGCAAATCCAGAAAAGCACTTCGGACACAGGAAATTTATAATGTGTTGTTCTCCTTTGTCAAATGTTAAATTTTCTCCTTAAAGTTTCAGGTCTATCACTATGTACTTGTACTTCAATGAGAGTTTTCGGTATTATTTTACTTTTATGTTAAGTTTTTGATATTGATGTTTCTTATAAGGCTATTCCCCCCTTTAGTACCTTGTCCGGTGTTACCAAACACCATCCTGGTTTGCTTTCCAGAGTTATCTGCTAGGATTTTGAAAAGTTGATCAAATGTGTCAGGTCTATACCATACAGCATCGCTTCCCACAATTTGAAGTTGTTGTCCTTTTCGTGGATGACAATTACCATGGCAGCGCTCACCAGTTTTGTGACAATATGTCTTTCCTAGCTCCTATTGTAAATTTTAGAATTTATACTATCAGATGTGTACAGTGATGAGTAATTTCTTACAAGATATTAAGTTGATTAAGATAGATATCTCAATTAGTGATAGAAATACAAGCGAGTTTAAGCTGTTTAAAGTGAAGTGAAAAGTAAAAGTTCCTTCTCAAAATTAAATAATGTTAAATACGGTTAATAAAGTATAATTACCAATATAAAAAGCAAGACAAAAAATATATACATTTTTTTTAAGTCGAATAAGCATGAATTAATTATGTTTTTGTAGACCTGTTAGTCATCATTACTCATTTCATCTTATCTAACATTTTAATCGATGTTTGCCCCTGCCGCAAAATAGCCAATACGTCAGATGCGTTGTTAAATTACCAAGTTCCAAGTGATGAAGTTTTATATCACGACTTGGTTGACCGTTTCACAGATGACCACTGATATGTTCCAATTATTTTCGTAGCCATATCCCATTCTTTTCCTCGAATTTGACCTACCGAATAAGACTTATCATCAGGTTTGTACGTACACGAGCAACATGACGGGTGCCACATATGGAGCATGATCTGCTTATCCTTCTGTAGCACCTGAGCCACCTTCGGTTTTTTTGTGGGGTTCGTGTTGCGCAGTCTTTGGATTTTCTATGTTGCGTTTTAAATACTGTTGTTTGTCTTTTGATCGTTTTTTTTTTTGTTTTTACTATGGCATTGTCATGTTGTTTTCGAATAATTATTTTGAATGTTCCATTGGTATCTTTCGCCTCGCACTTACAACCATTCGATCCATAACGTGGTGGTTTTTGCATATGTGCTCATCTGAAAATGTTTGCTAGTATGCAGTGTATCATCGTAATTTTGTTTTATCAATGACCTTGCAAGACCCTTGTTTGTCAAGGTCAATAATCCCCTCGTATAAGTGGTATTTTTAACTGCTATTTTATACATTCTATTTTACTAAACCTTTGATTTTTACGGACTTGCTTCTGATTTTTCAATTTGTATTGCGGAAAAGATGGTATACCGCAAAAAGATGGTGCAAAGGTTTATATATATATATGTTCCAAATAATCCTATATTTTTTTAAGACTGCAACTAAATGATACTAACAATATTGGGATTCATTTGTAGAATAAAAGTGTATGAGTTGCTTTTTATTGAAGCTTTTAAGACTATTTCAATTTACCTCAATATCTACAGTTGTTGTTTTCCTCACAGCTGGTGAGTCTTGTGCAAATGATTTCATAGCATCCAATATTGGTCGGTAACCTGTATAGAATTTAAGAATCCAATAAAAAATAAAACTTATACCAATCAATGTATTGTGTATTTGTTTTTGCTACTATGAATGTTAGATACATAGTTTTTATCCGTTCGTAAAAATACACAAAACACTGAAAGTTCTCTGAAAATTCACTTCTTAAATATAAGCCAGTTAGTTTTTGGTTTGAAATTAAACATATCTATCAATATTCCTTTATTATTAATACGGAACTGCATTACGCGTATTCGCACTCACTAACTAGCCCATAGCTCAATTACAATTAATTAATAAATGTTTTCCCAAGCTAAAACCGGAATCTGTCTAATACGTTTATGTTTTAATATTCACATACCAGTACATCTGCAAATAACATCATCATAAGCATCCTCCACTTGTTTCATTGAAACGTTTCCCTCGTTTTGGTCTAGTAATCTGAAAAGGGAGTTTTAGTAAATGCAAATGTATTAAATGATACAGACGAAAACAGAGTGAAAAAGTATAACAAAAATACCGAACTCCTAGGTAAATTCAAATAAGGGGAGTCGACAAAAACAGACACGAGACATCCTTCCAGTGTATAATTAGATGATATGAGGAAAAAATTTTACCACTGATAATTTTAAGCAGCAAATTTCTGGTGTCATTTAGAAATCAAAAGCATAATATAATGTAGCAGGTGGCATTTTTTTATTTTCAACAAGAGATATCAAACATCATTCAAATTGAATAACCGTATTATAACTTAATTGTGGTATACAGTGTAGCTTTACCTATGCGTGTATATTGATTCAAATGTATACAAAGCTGATTCACTTACGCATGCATGTTCATGACCTGACCAGGACTGCAGAATCCACACTGTGAACCATTGTATTTGGCTAGACGCTTTGGGATGACGTCACTTATAGCTTCTATGGTAGTTATCTCCCACCCATCACACATGAATAATGGACAGAGGCACTGTAAAATTAAAAAAAAAAATATATGTAAAGTGGACACATATATAAATTATATGTAATTTATAAAAAATGAAAGCTGATAAAAAAAAGTGTTTTAATTTATCCGACAATTCAGATAAAATTAGACATCTATGATTATATATCGCAATACTGCTATATTCAGTTCTGTTTACTTTTATTTGGGGGGTGATATTTGCAATACATATTGTTTTATGCTATCATTTATGATGTTTTGGAAATATTGGTCCATCTCTATATCAGTCAGTGGAAGGTGATATATACACCACAGCTGCCGAGTTGTTTTGGGCAAAAAAGGGTCACCATTTGAAATTTCGGAATAATATCTATATGATTATTAAAGCAATTATCATACAAAATAATGTTTCTTTAAGCGCATGATAGTATCTTAAAATGATATTAAAAAAGTGTTACAATAATTATTATGTTTTGTCTGGTTTATGTGTAATATAACCACCATCTTCTTTAATAGTGCTTATATTACACATATTAGAGAGGTTTAGCTAGCTTTAAAACCGTGCAGGTTTAATCCACCATTTTCTACATAAGAAAATGCCTGTACCAAGTCTGGAATATGACAGTTGTTATCCATTCGTTTGATGTGTTTGAGCTTTTAATTTTGCCATTTGATTAGGGACTTTCCTTTTTGAATTTTCCTCGGAGTTCAGTATTTTTTGTGATTTTACTTTTATTTATATCATATAGAAAATAAAAAAAGTCCTTACAGAGTTGATTGGGTAACTCTTCTTTGTATCAGACATCGGTTCATATAACTTGGCCTCAACAAGACAGATACCACAGCCGCCTTCATGACACATCACTTTGGTGCCAACAGAAATTCTCTCTTTCCGTAAGTACGTGTTAAGTTTAGTTGATGGCGGATATTCATTTCCAACTATAATTAGATAATAAGTACACCCAATAAATTATGTTGATTACGTGAATATTGAATTTGTGAAGTAAATTAAATGTTTATATGATGCATGAAAAAAACAAAACATTTGTACTTCTAAAATCTGGTTTTTTTTAAACAAGACAGCCAACGAAATATAATAATATTATTATATGGTTTTCGATTTCACTCACGGTGCCTGCGCATGCTATTATTCAGACTTGTTGACTTGCTGGCATTGTTATGTGCTGTGGGGTTCGTCTTGGTTGAAACCTCCGTAGATTAGATTATGTTAAAAAACTATAAATCATTAAAGTAAATGTTAGGTTTTGAAGTGTCAACAGAAGACAAGACAAAAATTGATGTTTGGTTCATATACGTGATTAATGTTATAGGTCTCAGTAATGATAGAACGATCCCCGTTGCATTGCTTTGTAATACAGATAAAACTCATCAAAGATAATCAATGCGGTTATGATTTAAGTTTGGTGTATAATCAGGATACATTGGTTATAGGGAGTAAAATGTAACAAAGTTAACCAAACACGTGTTCCTATACTACATAATAATAACATTCATATTCTTTGTACAATTTTAGTAAGCAAACTTATTAATATGAAGTTTTGTTATAAGATAAGAAATCAAATATTGACTTAGCATTGTCAACTAGTGCCAATTTTTTTTTAGCAGAAACTCCTTCTCCTTTCGTAAAATATTGGTTCAACCCCAGGTTTTAATGGCGTTGGACGCTGTTTTTATTTTTCATTTTTCTTTCTTTTGTCAAATTGTTACTGACTTTCTATGACTTATGATTTTGATTTCCCCTTTTTATATTCATTTTGCTCAGTTACTTTATCATAGTTCATAATACTAGAAGTTACAGTATTTATGCTAGTTTTTATTTTTTTTTATATTTCAACGAACCGTACATGCACTTTGGGTTCAATTTATAGCAAAATGTATGTTATAAGAATAAGATACCTGATAAATTTACAAAATTATGTATATAAAACACTTCAACCTATGTCGTTTGGATGAAGTACATTAAGTTGCTTTATCCAGACGCTTTCCCCAACACAAAATTGCACCTATGCTTGAAGATTTGTCATAGCTGAAAATTGGCAATTATGTATAGAGAAAACAATAATTTCCATGAACAGGGATAAATCTTGTTAATCGAGTTATATTGAATGACGAAAATAAGAAATAATTTGAAGTATTATTTTTGGACAAAGAGAATACAAATGTGATTCTTACTAAAACACCATTACCTGTGTACTGTTGTCCATTGATAGTTACTGTGATTTTAGAGTTGATATCAGATTTCACACGAAATTTAATGAAATGTCCACAACTTTCACAGCTGCCAGCAAACACTCCTGCCTTAACTTTGTCATTTCTAAACAAATATCTGTAATAAAAAAAAAAAAAAACAGTTAATTAGCATCAATATAAATAAGAAGATGTGGTATGAGTGCCAATGAGACAACTCTCCATATTTTGCAGGACTAAACCTGCGAAGGAAACGAAGATAAAATTACAAAATGGAAAATTAATGATGATCCTTAATTTTAAATAAGTGATAAGAAATCATAAATAAACAATGAATGATTTTATCATTAGAAAAAAATTTATCAAAATATCTTCGAAATACTATTTTATACATAAGAGTCCTCATTTTTTCCATGAAAAGAATTATTTCTATTTTGATGTACTTGGAATGCTTTCAAGCAAGCTGCAATTACATTTTTATTGATTTGATACTATTGCTAATTATTGATATAATTATGACAATAAGTGACACATTTCCTTGATAGGGGGTTGCTGCTTACACGGAAGCTATTAAACCAAGAATTCAAAGTGGTGAAGTTGAAGTCATCCCTTCAAAAAAAACGTACAGACACCATCACGAGTTGGTTGACCGTTATGGAATATCTGTTTCATAGATGACGACGGATTTATTTCAATCGTCGTAAACACAATCCCTTCCTCTTTTTCCCCGAATGTGACCTATCGAGATAGACTTATCACCGGGTTTATACTTACATGAGCAATACAACGGATGCCACATATGGAGCAGGATTTGCTTACCCTTTCGGAACACCTGAGATCACCCCCGGTTATTGGTTGGGTTTGTCTTACTCGGTCTTTACTTTTCTATGTTTTGTTTTGTGTGCTGTTGTTTGACTTTTGTTTTTTTTCTTTTTTTTCCATGATGTTGTCAGTATATTTTTTACTTATGAGTTTGAATGTCCCTTTAGTATCTTTCACCTCTCTTTGACATTTGTTGTTTATATATATATATATATATATATACAACTCGTCTAAACATAAGCCCAACAATGTTAGATTTGTAAATTTGCTTTCGCAAATTTTTTGTTCTTCCCTCGCCGGGATTCGAACTCATGTTACTGAGATATCGTGACACCAAATCGCCTGCACTGTATCCGACGCGCTAGACCACTCGACCACCTAGGCTTCACAAAAAAAAAGCTTTCGGTGGCCGGGTGTTACCTTTCCTCGTCAGTTTTTAATCTAGCGTCGGAATACAGTACATGATATATAAGGCATGAAGATGGAATTGATACAGATCAGCTGAAATATCTATTGTAAAGGATCCTACAAATTAATGCAAGATACAGTCACAGAAATAATTATATTTACAATTACGTCTGAACCAGTGACAACTCTACAACAGATTTATCCATCGGATCACCAGTAGTGGTAGTGATACATGGCTGTGTACATTCTGTATATACAACTCGTCTAAACATCAGCCCAACAATGTTAGATCTGTTAATTTGCTTTCGGAGTTTTTTTTGTTCTTCCCTCGCCGGGATTCGAACTCATGCTACTGAGATATCGTGACACCAAATCGCCTGCACTGTATCCGACGCGCTAGACCATTCGACCACCTAGGCTTCACAAAAAATAAAGCTTTCGGTGGCCGGGTGTTACCTTTCCTCGTCAGTTTTTAATCTAGCGTCGTAATACAGTACATGATATATAAAGCATGAAGATGGAATTGTTACAGATCAGCTGAAATATCTATTGTAAAGGATCCTACAAATTAATGCAAGATACAGTCACAGAAATAATTATATTTACAAGTACGTCTGAACCAGTGACAACTCTACAACAGATTTATCCATCGGATCACCAGCAGTGATTGTGATACATGGCTGTGTACATTCTGTATATACAACTCGTCTAAACATAAGCCCAACAATGTTAGATCTGTAAATTTGCTTTCGCAATTTTTTTTATTCTTCCCTCGCCGGGATTCGAACTCATGCTACTGAGATATCGTGACACCAAATCGCCTGCACTGTATCCGACGCGCTAGACCACTCGACCACCTAGGCTTCACAAAAAATAAAGCTTTCGGTGGCCGGGTGTTACCTTTCCTCGTCAGTTTTTAATCTAGCGTCGTAATACAGTACATGATATATAAGGCATGAAGATGGAATTGTTACAGATCAGCTGAAATATCTATTGTAAAGGATCCTACAAATTAATGCAAGATACAGTCACAGAAATAGTTATATTTACAAGTACGTCTGAACCAGTGACAACTCTACAACAGATTTATCCATCGGATCACCAGCAGTGATGGTGATACATGGCTGTGTATATATATATATATAATCATAGGTATAAACGTTGTTTTCAATTTAGACTTCTTTATATTTTTTCGTTTGGGCTTGTATTATATTTGCCTTCGGGTTTATATGATCCGTTCATCCTATTTTGACTCCTCAAAATTCAAGAGTCTATCCTAAATTGAGGTAAATTGTAAGGCTTTCCAAACACCGTTTAGATTCCTAACATGATGGTGCAAAGGTTTATATATATATATGTTCCAAATAATCCTATATTTTTTTAAGACTGCAACTAAATGATACTAACAATATTGGGATTCATTTGTAGAATAAAAGTGTATGAGTTGCTTTTTATTGAAGCTTTTAAGACTATTTCAATTTTGTTGTCTGTTCTAAGATTCATTTGATGCAAAATGTTGTGTTGCTACAGTGTCAATATTTACGTCATCGTAGGTTTTAAAAATATCAGAACAAAAAAATAAAACATCATCATAGAAAAACCGATAATACAATGGCAAAAAACGAAAAAATTCAAACAACACTTTACAAATATCATGCGTCCGAAGCACTTTTCTGGATTAATATTCATCGGGAACGCTCAAAGAGCTTAATGACCAAAAAAAGGATTCGAAACAAAAGCCAAGTCAATACATGGTCAACTTTATCTGAGGGAACTAAAACCTTAGTTTCTTTATAATTTGTAAATTTATAAACGGACAATTTCAGATGTATTGACTACTGAGCTGATAATACACTCGGGGAATGATAGTCTATCAGCAACAGTATCGACCCAGTGCTTTAAAAAACGAAAACAACACTTTATAAATTCCAAATCAACACAAATGCATACACCATAATCCTCTGAAATTGTCATTCATTGCAAGCGGAAACTTACACTGATCCCTTTTCCACAATTTTTACAAATATGACCTATAATGGTTTACTTTTTACACATTGTGACTTGGATGGAGAGTTGTCTCATTGGCACTCATGCCACATCTTCTTATTTCTATATAAAGACATATCATAAAAACATGATTCACGAAGTGTTTTTTTGGCCGTAAATTCTGATAATGATTGCTTTGCATATTGACCCTAGATTTATGCAAATGTTTCTTTTTGCATATCACAGATATCAGCTGAGTTCAATCAAAATACCATGGTGACTTTTTTTGTTTATTGATATATAAACAAAAAGGTAAGATATTCAATTTGCTATCTACACTAAACCTAAACAAGACAAACAATGCATAACACAAACAGAAAATAAGATAAACAATTACGTAACATAAACAGAAATTATGATCACCAATATATGAAATGGATGACGCACAAAATATCAATAACTAGTAACAAAAGTTAAACTATCTTCTGATAAATAGAGTTAAAATATATAACGCTTGATAAACATTATATCTATCTTGTTCCCATTTATTAAACAACCTAATAATTAACCAGAATAATTCAGTCCCTCCCCGTGATCGACTCTCCCACTCGTTAATGAAGCCATCGAAGAGCAGTGGAATACAACGACTGAATTATTCGGGTTACCTAATAAAATTAGTATCTACCAGTGAGTAAATTGATATCGAATCTGCACAACAAAATGAGTCTTATAGTAGTTCAAAAGTTTTAATGTATAAATTCTATTTTACGTTTTTATAGAAAATCGCATATTGATTAATTTGTCTGTTTTATTTTCTATGTTTAATAACTCCATATACACCGTTTTCAGAACGATCCATACATTTATAATTTCTTATTCAGTATCACACTTTTCAAGATCAGGAGTATGACGTGGGCCTACTTGGTGTAACCAACTGCTCGCTGTTTGCACTGTTATGAATTTTCATGATCTTTGATATTACTCCTGACATGTCATCATTCAGGTTGCTTGTGAAACTTGCTTCGGGGTAGCAATCGGGCAATACATCCAAATCATGACGCGACTTGCTCTCACTTCTTTTGGTTTTGGGTCTGTGTCTGCTTATACATCCATTTGAGTTTACTAGCATCATTTGAGTTTACTTTGGTATACTGACTTCAGAATGAAGGCTTTAAGATGATGTATATTACCCTATATTTTGGGGCTGTCTCATTAAAATTAATCTGATCGATATTCATAACATATATATATATATATATGAGCTGCGTCAGATAGAAATAAACCTTATGCAAATGGTATCAGTGCATCTGTTAACATATTTCGGGCAACAACAAAAAAACGGAAAGTTTGTAACCATTTGAAAATTGAGTTGTTATAAGAACCCTACAAAACAGGCCAAAATTTTTACATCGTATTCAAATGTTATTAAATCAATCAAAGTCTTAAATATGTACATGTATACATGTCGATTTCTATCCGACGCAGCTCAATTATGAGTTCAAACCGTGTTCAACAATCCCGTTATTGTTCAGTTATATATATTAACCTTTCTTTTCTTTTATTTAGAACTAAATGGTTGAGACTAATTTCATTCCTTTTAGCGCTAACATTTTACAAATAAACAATTTAGAAAGTACACTAAATCCTAAACGGTATTTCAATAATTCACGTGAATACTGCTTTCAAATTGATGAATGTTTTATTTGAAGACTTTATTATCGGAGACCGCTGTTATCATTAGAAGTTACAAAATCATTTTACCATACATACCGCATGTTAACTCTTATAATGAAACCGTTTGTTTCCTTTCAACTCATAACTTAAAGCACGAAGTTGTATACCTAAGACAGTCATTGGAAAATTTTTGTGTTGTACTTTTTGTAGGTTTCATTGGCGCTGATTAAGATATCTGCATGTGTATATTTGTTTACGCTCCTTTGTCAATGGTTTTGTTCATTTCGACCTTTTAGTGTCTGTGCAATAAAAAAATCCGAGTATAAAAATTATTTAATTTAAACACAGTTAAATATTTTCCATTAGCTTGATCGTTTGTTTATTTGGTTTTTTTGAGGATATTTTATTTTATTTTTTATATCGTTATTTGCAATGACTTATCGTGTAAGCTTGTGGAGTATTTGTAATGCACAAAAGGTAGAAGCATATGAATGTGAGATAACGATGCGCTTCTGTTTAAAAAATGACAAAATACCTTGAGTTGCAGACAGGGCATACAATACAATTATCCAGCTCAGCCAAATGCTTTGAATCCATATTATTCTTTAAAGGCCAGCAGTTTACAAATTAATAACAACACAGTACATATTTATACTTATTGGACAGTTGATAATATATCTTCTATCTATGAGACATTATAGGTTATCAATTTTAGTGATTTGTATCTAGTACGATAATGAACAAACAAATGGCCAGATTGTATGAAAACAATGACCTTTTCTGTCAGTGGTGTATTTAATCGTGTTTTTTGGCAACATGAAATTATCTCTACAAATATTTTTTTTATAATGTACATAAAGTATGAAATTAGATTACTCAAATAAAAACTTTTAGAATAAAAGAAAAAGAAAAAAAAAAAAGAATTAAAACGAAAACCTGAGACTACTATAACACATGTGTTACAGTAGTCTCAGACGAAAACCTACTATGCAGATAACACTTGTCACTACATGTGCTACATTGATTTATCTTGAAGTATGTAAAAATGTAACTTAAATGAAAAATGTTCTACAGTTTGGAAATCTCGAATCTAAAGATAGTCTTTATGTTTTTGAAAAATCAGTAATTGGAAAGAACAAATTTAATCATTTGAAAACAGTAATGATATGTGAGCAAACTCACTGTATTGCAGTGATATGGATTAAATTATATAAAATAGTGTCAATTGGGTCTCTCTCTCTCTCTCTCTCTCTCTCTCTCTCTCTCTCTCATATATATGTGTGTGTGTGTGTGTGTGTGTGTGTGTGTGTGTGTGTGTGTGCTTACATACAGATTGCTTCTTTTCTTCTCTTCTCGTATGAAATATTAGTGGAGTGACCAAGCCAGCTAATTTTCATCTTTAATGGACCACCCTACCTGCAGGTTAAATTTTGATTTTTCGTTTAGAGAAATGTTTAAACTTTAAATTTTGCCTGGTCGTAGAGTCGAAAAATGGTGCATTATTTTTAAATTTGAGGTCAAAGCTCGGTAATTGAGATTTTCTTTAGTGTTAAAAAAATCACGAGGGGTTATATGTACATTTAAAGAAATATTTCTGTACTTTACGGTTTCATAAAAAGAATCGAAGATAATTTTGTTTCTGTTTAATTATATACCGGTTGCCAGCGGCAAATATTTCACTTGGTAACTGAATAAAATCGTTTAGATGAAGTACTTTTCAAGCTTATATTTTTCTGTTATGAACATTGAGATTGTTTGGGTAGGAATTTTGACATTAGCGGCCTTTTATGGCCCCCTCAGAAAAAGTTGCTGCAAGGGTGCATTAACATGCAAAGTGCACAACACATTTTTCGAACACCGGGCCTCTCATTATTGATCCTTTGGTTCACACATTCTGCAGAGTCAAAGTGGTATCCACACTTCATGAGTTCTATACTGTAGTACATTTGTACAATAATTTTCCCAAGATTTCTGACTTTACATTTATTGTTCAGACATCGTTTTCATCATCGTCATCTTCAGAAATGGCTTGGTGGGGAATATGATTCCTACATCCCACATACCATCCACACGATTAAATATTTGTACACGCCAAATTCTATGTATTGCATACACAGCTTTAATTTCAAGCTCTTTACCCTTGCATGTAAAAATAAGGTCCTGAAGAATCTCCGATGACATAGGTCACTCGAAGAAAACCGGTATGTGTTCTCAATTCTTTAAACACATGTATGGTCTTAAAAACAGTAATATAATATTCAATGCTTTCATTTGGATGAGACATACTAATTAATTATGACAGTTAAGGGACGCCTTCCATACGTTTTGTTCAATACTTTTTATACAGTTTATGTATATGCATCATTTGAAAAATGTTTAAATAAAGGAACCATGAGAACCTCATAGGGCAGTGTTCATTCTGGAACACCGCGATTAAACTGTTCGAAAATAAGAATCTTACTGTATTTCGAGCATAAATTTCACAGTCAACACATAAGTCATATAGCTCAGCTAAAACCATTAATTTACCAACTGTAGATGTATGAAAGATGAAAGCCCATGAAATCTTCCTATTCTTATAATGTGGGAGTTAATAACGTCTGTCATATACCTCTCTTCTTGTAGGGTAACAGTATACAATTGCTGGTCAAACGTTTGCACAGCGTTTTGCTGAACATATCTAAGCATTGTTCCATAGTGGTATATACAATAAATGTTGCCATGTTGCTATAAAACACAAATCCAAACACAACAAACAAACAAAAAACAACAAACAAAACAAAACAAACCAAAAACAAGAAAAAAATAAACGAAGGACAAACAATGTCAGAGCCAAAAATAAAATGGAAAGGCACATACTACTATAAAGAACGCCTATGATTGACCAACCCGGACTTCGCAAAAAAAAAACAAACATAGGTGACCTAAATAAATTGATTCAAAAAGGTAAGTATGAAGTAGTTTTTCGCCACCAAAAGTGTCCCCAGTGTAATGACATATAAAACTGTGATGATAATAAGTCTTACTCGTAATATATCATGAAAGAAAAGAAAAAAATACCATCGTGCACATACCTACAGGAGGAGCGTGCTCTCTAGTGTCATGCTTTTCAAAATTATCTTCGTAATAAACTGATGGTGAAGATGTTTATGAAAATCAAATAATACATGTTTTTGTTCGGAACATATCCAAAAGAACAGGTCGAATCTACCCAAACCACTGAAATGATAATGTAAATATGTATTCCAGTGCAGATATCTTGATCAGCGCAAAAGACAATGACATTAAAATTATTATGTTTCCCAATGTCTTTTTGTGATAGAAAACTTATTGTTTTGCACTATGTGTTGAAAGGGAAAAAAAGGTTCAACGATAAGAGTAAAATTACAGCACATTCAGAAAATTATGTAAGTCCATCTTCTAGTGATCCTAGCTAGTTGTCTTCGATAATAAAATTTACAACCAACACATTTGTTAATTTGAAAGCAACTACCTAAAACATGACAAAAAAATTGTCATATGAATAATAGTGATCATGAGAAATTCATAACAGAGTAAACAATGAGCTGTTGCTAGCATCGAGGAATGTCCAAATAATAGAAAAGTGTAATGTTGAATAAGCTATTCAAAACAATCCGTTGACTGTTGTTATGATACTGCAAATGACATTAACCCTTTATAAATTTCGTACGCTAGACGCACTTTTCTGGATTTGCCTTCATCAAGATTTTGTATAAAGGCTTAAACGACAATGCAAATCGAAAGGGAAAAACGAAAAATAGGTTGATTATATATAAAACATGGTAAAATGAAATGTATTCATTCAAACTTTTGAACAACAAATACACAAGTGTGTAACCAGAGACATCTATTATATGTCTCTGGTGTAACTAAAATTCAGTAGCTGTTAACCTTTCTTTTTTTTGGATTTAAGGGAAAATTCCATGTCAAAAGTTGAAAGTAAATGGTTTAAATGGTGTTTATATTTATGTATTGTTGAAGACTTTATGTATGTTGACCCCTAGTTGTCTGTGGTCATTTGTTTGATTGGGTTGCTGCCTCTCATTGGTGTATACCCAATGTCCACATCTCCTTTTAATCATACAACACCCATGACCAAATGACTAAAAAGGCTTACAGTCAACAAATCACTACACATAAATCTTAAGTTTTAGCCACACGAATCATAAAATAACCAGGGACAGAATCTAGTGATAAACTGCATTCAGTATTGTCTTTAGAGAGAAATTGAAATCAGGATTGAAGCTAAGATAATTTGAACATATACAAGGTCATATGAGACACAGATATTCCATAGGGGTCTTTTCCATAGTGGTTAAAATGGTGGTGTCAATAAAACTTCCAAAGAGATGTCTTCAACTTTATTATGAATTCTCTAACAAGGAGATAATAATAGATTATCGTTGAGATGACCAATGATAATCTGTTTATCGCTATTTTACCTATGTTGACGTTGTCAATTTCATTAGCAACGGCACGTGCCCCCTTAGTTTCTAGCGATAATTTTCATATCACTCGACTCCGCTGAGAAAGGAAATTATCAGTCAGTAAGATCAAAGGAAATTTTCGTAAAATAGCGATAATGATAGAAGACGCAAGTCTGATCTTCATCGTATCACTGACTGACAGATGTATATATCCCACATGTGGTGCTGATGGAATGTTGCTCCATAAAATTAGAAAGTTTCCAATGGAAAAAAATTCATTCTCTTTTGTCACAAAGTTAGTTCTCAACCGACCCGCACTGTCAATTTATAGGTTTAACTCATTATACCAAACTGTATTCTGTATCCTTTATTTTAAGTTCAAAGGGATAAATCTGATCAATATATCACCAAGCTTTAAATCATTCCGTGAGAGAACATCATCTATATAGTGTAACTTGCAGTTAAAGGATAATACTAGTTAATTTTAATTATAAAGTGGGTGGACTCAACATCACCTTTAGTAATCCAACTTATACAAATATATCTGTTACCATGGAAAAGTTATAGAAACATGACTTTTGACCGTTGGTATAAATATTAAAGAAGCTGATTTTTATCTTCCTTCCTTATATTGATTGATCAAAAAGTCCACAGACAATATCTTTTGTTATTAGTGCAAATCTCAAAAGAAATCCTCATGCTTAACCATTAGTTATCATATTTACAAATTTTTGAAAACATTTTGAGCATCAGGATACCTAGACAGTACGTTGTTTCAAAATTGAATATTCCAAGAAAACACTAAGAATATATTTCAGAAGATTAAAGCATAAAATGATTGACCTATTTAATTCTATATAATATATATCAACAATAACATGTAAAAATGTTGGAAATAACAAATAAAATTATTCATAAAAAGCAACAACAAAATTTAAAGGTAAACATTATTCCTAAATTTCATCAGGTGTTTTTATTATTGGACAGCAATAAAATTATATCTGGTATTAATTATTAGCACTCATTTAATGGAAAAAACATGTAAGCATATTAATTATTTGTCTCTTAGTTACATTACATTAGCATTTCCTAAAACAGTTTACCTATTTTTATATGCAAATAACAACAATATCACCACCTCAATTAATAAAGAAAAAAATCATGCAAACCTTGAGCAATCATATAAATGTCATGGTTTAAGTCTGTTTTTGTTTAGTTTTTTGTGTGCAAAATTGAGCAGTTAAAACTTTTCTTTTATTTTTGTCTCTTGTTTTCAATTCACAATAATCCTTCTTTTTTTTTAATATTTACAGGTTTTGAATGCTGAATTACTTACATCATTTATAAAAGCATTTACAAATATTGTACATCTACATTGAACAAAAACCTGTACTCTAATCCCCCTCTTTCTGATGGTAATAAGGATGATATATGCTTAGTGGTGCTAACTGATCTTTTGTTAGTAACCAGTTTCCAGTTAAATATATTTTCTAATGATGAACTCATTGATAATAAGGGGAAATCTATGAATTTCTTATGCTATCTGGTACTAGTCTGACTCTGTAAGTAATTTCAAGCAAAAAATAGTTTGAAAAAAAAAATTCTACATTTATCTACTTTAACTGCTCCGTCTGAAAGAAAATAATACAAATAAATGTCTTTTACAGTAAATCATGTCTCGACAGTTTGCCCTGTATGCCACTAATAAATGTCTTTTACAGTAAATCATGTCTGGACAGTTTGCCCTGTATGCCACTAATAAATGTCTTTTACAGTAAATCATGTCTGGACAGTTTGCCCTGTATGCCACTAATAAATGTCTTTTACAGTAAATCATGTCTGGACAGTTTGCCCTGTATGCCACTAATAAATGTCTTTTACAGTAAATCATGTCTGGACAGTTTGCCCTGTATGCCACTAATAAATGTCTTTTACAGTAAATCATGTCTGGACAGTTTGCCCTGTATGCCACTAATAAATGTCTTTTACAGTAAATCATGTCTGGACAGTTTGCCCTGTATGCCACAAATAAATGGACTCCTAAAACAGGCTTCTTTGTGTAATACTGAATGCAAAATATATAATTACATAACCATTAAATAAGATTTCTTAGAAGCTAAGAATAATGCATTTTCTTAAAAAATTATGCACTTAGTGAGTGAAAATATACTTGTAAATATAAAAATGTGACTAGCATAAAGGCAAAAAGTAGAAAAAAAACGATATAACAACATGAAAGACCTTATTTTACTTTAACATATAAAGGGATACAAAAATGAAAGGCACATATCAAGAATCTCCCCCATAACACCATCCGATGAAGCAAATAATAAACAATATAATGAATTTGTTCTATTTGCTAACTTCTACATAATTATTTCATTTAAGGTGCAATAGTTTATACGTTAATTGTCTGTTGGTCATTATAAGGTAGAAGTGTCAACTGTAATATGTATCAATGAATCTGTGTTATCAAACCTAGCTCATGGATTCACTAATTAGATCATTCAAACATTCAATGTTTGAAATAGAAAGTCATTTAAAAAATATAAATTAATTCATCTGATTAAAGCTTGAATTCAAAGTCAATCACATATTTCCTGATGTACAGCTGACTATTCTTCAAGTGTCATTCATTATTCTCAGATTACAAACTGAGATGGATCTACCAGACAAAGTTCTTGTAATCTATCTACTGTTGCTGGTCCATCTGAAAGAAAAAAATACAAATAAAAGTCTTTTACAGTAAATCATGTCTTGACAGTCTGACCCTTATGCCACTTATGAATAGTCTCCTAAAATTTGGCTTCTTTCACACGAGTTGTAAAGGGTATTGACTTTTTCAAGACATTTGAAGAAAGATAGTAATGCAATCAGGTGAAGTTATTCTTTACATATTACTGTGAGAATCAAAAGGTTTATACCAATCATATAAAATAAATAGAAATAATGCACCATTTAAATCAAGGAAAAGGGATTTTCAATCTTTGCTTCCTCTGGATATTTGCTGGAATGTCTCTAAAATGGAATTATGAGCTGACAGCCTGACAATTTACAAAAATATTCAAACTATCCCACACATGTAGTAATTTCTACCTCAGTATCTTACCAAAACATAATGGCATTCAAATTATACATGGAAAACATCCAATATTGATCTTAAAAAAGAGACAGAAGCTACCTTGGAGACATCCAAAAGGGAAACTGACTAATGCCATGGCAAAAGCAACATGATCTTATTTTTGATTACACTAAAAAAACTTCAGTTATTAATGATGTACAAAAACACAACACTAAATGAAACAGTTCTTTCATAGATATGATATATATTAGAGCAAGTTTTGATATTTAATGCTGAGCATACTTGATGTTGCTATTATAAAATGGTATAGTTTATTGTCAAAAGATATAATGGATGAGAAGATTACTTTCAATAATTCAGTATTTGTGTTTGATCAGTTATATTAAGGGGGTATAAGAAAATAAGATTTTTCATGGTCTCTTTCTATTATCTTCAGTGACTTGTATTAGAGAAGGGCTATAGCCAACTGAACTAGTAAATAAATTCCATAAGAATGATCATCATAATTTACAGAATTTCTCAGGTGGGATCAGGGCTTCCAAAATTATTTTTAGCCAGCCGGACATTTTATATATTATCCTGATTTTAATCCCTTAAGACTAAATAAACAAAAGGCATTTATGGTAATCAGTTGCCGAGTTGGCCATCCCAATGATTGACATTAAAAAAAAAAACGATATTACACTTTCTTTGATTCAAATTCGAAGTTCTGACGTAAACTGTTAAATTGGCAGTGCATCATTCGATGTGTGCAACATCAGCGTACTTATATATCTGCCTTAGACTCTTTATTTGTGCAAAATAACATTGTCAAAAACTTTACTTTCGTTTTTAATAAAAATCTAATACCTGATGTTATCTTGACAATGGTAAAACACGGACCAGAGACGGATACGTAAATTCTGTGTACGTTTGCAAAGCATGAATGAGTGTAAGTAGCTCTTTCTATGTTATTTCTTCAAGAAAATATTCGAAATAAACTTGAGATAAGGGTAACAATGACAATTTAAGCATTTTTTGAAGAAATTAGGATGCATAATTAAATTTCACACCTGGGCACATGCGCACACGTGTACTAGTTCAAACAGAGACATGTCTCTGGTTCAAACAACGTGGTTATGACAATTTTTCATTTTCACCTTTTTAATTTTTTCTTCAAATCATATTTGTAAACGTATTTCTGATAATTTAAATCTTTTTGACAAAATTAATTAGATGCAAACCGCTGAAATATATGAAAATAACTTTGAATAGACCGATCAATGTCCGGTTCAAAATAGTTTACCTGTCACCTGAACAGGTAAATTTCAGCTGTTCGACAACTAATTAGCCTTGATTAAAATGAGAAGGTATTAAACAGGGTTGTTTTGATAGTACTTAATGATCATGTCACTTTTATGACCGGAAATGTGTGGCTGTTAAAGGCAAAAGGTTGGGTCAAAAAGATTGCGAATTATGTTAAAATGACCGTCTCTTAAGAAAGCCTTGAAAACTAAAAAGTAGATGACCGTTTCATGCTTTGCCCAGCCGGACTTTTACCGGACATTATACAAATGTCCGGAATATATGACCGTTTTGGAAGCCTTGGGTGGGAGACATAACCAAAAAGGCATTACATTTAATTGCATTTAATGTATTTGAGTAGATAATATTCAACATACTGAAAAAAGCACCAATTATTTTATCAACCTACCAAGCGGGAAGAATGTATCTTTCTGTATATCTTGCCTGGCAGCTTCTACACATCGTTTCAATGCAAACAAAGCTGAACAGCTCATACATAAAGGTGGTTCTCCAACAGCTGAAAAAATCCATTATTTCAATGTTAAACAAAGTAATTATTTTTACTAATAGGAAAAATATAAAAGAAGGCACTTCACTAGGAAAATTTTAATAACATAAATTTCAAAAGTGTTTTGATATAAATTAATAAATATAAACATAATTTACAAATTTGCCTGCTTATGTACCTCTATGAAAAAATTTTAAAAAGAGCAAGCTTTTATAAAAAAGTGGACTTGTAAAAGGTTTATGTATGGTGCAAGTTATTACAAAGGACAGTACTATGTTCTGTTTTAAAGAATAGACCTTTACTGTTGCTGGTTACATGAAACAGTTAAACAAAAGTTTAAAACATTACATTCAAAAATTTAAAAAAAACAATTGGTAAAAAAGAATATGTGTCTTAACCCTTTCACTGATAGCCACCCTGACAGAAGCTACTCTGAGACCATGGCTTCCCTGGCTATTATGACACGAATGGGAGATCTTTATATTAAATATCAATAAAAACTTGTCTGTAGTTATTAATGTCTTTATTTTATTCACTTACACCATGTACACAGTTTTGTTCATGTTTTGATAATTTTTTGTCATAAAAAAATCAAAATTTGCAAATTTTCGGCATTAAATGGATGAAATTCTCCAAATTTGACTTTTTGACCCCAAATCGTAATTTTTTAACCCAAAACGGCAAAAGTTTGAAAAATTTAACGAGGTTGTACAAATTCCTTACACTCAACGATGTCTATTCCAAGTGTTTTTGTACATAAAATGGCATTTTATGTCAAAAAAGTAAACTAGTCTGACTTCAATTCTTCCATATTCTTTCAAAAAAAATTTCCCTTATTTCAAATTCTAGTAAAATCCGTAAATTTCATCTGATTTTGACACGTTTTTCAACAAACAGAAGCGCCATGTTTACACTTTTATCCATGTATTAAACAAAGAAAGATTACTTGCATTTGCAATGTTTTTTAGCAGGAAATGTACAAGAGGTATTTCGATCCTGGTAAACCGAGACTCATCGTCAGCTGTCTGAAGCGTGAATCCTGATAAACTGGGATTTGTCGGTGAAAGGGTTAAGGACACTATGCCAACTGACACTCAAAAGTCTATGTTCACTGAACTGGGATATCTCAGTTAAACCCTAAATTGGCATATATTTTTTGAAGTTTCAAATTGATGTTACCACACTTAAACTTTCTTTAGTCCAAACTGTACTTTAACATGCGAAGAGATGAGAGAACATACTGAAACACATAACGCTCCTACTTTTGTAGGTAAGAAAAGGGATGTGTCATTGGACAACTTTACTATCTTGGATGTACAATTTAAGTTAGTGTGCAAGGTTTCTGTCAAGCTTCAAAGACCTAAGTTGTTTCCTGCACACAAAATAAGTAATTATTTTTTAAAACATGAGTACAATGCCATGTCCTCCTTTTTTGACATTCTAGACACATGATTTACTTTCCATTTATAATATTGCAAAATGCACAAAGACCATAACTGTAATTACCTTTTGACCTCAGAACTCCTACTGGGTTTGGAGCATTTTTCAGCAACTGTATCCTAAAATCTATTGGTATGTCTTTTGCCATTGGTGGCTTGTATTCCTGTGAAATAAACAAAAAATTGATTTAAGTAAGAATTTCTTCCTCTTTATAGATTTTAAAGTCTTTTAGATGCATTTTTTTTTAAAGAAAGAGAGCCTATAATAAAAGCTTTTCTTCATTTATGGAGACATTAAGGCATTCATCATGCCCTAATGCAGCAACAATCTCAGTACTCTGATAGACTTCTGCCTATTCTTTGAAGACCTGAACCTCAAGGTAATTATTTATAAAAAATAAATTGAAGAAGTAATAAACCTGCATTCTTTCTAGATATATTAAATTGTGTTTACATTGAATTGAAAAATGGAAAGACTTCGTAAACGAATGTTTTATATAAGTTGTATATACCAGGCCTATTCTGTATATTTTAAAAGATATCAGTTTTAATTGTTTGTACATTGCAATTTAACTTGTGAAGAAAAATGAAATGCACTAGTGAAACCAACAATATAATGTTAGACTAACCCATGTACTGCGAGTCAACAGTTGCCCAGTTGTGCTTGCAAACTTGACCGATTCTGTAAGCCAGTATCCCAGTCCCATTACAAAAGCACCTTCAACTTGTCCCACATCAATCATTGGGTTCATACTGCAAATATCAAAACGAGATTAAATATGAGCAACCACTCAATTATTCATAGCCTCCTCTCTCTCTTTTGAGGCACAGGAAATACATTTTCCAAATAATATGGAAGCAAACACATTCCTGTTTGAATGTTTTTACACTAGTCATTTTTGGGGCCCTTTATAGCCTGCTTTTCGGTGTGAGCCAAGGCACTGTGTTGAAGTCCATACAAATTGACCTATAATGGTTTACTTTTCAAATTGTGACTTGGATGGAGAGTTGTCTCATTGGCACTCATACCACATCTTCTTATATCTATATAAGAAAGTAGAAAAGCGCGCATTTTAGATGACCAATGTTAAACTAGGTATCATATATAAAAAGTCGATGATTTGTAGTCATTTAGAAAAATGCACGAAAATTTCAATACAACACTTAACCGGCAAAAGGATATATAATTAAGTGATGGATTATTTAAACACATCAATTTAAGAATGCTCACAGTGCATGAGTGAATATTAGAATTTTTCAGTCATGAGTTTAATATTTATATTGTTGGTTAAGTTTTTTGAATTAGGAATTTGTTTTATCATATAGAAATTTAATGTGAGTCTAAAGTAAAAAAAGCAAGAAACTAAGTTTTTATACGACCCCAAAAAAATTTTGTGGTCGTATATTGGTATGACGTTGGCGTCGTTGTCGTCGTCGTCGTCGTCGTCGTCGTCGTCGTCCGGCGTCGTCGTCGTCCGGCGTCGTCGTCCGAATACATACTGGTTTTCGCACTCTAACTTTAGTTTAAGTGAATGGATCTTTTTGAAATTTGACCATAAGGTTAAATACCACAAAAGGAAGGTTGGGATTGATTTTGGGGGTTATGGTACCAACAGTTAAGGAATTAGGGGCCAAAAATAAGCATTTTCTAGTTTCCAGACAATAACTGTGGAACGGTGTATGGATCTCTCTGAAATTATACTACAAGTTTCCATACCACAAAGGGATGGTTAGGATTTGCTTTGGGGGGTTATGGCTCAAACCGTTTAGGAATTAGGGGCAAAAAAGGGGGAAAAACAAGGTTGTCCTGGTTAATGGACAAATACTTTTGTACAAAACATAATTTAAAGCAGTGTAAGGGAGATAAATCAAATACATCATTGAGATTATCTCCCTTACACTGCTTTTAAATTATGTATAAAGTAATGGTTAATGAACAATAAAGATAATTTAAAACAGTGTAAGGGAGGTAATCAAAATACAACGTTTTGGTTACTTCCCTTACACTGCTTTTAAATTATGTTTAAAGAAATGCATATCTATAAAGGAAGACCAGTAAAAATATCTGCAAATGTTACATCTTTTTTTTTTACAAAAAAATCCATATGAAAGATTTGACAGTATATTTTTAATTCTATTATAAAATAGATTAAGTTAGCACTATGGTAAATTTAAATGGGTAATTATGGTTGCCAACTCCATTGGAAATTTGAATTGAGATTATGACCATATCTTGAGGGAAAGAATTTTTTTGGGGAAAAAAGGGGGGGATAAAAAGAAATTGTGGGGGGTCAATTTTTTCTCATTTCAGATTTCAGAATTTAAAAAGAATTATTCTTCAAATATTATTTTTTTTTCAAATTTCAAATATTGAAAAATTTCAAGAAGTAATCTTTAATTGCACAGTATGGCGCATTAGATTTGTAAAATCTTTGATCACATTTATTTATTTGTTATGCCGAATCTAACAGTGTATTTAAATTTTTAATTTTGGGTCCAGTTTTCAAATTGGTCTACATTAAGGTCCAAAGGGTCCAAAATTAAACTTTGTTTGATTTTAGCAAAAATTGAATATATGAGGTTCTTTGATATGCTAAATCTAAACATGTATTTAGATTTTTGATTTTTTGGCCCAGTTTTCAAGTTGGTCCAAATTGGGGTCCAAAATTAAACTTTGTTTGATTTCAACAAAAATTGAATATGTGGGGTTCTTTGATATGCTGAATCTAACCATGTATTTGGATTTTTTATTTGTGGACCCCATTATCAAATTGGTTCATATTGAGGTCAAAAGGGTCCAAAATTAAACTTTGTTTGATTTCATCTAAAATTGAAGTATTGGGGTTCTTTGATATTCCAAATCTAACCGTGTATTTAGATTTTTAATTTTTGGTCCTGTTTTTTAAATTTGTCTACATTAAGGTCCAAAGGGTCCAAAATTAAACTTAGTTTGATTTTAACAAGAATTGAATTCTTGGGGTTCTTTGATATGCTGAATCTAAACATGTGTTTAGATTTTTGATTATGGGCCCAGTTTTCAAGTTGGTCCAAATTGGGGTCCAAAATTAAACTTTGTTTGATTTCAACAAAAATTGAATATATGAGGTTCTTTGATATGCTGAATCTAACCATGTATTTAGATTTTTGATTATAGGCCCAGTTTTCAAGTTGGTCCAAATTGGGGTCCAAATTTAAACTTTGTTTGATTTCAACAAAAATTGAATATATGAGGTTCTTTGATATGCTGAATCTAACTATTATTTAGATTTTTTATTTGTGGGCCCCGCTATCAAATTGGTTCATATTGAGGTCAAAAGGGTCCAAAATTAAACTTTGTTTGATTTCATCAAAAATTGAATTATTGGGGTTCTTTGATATACCAAATCTAACCGTGTTTTTAGATTTTTAATTTGGGTCCCGTTTTTTAAATTGGTCTTCATTGAGGTCCAAAGGGTCCAAAATTAAACTTAGTTTGATTTTAACAAAAATTGAATTCTTGGGGTTCTTTGATATGCTTAATCTAAACATGTGTTTAGATTTTTGATTATGGGCCCAGTTTTCAAGTTGGTCCAAGTTGGGGTCCAAAATTAAACTTTGTTTTGATTTCAACAAAAATTGAATATATGGGGTTCTTTGATATGCTGAATATAACCATGAATTTAGATTTTTTATTTGTGGGCCCCGCTATCAAATTGGTTCATATTGAGGTCAAAAGGGTCAAAATTAAACTTTGTTTGATTTCATCAAAAATTGAATTATTGGGGTTCTTTGATATTCCAAATATAACCGTGTATTTAGATTTTTAATTTCAAGTCCCGTTTTTTAAATTGGTCTACATTAAGGTCCAGAGGGTCCAAAATTAAACTTAGTTTGATTTTAGCAAAAATTGAATTCTTGGGGTTCTTTGATATGCTGAATCTAAACATGTGTTTAGATTTTTGATTATGGGCCCAGTTTTCAAGTTTGTCCAAAGTTGGGGTCCAAAATTAAACTTTGTTTGATTTTAACAAAAATTGAATATATGGGGTTCTTTGATATGCTGAATCTAACCATGTATTTTGATTTTGGACATTGGACCATAATAGGTAAATTAAAAAAATTCAAGTTCTTAGACCACATTCTTTCTGTGTCAGAAACCTATGCTGTGTCAAATATTTAATAACAATCCAAATTCAGAGCTGTATCAAGCTTGAATGTTGTGTCCATACTTGCCCCAACTGTTCAGGGTTCGACCTCTGCGGTCCAGCGAAGCATTTTATTTCACTTGTTCTAACTTTCTTCTGATGCAATGTCATTGACAACATATTAACAATACTTTATGTTGTAATACAGTAATGAAGTACATAAAATGTAGCAGCATGTGGCTTTTGAAGATAAAGTTTTACCTTTCTCCACAATCATACAAAATGTCCACCCTGTTAATTAGGTGTTGACCTGTCAGGACGTCAAATTCCACCTCTGTGCAGGTAACACCATATGAATTGTATTGGATATCATCTGTGCCTGGTTGGAACACACTAAATATAAATATACAAATTATGATTACTATATGTAGAGAACAAGAGAACCTACCTTTTTTAATCTTTATATGCAGAACTCAACAATGACTTTGGAAATATTAAAAGGTATAATATAAACCACAGGGCAAGATGAAAATGTATTAATTCATTTGCAAATATATACTCAGGAAGTCTTACATTCTTCAGTTTAAAACATTTTCATTAACGTTTCCAAAACAGCATACAGCTTTAAGCAATTGACAATCTAACATGGTTTACAGGTCTAAGCAAATCATAGTCATGAGGACTATCCCTGCCTTTAGTGGTATAGACTGTAGTTATCAATCATTTAGACTATAATTAACAAAATAATTTGATTTCAATTTTTTTACAAGTTCTTATGATGAAAAGCATACAGACATGCTGGGGAAACAGCTTTTATATTAGTATACAAATATTTCTTTTTATCTCTAAGGTACCTTATTTGGTGGTTATTTTCTATTTTTGGTCCATGTGAATTTAGACTTTTAAACTATTTAGATTACCTACTATGATTTTTTGGCATTGCATTATTACTTACTCTGATATGTATAAACGGTGTATTGCAAAATGACTTATAATAAAATTTATCAAAGCCAATGTTTTGCGTGTCTACTACTTATCAACATTGTGTTAGCCAAGGCTCTGTGTTGAAGGCCGTACTTTGACCTATAATGGTTTACTTTTACAAATTGTGACTTGGATGGAGAGTTGTCTCATTGGCACTCATACCACATCTTCTTATATCTATTAAATTACCAATATCTGGAAGATAAATCTACTTTATCTTCTATACATTTCTGTGCCAAATCTTTCCAGGAAGGATTTTTCATTTTGGCCTTCACTGGTGCCATTCTTGTTTTCAGATCTTGACAACAGTTTATTACAGCCTATGAAAAAAATATCAGAAAGCTATAATATACAATAGTCTAAGATTCTTTTTAAATCATATACATTTGTATAAGCAAGTATTTGCATTAGACATGTTAGAAGACACTATAAAAAAAAGTATGTACTTTTGTAGTTATGAAGAGAGTAAACAATCTTAAAAATGTATCAAAAATAAAAAATAAATTCCTTCGAGCCTAACACTTTCAATGTTTGTCTCTCCAACTGTCTCCATATTTTCTTTCTTTTTTTTCCAACAGAGAAGATGACTTATAGAAATTTCAAAAATGAATTGACTCTACACATTATTGAGTTTCCACTTTGACAATTATAATCTACAATGATATTTTAACAAAAAACATTTTCATTTGTTTGCAATTTATTTGGTCTCATAGTACATACCAAGCAGCATAACTCACTGGTAATACTACCTCCTGTTGTAACATCATTGGCATTGGCTAAGGTAGTGTTGGCCTTGACCTTAATCAAATCCATAGGCACACCAAGTTCATATGCACACACTTGGGAAACCTAAAAAAAATTAAAAACCCATTTTAGAAATATACAACAAATTAAAAATAACATAAACTTCAAAATATTATAATTTCATTAATCCCTGCTTTTATTTATAATCCATGAATATTATATAAATGCTTATGTAGTATACAGCTTGAAAGGATTAAAGTGGTTAATGAACGATCTTTTAAGTGAGCTGAGGCTCATATGCCCCATGCCCAAACATTATTATTATGGGACTTTTTTACAAGTGATGTCCCTCTCCTCTTAAATGGTCTTCTATTTCAGATTTTTCTGATGATCAAACTCAACCAAGGTTTTGATGAGTGTAAGTCTTAATACAAATTGAAGATGATCACAAGCTGGTCAAAAATAAATATGCTATTATTGTGACATTAGAGAATTCATATTGGGATATTTTTGTACACCTTCTCCCAAAAATAGTCCCCCATTTCAGATTTTTCTAGTTATGATAAGCATCCCCAATTTTAATAAGTGGAAAACCTTGTCCAAATTTAAACAGGATAAAAAAAAAATTAAGATGTCATACTGGCAACTAGAATTAATATGGAATATTTCACAAGTCCCCTCACAAAACATTGTTCCCCATTTCAGATTTTTCTGAGGTTTTAAAGAGTTCACATTTCACCCAAATTGCAAGAGCATCGGATAATATATGAAGGCATTATCCTGACAACAAAAATCAATATGGGATAATTTATCAAGTCCTCTATGGAAAAAATGATTCCCTATTTCAGATTTTTTGGATTATTGTACTGATCCATATTTTGATGAGGGGAAATCTACAATTTTTTAGAATCTAATGAAAAAGGAAGGTGCTAGCAATGATGACAGACAGATGGACAGACAAAAACATTATATATATATATTGTTTAATGTACCAAATGTAAATCTAAATGTCCCGGCCACATTTTTGGTTGGTCATAACCTATGGTCGTCCAGTCAAGTTTTGTTAATTTTGGACAAGTTGTTCCATAGAAATAGAAAACTTAATAAGGGTGGATTATACACAGCTTTATATGTAAATGATTTGCCTGCCTTTGTTAGTCATGCTACAATTGGCATCATTAACAGTTACTATATATAACATTGTAAACACTCTCTGTTAAACATTAATTACTAACATAACCATCAATTACTACCTCCTAATTTCAAGATTAATTCCTTTATTTATGTTCTATGGCAAATATTCCCTTTATATTCAGGATGAAAACAATTAATAGCTTCCACATGGCAAACGTTTAGGAGGTGAACTGAACTGGAAGAAAGTTTGATAAACTGAAGATTTATATTATAAGTAAGAGTGTACTGAAAAACTTCACTTCATAAACTTTTGATCTTATATACTGTGGATTCATTATTACTTGTGGAATACCAATTTTCATGTATTTTGAGGGAAAAGGTAAACCAAGAATTTAAATGTTCAACGAAGTACACATTTTTTTTAAGGGTCTGTTATTATAATAATACAGAGTGTGGAAAATCAACGAAATCAAAAATCCGCGAAATACGAGTTTTCCTCAATCCACGAAAATTGAAATACACGAAAATAAATGAATCCACAGTAACAAGTTTTTACCCACCTTAGTGTTGATCCCCTGTCCACTTTCTATGCCACCATGAGCAATAGAAATACTGCCATCACCAGCATAAATATTTACAATAGCATTATAATGGACCCCTGCATAGGATAAGGCAAACTTGATAGGGACAATTGATAAACCCTTTTTCTTCCATCTGTTGGCCTACATTAGAAAGAATAAAATGTTTAGGAAAGATTACTGAGTTATTCATTACATAAAGAACTCTAATACAAAATTACAAAGATACCACAATGAATTTGGTAAAAAAAAATTGTTGGGTTGCTGTTTAATGTGTAATTTAGGATAAATGTAATTTTAGCCACGTGTATTAATATCCCAGGGTTAGCTAGCCTTGAGACGACCCCTCACTCATGCGCAGCCTTGCAGAGATAGCGACCACATGACATTGTGATCAGCTTCGTAAGCATGCAAGCACTTTTTTTCTTAAGCTCCTAATCCATTATGGCTAGTACACGAGAAAAAAGGGATAATGCTGGTGAAAAACTCAAAGACATAATTGACAGTTTGAAGCCGAAAGCAACAAAACACAAGGAAACTGAAAGTGATACACACGACAACAAAGAAGATAGCGACAGTGAAAGTGATGAGGAATTTGCAGACTCCTTTGAAAAGTTAACGACAGGATAATGACAATGAGGAAATTGATGCCTTAGAAAACGAACTTAAACGTTTGAAAACCGAGAAAAGAAAAGTGGAGTTAAAACGAAAAATTGAAGAGGAAAAGGACAATCTTAAAAACCTTCAACTACTGCCAACAGTTCAGCTGTCTGCCGCCGCGTTGGTTCAAAATTCTACAAAAGGTGAGCAAATTCATGAAATTTCTGACATTATTGCATGTAGCACAGAGAAATCAGGCAAAGCAATGCAGATTGTTGATTTTCTTTGGCCAGAGCCTATCCCTCAGTACCAAACGATAACACTTGCCGGGGATATGGAATTTCGGGTAGGCAAAAAGAAAACATTAGACAAGATTTCTATGGAAGAGTGGGGTTTTGCTTACATTCGAATTTTGCAGGAATTGCTTAAACGTAATACCGAGATTAATGTTAATACATATCTTAACTATACAGCTGACATCTTCAGTCTCGCCTCAAAATATGTTTGGTACTCTGTCCTGCTCTATGACAAAGAGTACAGAGACAAGCAGGCGGAGGAAAAATTTACATGGGGGACATATCGTCAGGATTTAAGAGATTTCCAACTTGTGTCCAAACGTGAAAATCCAACAACGAGAGCCATGAACGATGCTACAAAACCGCATGGAAAACAATCAGCTAATAACAATCGTCGGAGAGGCCCCTTTTTACCCAACGGGCAAGAAATCTGCAGGAGCTTTAATAATAACTCTTGTTACCGCTAAGATTGTCGAATGATGCACCATTGTGCTATTTGTATGTCAAGCAGTCATTCTGCTATCTCAGGTCAGGGACACAGCAGTGCCACTCATATTGACAAAGTCGCAAAAAATCCGTATGCGCCTCAGAATTAGGATTACACCATGCAGCAAAAAACTTAAATTGTTTACGTTTCGAGGCGTGGAACCGATTGCTGCCTGCTTCTGTGGAAGACAGAGATTTTATTTTAAACGGTGTAAAAGATGGTTTTAAGCTTAGTGTTTTTTATGGTCCGCATCTGCTTGTAGATAGAAAAAATTACTCGTCCGCTTTCTGTTTTCATCGTGCTGTTGAAAAACAAATTAAACTAGAAATTGAACTTGGGAATTATGTAGTTTCTAAAACTAAACTCATTCTTCTACGATTACTAACGCCCATAGACTACCCAACTCTATACACATAACACTAATAAAAACCAAACTAAAGTTCAAATTGAATACCCACACGACAGTGCCATGTGCTGATTATAATTGCACATTATGATACATAATATCATGTCGACAAAATATAGTCAGTAATTAATAAATACTACTGAAATCAAAACAGTAAATATAACATCAAATAAATTCACATAAGCAAGATAAAAAAATTTAACTGGGAAACACGTCTAATCGAATCGGCCCTGTCGTGCTGAATGGTTATATCCCATGAAGCGCGGGAATACAAATAACGGTCTATGGGCAGACAACTAGAAGAAATTAATTTCAATCTAATTCAGTTCCTTCAAACGGTTGAAATTACATTTCTTCTATGATTACTAACGCCCATAGACTACCCAACTCTATACACATAACACTTATAAAAACCAAACTAAAGTTCAAATTGAATACCCACACGACAGTGCCATGTGCTGAACTACAAAGAACGGGCAATAAAATTTTTATCTTGCTTATAGAACTTAATTCACTTTCAAAATAAAAAGTCATTATCAGGTTAAAACTTAAATTTTCAGAAACAATTAATCTGTCTTTTAAAGAGTCTTTAATATAACCGTCCTTGGCGGTCTCTGAACACCATCTACCATGTCTTTTGAACAATCGATCGGAAATGCCTAAATTGGCACAAGTTGTAGCTCCACCAGAACGTAAACTGTGCAATCCATATTTTTTAATATCTGACACAAATGGTTGAAAAGCTCCAATAAATAATTCTCTTATATGCGTATAAGACGGTGGTTTGTTATCCTTCCGAAGTACATATCGATCCTTGAATTTTGTTAAATTTCTAAAAATAATTTCATCTGAATCCGGCAAAATATCATCCCACAACAAATATAACTTTAAATTCTTTACTGGACAAATATCGGAATCCATACAGGCTATTACTACAGAATTGCCATCACGATAAATATCAGTTTTACTTTTCGGAATAAATATAGATACATAACCTAATTCAAACGTGATATCACATATCCGTATATTTAATAGCTCGGACACTCTCAAAAATCCAGAATAAGCAAGTAAACACGCGCAAATAATACGCGGTGACATAACATTGTATTCCTTAAATAATGAACTATACATTTTAGTTAGAAGCTCAGGAGTAACTGGTTCCTTTTTCTCAGTTCGTGTAGCTAAGCGCCGTTTTGCACCTTCTAAAACATTTTTCACAACTAAATTTTCGGTAGGAGACGTTTGACCAATCATATGATGTGCCCATTGTATACTATAAAATACTGAAATAACCGGACTAGCAGTGTTACTGTTATGAACTAATGAAGATAAATATAGTGCAACGTGCAAAGGTTTTGCCGGTAAAATATCACAACCATTTATACCGTTATGAACGGCCCACTTTTTCCAACGGATAAATTCTGCATGATAAGTTTTAACGGTACTGACAGCTTTAGATTCGCAAAGTAAATCCATAAGAACATCAACATTGGTATGCAGAGTTGGTGACAAAGAATTAATCTCAGATTCATAAGCCTGCAAAAACACATGTATAAACAATAATTAAACAATAATAGCATCTTAAATGATGGAAACTACCAACAGAAAAATACTTGTTAGTACATCTCACAAGACTATGCACAATAGTCTTAAATACTTAACATAAGCATTTGTATTTGTTAGTATATTAGTTCTCAACAAGGCCAATTATAGCCTTAATGCCAAAATCTGAAACCAATTCAGATATGCACTGTAATGTTAGTACACAAACAAGGCACTAATACAGCCTTTAAAATATCTTGTTATATCTATCTAAAATATCATCTGTAAAATTCAGATAAGCATAAACAGCTTCATAAACAAAATAGGTTTACAACCTTCATACATATCAGTATTATTTTCTGAAATCTAGCCTCAAAGCTAACATCTTAAATTTAAGATCAGTATTACCAAAAATGGCCTTCTTGCTTTTACCAGGAGTATAAAACTCCTTACCGCTTGGTAATTCTACATGTGCAATAACTTGATCTGTAAAATCGCCCCCATTTGGGCATAGCATAGGCCAATAACTTGCGGATGGCCAACAAGGAACAATCAATGTACCTACAGCGTTGCATTGTCTCATGTAATTAATAACATGTGGTATAAGAAATACAGGCGGTACAAAAAGACCGTTAACCCCAAACCAATTAACTGTGAAAGCATCAATACCAGAAGAATTTTCATTCCAAAATCTTGAATAAAATACCAGTAACTTGAAATTGTGGTCAGAAGCAAACCAATCTACTTCATGAGGTCCCCATAAAGCTTCTATCAATTGAAATATATAATATGATATACCCCAATCATCATGATCAACGATGCGACTCAAAAAGTCAGCTTTTTCGTTTAGTGTCCTAGGTATCCAAACTATATCAATATTGACATTGTACTTCAAACATGCGCTAAATATGTCCAACGCTAAATTTTGTAAAATAGTTTTTGTACTGCCCTTGCTAACAATGCTCACAATATTCTGGTTATCTGTAAACCATTTGACCTTTTTTCCAGATATAAAATTAATTAATGACAGCAATACTTTCTTAACCGCTGAAAGTTCCTTCCAAGTTGAACTATTACTACGTTCTGATTCAACCCACATACCATGTGCAATGTTTTGTGGTGTTTCTACAATATAAGCTCCAAAGCCTGTATCACTAGCGTCACTATAGATAATACTATGACATGATTCATCAACACTAAAATGTTTTACATTAACTTCACTAATATACAGTTTCCAGAATTGTAACTGTTCAATACTAGATTCAGAAAGTATAATATAAGAATACCAAGACGCAGATGTGTTCACGTCTATAGTTAAATGTTAAGTCATTAAATAAACTAAATTTCCAATAACTAAGTATGTAGATATTATCTGACCTAGATGCAACTTTTTTCACGTACACGCTTTTAGGCCCAGTTAAACAAGATATAATGTCATCAATAGAATGTATCATCTTAATATCTATTCTATTATCTGGTATTTTATAAAAGCCATACTCTGTATCAATAAATGTTCCTAACCAAACCAGACGTTTAGTAGGTTCCCACAATGATTTTTCGGCCTTAGGTACAAAGCCACTTTTAACTAAATCTAGCTTAACTTGTTCTGACACAATCTTACACATATCTTTATCTTGTTCAATACCTAACCCATCATCAAGATACATAATGACTTGTTTACCTTCAGATCGCCATTTCTTTACAAGCGGCCTAGTCAGTTTAGTAAAAAGAAAACAAGCTGTACTTAATCCAAATGGTAAAACAAGAAATTTGAAAAATGTAGGACATTCATTAATGGTCCATGAAAAACCTAAAATACTCTGTGTGTGGTTCAAAAATATCAACATGGTGATAAGTTGAGTGAACATCAAACTTAAACATAGAATAGTTCAATTTAATATGCTGTTGAGCAGTTCTCATATCCTCAAACTTAACGCTCTGTTTCCATAAATGTTTATTAACCGCTCTCAAATCAAGTATCAATCTTTTCTTTGAATTAGATTGAACTGATACAGTAAGAGGATTACCAACGAAAGGTCGCTTATTACACTGAACTATCAAACCTCTATGTAATAAATCCTGAATAGCTGTATGCACAAAATCGGAATTTTTTAAAGTTGATACATTGTTATATAAATACGTAGACGGAGGAATAGAATAAAATGGTAACTTATAACCATCTCTTATAGTGTCAATAATATAATCATAAGCACCAATATTTATCCAAAATTGGATATTTTCCTTCAGCCTACCCTTAACAATTATATCAGTACCATCTTGCTCATATTCGATATAATCATGTGTAAAAGTTGGTTCAGACAAATTTTCTAAAGAAATTGTGTCAAAATTATACTCATCTTTCACAAAACTAGTTTCTTTTGTGTGATGCTGCTGTCTTGTTGTTTTGGAAGGGGCAGTTAACTCTCCAGTGCTTGTAAGACTCACAGTTGAAGCATGGTCCCCGTTGAGATTTTCCAGCATACTGGTCTTGGGCATACTGGAAACTTCCATACCAAGACGGCTGGCCCCCTCGAAAGGGCTGTTGAGGTTTAAAGCTAGAGTTGGCAGTGGAAGGAACCTGCTGTTGTTTAGGAGCTGGTTTGCTCTTTGCCTTTTTCTTCCTAATGGCCCCGTTTTCAGCTCTGATTATCTTGGACTCGTCTTCTGAATCGCTAGCAATTGGGTTTGCCTCGTACTGGCGAGCGGTGTCCCATCCCCCATCAGAAGTGTCCGCGATCTTTATTAACTTATTTCTTTGTTTAAGCCTATCGGTACATGATGCAATAATGTCTCTGGCATAGTCAACTTTGCCATTGTCAATAGCCCACAGAGCCTAGGTTAAATCTTCTAAATTTTCGGTATTACCATTGAACTGAATTTTATAACCTTCAGAACGCCATTTATACTGGGAGTCCGACTTCAACTTCTTGACTTGAGATTTCATACATTGGTTTGTTCCGTGGATTTCGTCGTGCAAACTATTAATCTTTTCGCTGATTTTGGTGTCCACAAGAACTTCAATATCCTGCTTTTGACGATTAACTGCGTCTAAAACTGTACGCAAAGATATTTCTTCAGAGGGTGTATCTGAATCCATGTTTGGTATTAACTGGGAAACACATCTAATCGAATCGGCCCTGTCGTGCTGAATGGTTATATCCCATGAAGCGCGGGAATACAAATAACGGTCTATGGGCAGACAACTAGAAGAAATTAATTTCAATCTAATTCAGTTCCTTCAAACGGTTGAAATTACATTTATAATCAGCTCAATAGGTGCAATAGAAAAATCAAATGGCGATGTGCGTATCATTCATGATGTTAGCCTACTGACAGGCATTTCTCTTAATTCATACACTACGGATACTAGTTGTTCTTACATGGATTTACGACATGCATTGAAGATAATTAAACGTAATGATTATCTCGGGAAAACAGATTTAAAGAGTGCTTATAGATCCGTAAAGTGTCAAGATTCTGATTATCCTTTGACAGGCCTCCAGTGGATGTTTAATGGGGACGATTCTCCAACATATATGTATGATGCTAAAATTCCGTTTGGTCAAGCGCAAAGCCCTAAAATTTTTTAGCAATTAAATGCATCTGTCTGTGAAATCATGAAATGTACGTATAATATTACTTGCATTGCGTATTTAGATGATTTTTTAGTGATTGAAGATACGTTTCATAAGTGTCAAACAGGAATTCGTTTACTAATCGATAATTTACGTAGATTAGGTTTCAACATCAGCTGGAATAAAATTGAGGGTCCATCTCAAAGTTTAACATTTTAAGGGATTGTCATAAACACATGTTCTCTGTCTCTCACTATGCCTGATAAGAAACGACAAGAATTCCATGATGTCATTTTATCTTTTCAAAACCGCAAACGAGCCAGTGTGAAACAACTACAATCTTTGTGTGGCAAACTAAATTGGGCTTGTCAGATGGTAAAGGGGGGTAGAACTTTTGTAAGGCGATTAATTGATAACCTATCAAATGTAAGTACAACGAATAGGAATGCAAAAATACTTTTATCAACAGATTTCTTTTCTGATATTGCATGGTGGGTTAATTTTATGAATGTGTTCAATGGAACATTAACTTTTTTAGATTCTAAACCAGTTACTTGCTTGCAAACTGATGCGTGTTTACATGGTGGTGCTGGATATTATGAAGGTGATTTTTTTTATGTGAATTGGGACACAGATTTACCGAATTTTAAGAACTATCACATAAATATTAAAGAGACTATGGCTATTGTGTTGTCCGTGATGAGATGGGGACATTTGTGGACTAATAAACATGTTGTCGTATCTACAGACAACATGACTACAAAATGCATCATTAACAAAGGTAGTTCTAGAATCAAAACTTTAATGACTCAGTTGAGAGAACTTTTCTGGTTGTCGGCTACACACAATTTCGACATAAGAGCCAAATTTATCAGTGGTCGTAATAATGTTATTGCTGACGCCGCGTCAAGACTTCATGAACCAGGACAATTATCTAGGCTTTATGATAAACTTGTGAGCCACTTATTTTATAAACCGTTTACGACTATCGAGCTACTAAATCACATGTCTTTTGACTTTTTTAATTCCAGATGGAGAAACGATGGAAACGCAAATGTTGGAGAACAGCGTGGTTCGCTTGAAAAGCAAGGGGTGGGCTAGTTCAACTTCAGGAACTTACCGTACTCATCTCAAGACTTATCTCGAATTCTGTGAAAATTATGACCTAAAACCAGTGCCATGCACAACCAAAACTGTAGAACTTTACATTGCTTTTCTTGTGGATGTGTAAAGCTTTGCGTTTAGCTCGATACGATCGTATTTGAACATTATTTCTGTGCTGCATAAATCGCACGACAAACCAGACCCTATTGCAAGCTGTTGGAATGTCAGGCATTTACTAACTGGTGTCAAACGGGAACTTAGTACCAGTCAAAATTGTAAGGCACCTGTTACGCCAGAACTGTTGTTAAGATTTAAGTCAATTTTAAATCTTGAATGTCATAATAATATTGTTTTTTGGGCTGCTTGCCTTACAGGTTTTTATGGTTTTTTGCGACCAAACAATTTTTTAGTCAAAGGTTCTTTTGATCCAGAAATCAATTTGCGAAGGGTAGATGTGCTGCCTTGTAGCTAGGGTATGCTTGTAACGCTCAAAGTTACTAAGACGCTGCAGTTTCATTCTAAGCCTATTGAGGTAATTCTCCCATTGTTACACGGTCACCAGCTTTGTCCGTATGAAGCCTTATCCCGCGTGCTTGCCTTACCTGGAGATCCCTTGGATCCTTTATTTAGGTTATCTGACAAAAGTTGTTTGTCTTATACTATTTTTCTCCAATGCCTTCGTTTTTTGTTGCAACACCTTGGCTGTAATCCTCAAAGTTATGGGGGACACTCTTTTCGTAGGGGTGCTGCCACTTGGGCAGGATCTGTAGGTCTTTCGGACAGTGACATTAAATTGTTAGGTTATTGGTCAAATGATTGTTTTTTACGCTATATTGTTTCTGATAGAGACCAGCGTCTCAAAGCCATGACATCTTTCTATTCTTTATAACCTTCTTTTTAACAAACTACCCCCTTCTTGTTTGGGTTTGGGGTTATATTTTTCATTATGTCATATATCATGTACAAGGGGGGTGTAAGGCTTTGGGTTACCAAGCTAATAAAATTGCCATTATTATATTATTGTTGTTATCTTAGACAGCCTTGTCTCACATCTGCTTGTCAATTAACTAGTGAGGTAAATTGGCTTTTACTGTGAATCTTCCTTTTTTTTTTTAAACTATCTTGACTAATCTATAAAATTATTCATCATTAACATAAAATTAATTTGAAAAGATGTTTCATTTTTGAAATACTAGTACCTAATTTTTACTTTTAAAAAATGAAAGAACTGATTTTTTTACAACAATTTGTTCAGAACTTGCTTTTTAAAAAATTTTACTTGGATAATACCTTCTAAGTACTTGTAGTAAATATTACTAGTTGAAAATGTGTTTCTGTTACATAAATTCATTAATATTTAACATTTCAATATCCTATACCAATTTAAAAAAAATGTATCACTGATGTCACTTGGTCCTTTCATTATCATCCTTGCCCATTTGTTTTAGTTCTATATATATCAAGATGGATTTCCGCTGTCTCCGTTTCAATAAAAAATGAAAATAAAAACACTTGACAAAATTAAATATTCAATAAGTTACTTTCCTCAATTAGTCATTACATCTGATCAGGTTATTTTAATATGATTCTGCAATTACACAAAACTTACCTGATTAAAAGCCTGTACAGATGCAGCTCTACTTTTATAATCTGACGAGGACATAAGCTCTGGCACCAGTTGTCTGATGTTACAGTAGTTCAATGTATTTCCTACAGGTGTTTTCTATCAGAAAAAAAGAAATAATTTTTGCGACATTCGTAATATTAATTACTTTTATGAATTGTTCCCCCTTTACATTTCTGTTGGCTGGTATCAAAATGTCCAAGTATATCATGGGATTTTGGGAGCAAAACAGTGCTTGCTAATTTGTTATAAACATAGAAAATAGTCCATACAATATGAACTATAATAATTTCTTGCATAAACTAAACATTTAAAACAATTTTTAATCATCATGAATAAATTACATCAGGTATTCATGTTTAAAAATGACATCTTTTATTGTTTCCATACAATACCAGTATAATTTTGAAATCCCTTTTTAGGAATTAATACCATGCCCCAACAACAAAACAGAAATTATTTTAAGAAATTGCATGCAAAATATCTGGCTCTGATGAAAATTAAAAGCACTGAAAAAATTTGTCGTATTTCATGAAGGAAACAGTTCACAAAGCGTGTAATACCTAACAATAGTAACATAAATCCTTAAATTAAGAAATTGTACTTTAACCTCAATAAGCTGCATCTCCCAACGTTGACATAAGATAGCTATTATAGTTAAAAGTTTTGATGCACATACAAACTTTTTGGTATTTTGTTATAAATTTTAAGTTTATATTTTACTTATTTGTACCAATACTAAGGTTGCAACTCCTTCAGGCAATGTTTACCTTAGATGACCTTTCAGTTTTGAAGTTCAAACTAACTTTTTATGTATTTGGCTTCCCTAACATTTGGTTTCTAACATACCTGATGAAGGTTATGTAATGTGTTCACTGAAATCTGTATATGAACTACAGAAAATAAAAAAATACCTTACCTGTCCTTGTTTATATAGGTTGATAGTTCTAAATAATGTAGGGTCAAGGTTGAGTTCCTTAGCAACATTCTCCATAATAGATTCCATCATGAATATGGCTGGTGTAGAACCTGTTGAACAAAAAACAGTTGAATTTCCTCTCAGTTAGTCATCTTTAAAAGAAAATTTGACTAGTATTGAATACAAGCATTTTGGAAGACGTGCTTCAAAGTTAACCAAACTTATGAAATTAGTAAACTAAAGAAAAACTGCATTATCAAACCTGGTGCTCGACAAGCTGTATTCATTGGCTTATTTGTTTTTACTGCCACCGGTGTTAATTTCCAGTTTTCACAAAAGTATGCTGAAATTAGAAAATAAGTGTAACTAGAATAAGTTTACATAAAAATTAAGATCTCCCTACTCCAAAAAATAACCAATCTTTGAAACATCATAATATACTAAATGCATGTAGTTGATACAAGAGCTTACATCGGCAAGAAGATAGAAAATTAATATAACCTGTGAATGTCAGCTTATAATTGATAATGCACACATTAAATATATCCAATAATAGTCACTTGTCTATAATTGAAGATTTCTTAACTTACTCATATCTCTTCAAAAAAAAATGCTTTAAAATTATTGTTTGACGTAAATTTTACATTGAGGTTCTGAAAAAAGAAATCACCAATTCACCAACATTCCAACTGACTCCATTTTCAGAAAACGACATCTGTAACAAACATAAACTTTTAGCTACCGCCTCACAAGCAGAACCAAATACAATGAAAGTCCCAACTATGTATTGGCTTCCGAAGCTACACAAAACACCTTACAAATATAGATTCATTTCGTCTTCAAGCCATTGTTCCACTACTAAATTGTCTATTCTTCTTACCAGTACACTTGGTACAATCAAAAACCTGATAATAAATTGTTCAAATAAGGCCTTCGAAAATAGTGGAATTAATTACTTTTGGAGTGTCAAGAACTCGTTGGAAGTACTTGATAAATTGCATGCATATATTGGTGATTTTGAATCTGTTCAAAGTTTTGATTTTTCTACCCTATATACCACATTGCCTCACATTCTCATTAAGAAAAAATTCACACACCTAATTAAATGGGCATTTAAAAAGTCAGAATGTGAATATATATGTTCAAACTCTTTTAGGTCATTTTTTAGTAGCAATAAACAAAAAAACTATGTCAATTGGACATGCTTTGATACTATATATGCCCTTGAATTTTTACTAGATAACATTTTTGTTCGCTTTGGAGATTCCGTATATCGTCAGGTTATCGGAATTCCAATGGGGACTAACTGTGCACCACTTATTGCGGACCTTTTTTTGTATTGCTATGAGTTACAATTTATGACAAAAATCAGTAAAGACCCATCGAAACAACATCTGATACACAAATTTAATAATACTTTTAGATATTTGGATGATATTTTGGCTCTCAATAATGACGACTTCAGTATGTATACTAAAGAAATTTATCCTGTTGAACTTACTTTAAATAAAGCTAATACTAACAATGACCACTGCCCTTTCCTCGATCTTGATATCTATATCATTAACGGAAAGCTTAATACTAAAATATATGATAAAAGAGATGATTTTTCATTTCCTATCGTTAATTATCCATTTTTAGATGGTGACGTTCCCTTGTCACCATCTTACGGTGTTTATATATCTCAACTTGTACGATTCGCTCGTGTATGTAACAATGTTTTAGATTTTAACGAGAGAAATGTATGTATTACTGAAAAATTATTACACCAGGGTTTTCGATATCACAAACTAGTCAAAACATTTACTAAATTTTATCATCGGTATAAGGACATCATTCGTAAATATAGCTCAACATGCAGACTTCTTATACGTTCAGGTATTTCACATCCAATTTTTTATGGAAATATTCTTTATAAAGCACAAAAATGTCAGTATTCACCTCTGAAACTAACAAAACCTTTAAATAGACTTATTAAGAAGGGATATAGTTACGATACTGTTGTCAGGTCATTAAAGATTGCATATTTTGGCGTTGATATTGATTCACTTATAGGGTCTTTGCATCTGCACTAAACACATTTATTTAAAAACCAGTTGTTGGCATGACACGGGTTATGTTCTTCTCATATATGTTATGATGGTATGATACTAAACCCCTAACGGGAAGGATTGTGCCTGATATTCATATGATGAAGACATAATCTTTCAATCAGTTTAATTGAAGTCTGGAGCTGGCATGTCAGTTAACTGCTAGTAGTCTGTTGTTATTTATGTATTATTGTCATTTTGTTTATTTTCTTTGGTTACATCTTCTGACATCAGACTCGGACTTCTCTTGAACTGAATTTTAATGTGCGTATTGTTATGCGTTTACTTTTCTACATTGGCTAGAGGTATAGGGGGAGGGTTGAGATCTCATAAACATGTTTAACCCCGCCGCATTTTTGCGCCTGTCCCAAGTCAGGAGCCTCTAGCCTTTGTTAGTCTTGTATTATTTTTAATTTTAGTTTCTTGTGTACAATTTGGAGTTTAGTATGGCGTTCATTATCACTGAACTAGTATATATATTTGTTTAGGGGCCAGCTGAAGGACGCCTCCGGGTGCGGGAATTTCTCGCTGCATTGAAGACCTGTTGGTGGCCTTCTGCTGTTGTCTGTTCTGTGGTCGGGTTGTTGTCTCTTTGACACATTCCCCATTTCCATTCTCAATTTTATTTAAAGTTCAATTTTGGGGGGGTTGATATCAATTGGACTAGGTCTAGGGATACAGAAAACATTATTCAAGGTCCTGTGTTTGGTCCTTTTATATAGATCTGTGGAGACAGTTTCCCCAAAATCAATACTAGTCTTTGACTAATGCCGAAGAACATTGTATTAAAATTTCCATAATAGATCCAATCATGGTGTAGAACTTATTTAAATAAGAAGGTGTGGTATGATTGCCAATGAGACAACTCTCCACAAGAGACCAAATGACACAGAAATTAACAACTATAGGTCGCATACGGCCTTCAACAATGAGCAAAGACTATACTGCATAGTCAGCTATAAAAGGCCCCGAAAAGACAAATGTAAAACAATTCAAACGAGAAAACTAACGGCCTAATTTATGTACAAAATAATGAAGGGAAAACAATTGTATCTATCCATCAATTATAACTGAAGTTATTGTGAAAATAAATTAAGTGTTCATGATGACACACCCCTACCACAAAATGTCCTTAAAGTTTAACCTTATTCACCTACAGTTTGACAAAAAAATTCAAAATACACAACTACATGTACATATGCTATGATGCAATTTTTTCAACTTTGTTCCGATCTATAATATAGGAAATTCTTTTTTTGAACCTATAATATGTATGACAGTTAAAAAATCTCTGAATTGAAAAAATTATGTATTTCTTGCTCAACTATACCCGATATGAAGCCAGGCCCGTAGCCAGGAATTTCCAAGGGTGGGTTACATCAACTTGCAACAAACAAAATCTCAACTTCAATAGTCACAATTCAAACAGAACGTCAACTTTAATAGTGCTTATTTGTTTTCAAAGGCAGGTGAATACGAACCCCTCGAACTCCCACCCCTGGCTACAGGATTGGAAGAATTCTGTTTTGTTAAATTCTATTCCAAACTATATATTAAAAGAAATGACAATATCAATGTTTCTCTAGGGAAATGCCAAAATATCAATTAATTTTTTTTCTTTTATATGTAATGGTATAAGAAATTCCATCAAGTTTGTTCCATTTCCATGTAAACAGTTAAAAAACTTATAAATTTTCATGATGGACACACAAGCAAACAAAAAGAAACAATAGAACTTCCCTGAAAAAAGGAGACATAATGAATATACCAGCATATTATATAACTGGTCATAAAAGTAAGCAATTTCTTAATTTCGTCTTGTAGTTTGTAAGTTCAGTCAAGTTTTCAAATCAAATAATACTTATGGCATGTCTTTCTTTTTTCTTTCATGCAGAAAGCTTAGTGCGTCTTTAACAAAAATCATGAATTAAAGCATCATTTCTTGACAAACAGCAAGGTAGCCTATGTTTTATTTTTATTATTTTGGAAAGATCTCAAACCCAGGTACAAATTTTTTTCTCAAAAATATCAGAAAAACAATTTGGCTTGAATCAATCCCTAGAAAAATAAACAACTACGTCATAATATATAATCCTAGAAAAATAGTCATAATATATAATCCTAGAAAAATAAACAACTATGACATAATATATAATCCTAGAAAAATAATCAACTACGTCATAATATATAATATAACCATTTATCTTACCATTGTCCATCCAGGAGGCAATTCCAGGTAGGTTGTTGTCATTAGGAAGATAACCAAGATCACTATATATCTGTATTTTGATTCCATTTAACATCCCATCATTAGTGCAGCCAACCTGTCATGAAAGGAAAATTAAAAGTCTTGTTTAAAGATTCTTGACTCTCCACGTGACTGGATATTTCTTGAAAAATGTTACATCAAAATACTTTCACTTACACTTTAGTCAAGTTAAAAAATATTCAATTTAAATAATATAAACAAATGAGAGATCTGAAATATATAGACAAATGAGGCAGCAACCCAACACCACACACATATCAACATGTGATGGTATTAATTAATTTTCGGGAGACGGATTTAAAAAAAGTTTTTCCAAACTTGTTTCGGAATCCCATATTTGACTGCTATGTAAAAGAGTCAAAGAGGTTGTTTTATCCTTATTCATTGGTTAAGGAGTTATCTTAGTATTCATTTGCAATCTTAATCCTAGATGTTTGTATAAGTTCCCTTACAAACATAACATGGTGCTTTTTTCAAAATTTGCCAATGACAGTTAATTAAAAAAAAAAATGTACTTGAGTATAATATGTTTGATGTTAAATTTGAAAACTTACATTATAGTCAGCTCTGTAAGATGGACGTCTTCCAAGCATTTTAAAGTTTGTATGAAACTCCATATTTAGCTTCACAGGCCTTAAACATAATACATGTATAAACAAATTAAATGATATTATTAACATAGCTAGGACAGAAACTTTTAAAATACACTTATTCTTCCTAAAGTTATGATATTTCAACAAATGATTGTGAAGTATACTGTAAATTCAGAAATTATTGCGATGTTTTCATTATTGTGAAAAATGCGACAGGGTTATAATCGTAATAATTTAAACTCGCATTTTGAAATTTTTTATATGAATTAAACAGGATTTTTCTCAATATCGCAAAAAATTAAAATCGCATTTTAGTCTTAAATGACAAAGTCGCAATAATAAATGCACGCAATAATTTCTGAATTTACAGTAAATTGAATGGACATCTACCTGCGGCATAGATAAATAATGGATGGAATAATAATGGAGAAAAAAAATCTACAGTAAAAATACACATCTAAAGCACGAACAATACATGTTTGTGTTCACCCATTTGTTTTGCAACTTGTTGTTCAATGGCTAATACAATCATTGTGAGGTATATAATGTTATGTAGATTGATTTTGATTGATTTTTGGTGTTTTAACGCCACTTTTAAGCACCACTTTTGGGCTATTTCGTGGCGGCCAGTTTTTATTGGTGGAGGAAGCCGGAGTGCCCAGAGAAAACCACCGATGATATGTAGATGAATCAGTTTGATTCTGTTGACTTTACCTTTGAATACTTCTTAAATCTGCCTGAGTTATTGGGCATTTTGCATTTGACAAAACTGACCACTTGCAAGAAAATCAGCAATGGCTTAAATAATATAAATCTGTGTATCTAGCCATGCTAAAATTACATTACCAACACATATTGATAAAAAAAATTCATAAAAAGGTCAGTGTTTCCTGCTATATTGTAAAAATATAAATGTATATACCTTTTCATGATTTGAGCAGCTATAGCACAGCCAGCGGACACAATTAAATTCCTTGTAATCTTACTGCCATAAGCTCCACCAAGTCTCTTCACTTTCACATTTATACTGAAATTAATTAATTTTTGAAAAAATGACTCACACAAAGACTGCTTTTACCTTTAAAGGTGCACTTGATTTCAAATATGGTAAAAAGCAATCAATATTTAAACGATGTCGAGGTTAAATTTATATCCCATGAGTGTATAATGCCTCAGGATTATCTTTTAACAAAAACAGAATATTGTAAATTCAGAAATTTGTTCAATGTTTTTATTATTGCAAAAATTGCAACGAAATAGGTGTGGCAAAAAAAAAACCTCACATTTTGAATTTTAATAGCATTATTTTTACACAGCAATTTCTAAATTCGGAATAATTAAACTTGCATTTGTGTCCATTTTCCAACAATCGCAATACATATGTAATATCATGTGCACTTTTTCAGGTTGTCACTATTTTCTTTTATTGTTCACTTGAATAATTTGAGTAAGTTTTCATCTTTTTGTCATTTATGTTGAACTCGTTCTCTACATTCCAATGACAAATTCTTGAATTTGTTAAGAATCTTACAACTGCATGTGTATTTGAGTTTTCAAAAAGTTATATATCGCTGAGGACTGTATACCTGCTTTCTGGTAACCCAAGCACCATGGCAGTAGACTGTTGAGTTAAGTCTATCCACTGTGTAGAGGCTTCAACATCCATGCCATCTTCGGTAGGGGTACAAATACTGATCTGTAAATCATTGCATTAAACATAATTTAATTATTGGCTGATACTCTTTTTGCTTGTCTACTATATGTTAATTGTTATGTGAAATTTAAAGCAATGTCTATGAAATATTTTTGAAAAATAATAAATTATAAATTGAACTTTGTCCTGAAGACTTACAAGTCAAAAATATAAAAATTGTTTGTAAATAATTGTGTTTAAATATTAATTCACTGCTGCATCTTTTAAAATATACAATTTAGAAGCAATGGATACCTATAAGCAATAGGTCTCAATACAATCAGTTTAACCAACACTTTTTCTATATCTACTGTTCTTTCATTTAGGCTGAATAAAGGAAGGAAGCACTTCCAAAACAGTTGTGTCTGGAAATGTTGTTTTTCTACAAGAGAGGGACGAAAGATACCAGAGGGACAGTCAAACTCATAGACAGATATTCCTGTTACCTTTTTAATATTAACATATTATATATGTGTTCTTCTGAAAATGTTGTTGGTATCCAAAATTTATACTTTCTCTTACTTTTTTAATACTAACCTGAGTTTCCATCTGGAAATGTTGTTGTGCTCCAAAACTGATACTTCCTGTTATCTTTTTAGGACTGTTAGCAATGGCAGCTGGAATATAATAAAAAAATTAATTTCTTCAATAAGAATGTTGAAATACTATTTTTTTTCTTTTCTGTTCGTCAATGAGTCCATTTTTTAATCATTACTTTTAAGGAGGGGGAAAGTGTGGAAAGAATCTTATTGATAGAAAAAACTAGATATCATTGAGATGGAAGCCATCTCTGTGGGCCCCGCTGTGAATAATGTGTGGTAAAAAATTTGTATCGTTATCATTGGAAATGGGGTTGTCAAATGAAACCAAAGTTTTTGACCTTGACCTTTGACCTAGGAAGTTGTACATAAATTATGACACACCCTCTGGTGTTGGTTTATATACATATCAAGTATCAACTTTGAAATCATAACGGTTCTCAAGATATAGAGCGGAAACGATCTTTACCATAGGACATGGGGTTGTCAACTAAAACCAGTGTTTGACCTTGACCTTTGACCTAGGAAGCTGTACATACATTATGACACACCCTCTGGTGTTGGTTAATATACATATCAAGTACAAACTTTGAAATCATAACGGTTCTCAAGATATAGAGCGGACACGATCTTTACCATAGACATGGGGTTGTCAACTAAAACCAAAGTTTTTGACCTTGACCTTTGACCTAGGAAGTTGAACATACATTATGACACAGCCTCTGGTGTTGGTTAATATACATATCAAGTATAAACTTTGAAATCATAACGGTTCTCTAGATATAGAGCAGACACGATTTGTTACGGACGGATGGACGGATGGACGGACAGACGGACGGACGGACGGACGGACGGACGGACGTACGGACAGACGTACGGACAGACTGATCACTATAGGGCGGCCGCCATTTGGCGGGGCCCTAATTAAATTAGAAGAAGACATCATCATAGGAAGTTAATCTTTTTTCTTCATCATTTCCCTAGGGAAAAGCTTGATTCCCTATACATTCAAAGTTTTACTTTTACTTCCCACTATCCTATCCCCTTAAAATATCCTAATCAAAATTAGGAAATGGTCAATGTAAAGCATGTTTATGAAAAAAAATATTACAAAATTAAAAGAATTATGAACTTTAACACTAAAATGAGTGCATACTATGAAATGTCTCACTTTCTTAAGGAAGTTAATCTTTTTTCTTCATCACTTCCCTAGGGAAAAGCTTGATTCCCTATACCTTCAAAGTTTTACTTTTACTTCCCACTATCCTAATTCCCCTTAAAATATCCTGATCAAAATAAGGAAATGGTCAATGTAAAGCATGTTTATGAAAAAAAAATATTACAAAATTAAAAGAATTATGTACTTTAACCCTAAAATGAGTGCATATGATGAAATGTCTTACTTTCTTAAGGAAGTTAATTTTTTTTCTTTATCACTTCCCTAGGGAAAAGCTTGATTCCCTATACATTCAAAATTTTACTTTTACTTCCCACTATCCTAATTCCCCTTAAAATATCCTAATCAAAATTAGGAAATGGTCAATGTAAAGCATGTTTATGAAAAAAATATTACAAAATTAAAAGAATTATGTACTTTAACACTAAAATGAGTGCATACAATGAAATGTCTCACTTTCTTAACTGATCAAGATTGAATTTTATGTTGAACCCTTTCTGATAGACATCATGACCTTAAAATGATTTAATATACCAAATATGTGTATTTCCTATTATAAAAAAAGGCTTTTTATTTTAGCAGCTGCTGAAAATAAGGTCAAGGACAAGAGACAAATGTCAGAAGGAAACTTCAGATCATAATCTATCTGTATACAAGATATGAAATATCAAAGTCTTCTTCCTTCTGAAATAAAAAGCTTTATAAAAAGAGTTAAACCAGCACTGCCACCAATGGATTAACATCCCTATTTCACATATTCAGCAACATGCGTCCCAAGTGAGGCAAAATTAATAATAGTCTTTTTATTTCATAACAATAAATTTGGTTTTGTTGCCAGTTAATAAATGGTTTATCCCATCAAGGCACAACGAAAATTTCAGCTTCGTCTACCTGAACTTATTATCTATATTCATATAATACCTACTTTCAGCATCACCAACTTTAACTACATCTCCAGGTTTAGGGAAGAAGGATTGTTCACGTATACCATCCTCTATTGAGATAATTGGTGGCTTTTGGTCTGAGTAAGTCGCTAGTACTTGTTCTGTAGCTCTGTTTGCTATATCTTCATCATCTGCCATTAAAATTTTTGATTATTTTATGTACTATAACTTCAGAAATTATATGCAAGGTTTTAAAAGTGCGAATAATGCAGCTGGGTGAGTATCGCAATAATAAGAACTTGCATTCTGATGTCTGATACATATATATAAATAAGGAGATCTGGTATGAGTGCCAATGAGACAACTATCCATCCAAGTCACAATTTGTAAAAAGTAAACAATTATAGGTCAAAGTAAGGCCTTCAACACAGAGCCTTGGCTCACACCGAACAGCAAGCTATAAAGGGCCCCAAAATGACTAGTGTAAAACAATTCAAACAGGAAAACCAATGGTTTAATCTATATAAAAAACGAAAAACGAGAAACACTTATGTCGAACCACACCAACAAACGACAACCTGACTGAACAATAGCCTCCTATATACATATACATGTATGCAGATTTTTCTAAAATTGCAGTAATTAATCTTACATTTTTATCAATTCTTCAACAATCGCAATAATAAATGCACACAATAATTTCTGAATATACAGTACTAGTACAACTGCTTATTGAATGAAATGCATAAGTTTTTCATAACATCCAGTAGGCACCATGACGCATTTTTGTTACAGGACTTTTTCTGATATGATTATTATTTTCCCTTAAGATAAAGTGCAGGCCTTAAGGCCAACCCTAATTTCAAAATAAATGAAGAGTTAACATGGAAATAAAAGTTTGAATCTTTTTTTTGAATACTACATACAAAATTCTATATAAAATAGTTTGGTGGAGAAGAAAATACACTTAGTTTATATCAAAAGTTTATCATCTTAGTGAGAAAGACCTTTTTATATTGAGCTTTAGTTTTAATGTAACGAGGGATTGTTGCATTCATTGATATTACCAAACATCTTTCACTCATATTTTGTATAAAGTTTTGTAAAATACCTCACATCTTTCAATCTTTTCAAATATTTGTTTTCAGTTTATGAAACTGAAGCTTTATGCAACTGTGTTATCCTTTTATAGAAGCATTGAATCATTTACTTAATTTCTCTTTAAAAAAAACCCTTTACTGTAAACAATCATGGAAATACGAACCAGCAACTATTATTCCTAAAGCTTGCCCTGCATACATTACATCACCACTACAGAGCACCTGAAGGATAAATGCATATAAACATTCATTCTGGACCACTTGCAACACATAAAATCATATATTTACATTTAAACTGTTCTAATGCTGTTCTTATAGTTATTCATAAAGTATTTTTAATTTATTTCTTGTTTCTGTGAAACAGCTAACGCGAAATGCATGGAAATATCCAAATGCAAATAGTTTGTAGTAAACAACAATATTAGCATGCTGTGTAAAATTAAGGTTCGATGCATGAATTAAACCCCAGAAAAAAAGTTTATGCATTGAAATCACAAAATTTGCAAACAACAAAATTATCCATGTCTACAATAAATATGGATTCTACTACATGTATTACCTCCAATGAAATACAAATATTTGTTTTCTCAAAACAGTTAAAGTTTTAATATTTTTTAAAATATGACACTTGCCAAGCATTTTTTAATTGAAATATCCAGTCAACCCACAAATTTTTTTTAATTTTCTTACCTCTTCTACCATAAATGTTGGGCCAAGAGGTGGGGAGCAGTTGTTTGTTCCAGGTATATCTTTAGCTGTGATAAACTTCAAAACTCCAGGCATGCTCTAGAAAAAAATCCTTTTAACATGAGTTTGTAAACTAAGGCTGTGCATCTAAACAGGAATTTGGTTTTCTTATTTCAAAAAAAAAATGACAGGATGTTGAACTTTTGATAGTCTTTTTTTAAAACATTCAACCTTTTTTTTACCGCTTGTTAACTTTTCAAACTTGTCCTACATAATGTAATAAAATGTAAAAGTTGTGGGTGCATTAAAAATGAATAAGTCACACACAACCATTTTAAGTTGTTACTGTTTATCAAATATTATGTTTGCTTCACTATAGACCACTTTTGAATTCATGGAATTTCCTGTATATTTACTATGTCACAATGCTTATGTTATTATGTCACAGTAATTAAAAACTGATTGTTCAATGACGTCATTTATGCCAAATGACCTTGGGTCAACCAGTGTTACTCATTCATATAAAACAACGAGACTAGAGATTGGTGTATTCAAGCCTACCAGGAGTCATCATCTTTGTCTAGTTTTTTTATAATGTTTATAAACATACTTGATAATATCATCAAACATACCAGAGCTTTAGAAGGATCCATACTCTGTAACTTAGCATTACCAACAGTACTAGTTACAAATGCAGCATACAGAGGTTTATGTAGAGGTATGTCATTTATGTACTGGGCTTTACCTGTTGTCTGAAATACATAATACAAATAAATCACAATAATACAGATTTAAAAAAAATAAAACCTAAATCAGCAATTTCAAAACTCAATTGTTTTTTCTGTAAATTCATGAAGTGATATTCATATAAAGAATTTGAACAAAGCAACCATTTGAAGCCACTACTCAAATATCTTAGGTAAACTATATATATTATGTTTCCGTGATAAATAATACACACTTTTAACTATTATACATTCACTAAAAAGTTTCAATGAAAATGTATTATCTACTGTAGTCTTAGAGGGGTAAATTATTCTCCAAAGTACAACCTGATTCATGGCCTCTAACTTTATCAGAGGTTCAGTAAGGGGCCACTCCATTGGTTTGGTATCATATGACTGCTGTCCTGAGGTTAAAGGTCTCTGCAGGGGTAAGGCACATAACCTGATTCAAGGTCGCTAACTTCATCAGGGGTTCAGTAAGGGGCCACTTCATTGGTTTGATATCATATCACTGCTGTCCTGAGGTTAAAGGGCTCTGCAGGGGTATGGCACATTACCTGATTCATGGCCTCTAACTTCATCAGGGGTTCAGTAAGGGGCCACTCCATTGGTTTGGTATCATATGACTGCTGTCCTGAAGATAGGGGTCTCTGTAGGGGCATGGCACCACTTCTATATTTAGATCCAGCAGTATCTCCTAGCAACTCCAGAAAGTACTGAAATATATGAAACAAAATCAGTAACTATTTGAAGAGTAGAACTCAATAAGTATCTGACAATTTTGAGCATGCACCTGTTATGTGTTGAAACTGTTGTAAGGCAATGCGAACTGAATACCTTCCATTTTCTTTTATACAATTCTTATTATATCCGATCAAAAGTTATTTAGTAAATGGTCTCATAGGTTGAACCTGGAGGAAACTTTGTCTGTATTATTTCATAACGGTTAAACGAAAAATTTGCTTAAAAGGAATCATGCAAGTACTGTTAACAATATAACTTTCATGATCAATTTATTTTTTGCAACTTTTATAAATATAAAAATAACATAAACATATTTGTTCTCTAATATGTTGAACATGGATCTTTTGATTTATGAATATACCTCAACAAAGATGGAAGACAGCGAAAATAAATCACCAAGAAGTCAGCTAGACACGGTTGAATACAACCAAATTAATCCTCAAAAATAAGTTAATTCACTAAATACAAATTACTGTTACATAATCTAAATATAAATATAATGAAATTCTGAAGTACTAACTGTATACAGAAATCCCATAGCTACATTTTTCCTGTATCCTACACTGGGTTCCACAGAGTCAATGTCAGGGTCTGGAATTAGCTCTGATGCAAGAGTTGTCATTGCTCCTGTAGAATAAAAGGTCAATGAATACCTGATGTGGCTCCAACATGATCAAATCTTAACTGAGACCTTGCCAGTATGGTGGGACATAATTGTAGATTTTGAAAAACTTGTCTGTACCGATTGTGGTCGTTTTTTGCTTTTTAGTGATATTTTCTTCACAAGTGATTGTAAATCAAATCAGGACATGTTTGTTTTTCAATCTGTTACAGTCTAGTGAATTTTCAAAACCTACCAGTCAGTAAGGAAGAAAAAAACACATACTTATAAAACCACACCTATAATAAACTGAACATGCATACAGTTTATGCAAATTTTTAACAACAAAAATATTTGTATTCAAAAAATTTATCTACCAAGCTACACATCAGTATAAAAGTTTGTTTTTAACCCAATTAATATTTACAACATTCGTATGACAAATTTTCCCATAAGAAGTACGTATAAAGACTTATGAAACAGATTTTTTGAAATATTTGGGTTTTTTGTATTAGTCCTCACACCATAAAAGTTCTGCCGTGAGGTGGATGTAAAACAAAACAAACACAACAACTTTGGCCATATTTAATATCAAGGTTTCTGTCCTTAATTTTGGAAATATAATTTAAGGGGAGCTTATAAAAGGGGACTATTGTGTCCATAGGTTTTCTTAGTTGATTGCAAGATAAAAAAAGTTTAGCAACACAATAATGTGTAACGTACCTTGGATAACTTTCACATCACTAAGTTCCTTTCCTAGTAAATAATTCTCTGTTTGTACAGCATGAACCTGTTAAAAGTAGTAAATTGATGCTTTTTATATTTAACAGAAAAACTACCTAAAAATAAATAGAACCATATTTGTTTTGTCTAATATAAAAAATAAATAGCCTAAATATCTAAATAATCAATCAGAATAGATGGATATTCTACTCCATTTTACACATCAGCCTTAGACAAGGTCCTAGCTATATATAGGTCTCCTCTAACTCTTCAGATGACTTCAGAATCACTGTGCTCAAACACTGCTGTTGTTATTCTTTAATATATAATAATTGCAAAACATCAACATATCAGTGTGTGACTGAATTTGTCGACTACTATCATTGAAATTTATTAAATGTGAATAAATTTGACAACATAAACATAATTTAAAAGACTTCCACTTACAAAATCTTTAGAAATTCCAGAGAAAACAATACATGGTTTTTCTTTCACAACAAACTTGTTACTCTTGTCAATTTTCATTCTTATTCCAGCATTTACAAATGAATGTGAATTCTGAAACATAAAAAAAGTATTAATAAAGTAAACATGAAAATTCTTTTTTGAGGAAAATGTCAACATTATTATCAAAATTAAACAAATAGTCTAAAATGACAAAAACTTTCATTTTCAAACTATTGATTACAGAGAAAAGAAGATAAACTCCATCTCTCTACAACAGTTTAACATTTCACAGCGGTATAACATGTAACTTTAATTGTTCTTCCCTTAGTTTATTTATTTTGTATTTACATTGTATCATAGATCAAATTTATTTGTTCAGTGTATGTTCACTGGTGTTAATATGTCTTATGATTGAGTTGAGCCATTTCAATTGATATTTTATAGTGTGTTTTTCTATGTTGTGATGTTGCACTATTGTTTCAGATAAGGGTGAAGGTGTGGTACCATTAAAACGTTTAAACCCGCTGCAATTGTTTGCACCTGTCCTAAGTCAGGAATCTGATGTTCAGTAGTTGTCGTTTGTTGATGTGGTTCATAAGTGTTTCTCGTTTCTCGTTTTTTATATAGATTAGGCCGTTGGTTTTCCCGTTTGAATGGTTTTACACTAGTAATTTTTGGGGCCCTTTATAGCTTGCTGTTCGGTGTAAGCCAAGGCTCTGTGTTGAAGACCGTACTTTGACCTATAATGGTTTACTTTTATAAATTTTGACTTGGATGGAGAGTTGTCTCATTGGCACTCATACCACATCTTCTTATATCTAATTATAGGCTTATCTTACCTTGTTGTAAATCATTTTGGATGAAAAAATAATATTAAAAGTAATTTAGGTCTGAGCTTTAGATATTTTTCAAAAGGTCTAGGAAGTAGAAGATTGACTTTCATGTGGAAGGCAGGATATATCAATAGTGTGACCTGTAACAGAACCAACTAACTAAGCCTACCTATTGCTTGAACAAGTGAATTTTGGATTCTTTTAAAATGTTGTAATTACTGTAAGGACCACTGATATTTATTCAAATGTCATCAGTTTCTGAATGCTGAATATAAATAGACCAGTTTAAATTCTGAAGACCTTTGTGAAATACTTGTCACTCAGCTCTCCTCTCTGTTCCACTTTTTACATCCTTATAATGTATTCATTACTCACCTCTGCTCTCTGTGCCACTTTGTACATCCTTATAATGTATTCATTACTGACCTCTGCTCTCTGTGCCACTTTGTACATCCTTATAATGTATTCATTACTCACCTCTGCTCTCTGTGCCACTTTGTACATCCTTATAAAATAGTCATCACTCATTGATGGTAACAACATGGCTACTATAACTTTGTTGGTCATATCTGTCTTCAGAAACTGGCCTATAGGTACTTGGTTTGATCCTGTTTTGTCAGCTGTAATTAAATGTTAATGGCATTGTACAAGTAATTTTCAAATTTAAAAGCCATGAAAATTGAATGAAAAATTAAGGTATCATATACAGTTACGTTATCATGAATGATTTACAGATGGTAATATAGCTAAGAGTATGTACTACTGTGGAATCATTTATTTATTTGGGTACCAATTTTCGTGGATTGAGAAAAAATTGGATTTTTGTGGATATTTGATTTTATGGTTTTGACAAAGTCTGTGTACAAGCCTTTAGAAAATATGTATTTTGTTAAACATTTAAATATGTGGTTCACGTATACCCATGAAATCCATGAAAATTGGTATCTCACAAATAATAATAAATCCACAGTATCATGCATAAGTTTGACTTTATACACCAATAAACTTAATAGATATATTTTTGATGTTTAAGAAAGGATAAGAATTTAAGCCATGACATTAGTTTCTGTGTTTTACCATAATCCTGTTCTTTTGGTAATTGTACCTGCCATTAACTGACAAAAAATTTCACTTAATTAGGTTAGATTCAAATCAACTCTGATAAATCAGATGAATGTGAGTGAAAGTACAGAAGATGCCAAAGTCTGGAAATCAAGAAAATTCAATATTTTGTAAAGGAAAATAAAGCGCCAGAAATCCATCAAATTACAGAACATTTCATGCATGGATAAAATATCTTCTACCTGTTGATCAACTTGTTCTATTCATAATAACAGTAACTAGTGAACTTGTTGGTTAATATGTGGAGCCTTATGGGCATGTAAAATAACCTAGCAACCTTTTAAAAAGACTGAGCACATAATTTCTATTAAGATTTTTAACTTTTTATTTTTAATGGAAAGATATTCTTTTGATTAATTTAACTGTCATACAGATATTCAATAAAATTCAATGCAAATGAACCTTTTACTCACCAATCATAAGTCCTACATTAGCAGCCTCTAGAGAAACATAGATATCAGACTGGAATTCTGGATGAAGATGCTTTAACATTAGATTACCTGCCCAGCATCCAAGCTGTCAAATATAATTGAAAATGTAAAACATTCTATCAACATAACTATCTTGGCTTATCTCAAACTAGTGCTAGGGGCTTTCTTAAACTTGCAGTGAGATGAGAGTTTTTTGCTCAGTGTTGAAGTCCTCACTGTGACTTTGAGATGAAGAACAGCAATAAAAGCACTCTTCCTTTGCTTTTTGTGTTTTTTGCTGTGCACATACTGATTTTGTGTCATGAATGGATACCCTATATCATTTCTTTTCTATTATAGTACTGTAATTTCTACACGGACAATTTGTTACTTAATTAATAACAGGGTTTTTTCCATGTTGGCCCTGGTATCATTTTTTGAACTGGACCAATACAGATCACCATGCGACATTGCATAGTAGTCTGATATCAACCCTTGTATCAGCCCTTGGTTCTTATTAATGCTGTTCTGTATATGCATATGCAGCATAATCAGGTAATCACAATAAAATAGGTGATAATATATTATAATGATGATCTTTCTCAAGGAACAAATTCTGAATATTGTTTCATTTTCAAAACTTCAATCCTTATTCTTATAATCAAGATTTCAACTTTAACATATATAATTAACCATGAGCCATAGCAACTGAGTTTAATGTTTATATGGGAAAGCCATTAAAAGAATATCTAATGTTTCTAATGTCTTGGAAATAAACAGAACAAGCTCAAAATCAGGAACATCTCTTATTAAACATATAATAGTTAATGCATTTACAAATTTGAAGTACTTACACTGCGTACAGATGTAGTAGCAACTCTTTGTAGCATATTCCTAATCTGTGTAAAGTATCCAAATGAAGTCTCCAACTTGGTTCTTGTAAATATATCAATCAGCTGAGTGATGGACAGACCAGCTCCTAGGACAACTGTTGGGTCAAACTGTAATATAATTTAGTTGAGTGTGAATTAATAAGGAATTAAGTGCTATTATAGCAAAAAGGTTCTGATGCCAGATTACTTCAATGCATATAAAACCTTATCAAAGAAAATCCATTTTACTTAAGCAAGTTCAGTGCATTTATGTTAACATTACAAAATCTTTCAATAATTATTAGGAGACCAATGTATATACAAGTATCTTTAATAATGAATATCAAACTTACATCAATACCATATAATTCCTTAATTCCTCTAAGATCCATTAGTATGTCAAAGTTTGCAAGATCAAGATCACTCTTATATACACCTATAATATATGAATGTACAGCATTAGTCCCTCTAGAAACTATAGCTTTCAGTGACATGGCACTGAAATTATCTAATAAGAAAGTTTGACAGAGCTTAAAAATAATCATCCATACTAAATTTCTTACTTATGCTTAGAAGATTGCAGGCATGTCTTGGTTATCCAACATAGGTCTCTATTTGAATTTTTCAAATCTGGGTACTACAGTGAAAATACTACCCAATACATGCATTTTAGTGGTGTTTAAGAGATTTGTACATATGGAACTAGCATATGTTTTAATTATTATATCCTACTTATTTTAACAAAATAATTCTGTTCAAACATATATACCTGATCCAGTATTGCCAAATACAAATCTAACTTTCTTTCCTGGATTGTCTGAAATGATCTTCAATAGTTGATCCAAGGTCATTGGTCTGTACCAAACAGTATCAACACCAATCACCTGTAGTTGTTGTCCCATCTCAGGGTGACATTTACCATGGCAACGCTGTCCTGTTTTATGACAAAACATTTTCCCTAATTCCTACAATAAAATAATTTTATAACTATATAATTCTAGTTTTGTGACCAGAATGAATTACATTAAAATTCTATTCATTGAGACAATCTGGTTTTTAAGTTTCCATTTATTTTTATTTTCTTTAAATCAGGTAGTCTCTATACCGGTATGTACAATTTAAAAAAAATGTCAAAATGTCAAAGAAAACATAATTTTGTGACAGTATCATGCTATAAAAATGCTGTTTTTCATGTTTTTATACATTACAGGCACAACATAATTAATATAATAAACTACCTCAATATCTGTTGCTGTGGTTTTATTTTTTTGTGATGAGTCTACAGCAAATGACTTCATTGCATCTAATATTGGTCTGTATCCTTTAAATATTTAATATTCATTCTTAATGAGAAAAAAACATCAGATAATATGCGAACTTTTTACACTATCTAAAATCGATGTATTTCAAATTTCATATGATATATATTTATCAAGTGATGAAATTGCAGTCAATTGTTTCTATTCTTAAAATACTAGTTTCAGCAGGAAACATTTTGTTTATATAAAATCAGTCATATAATCCTACAGACTGTCCCTGTAGTGAGTGATAGCAAAGCTAGTACAAACACAAGTTAGCACTTACATAAAATGTGAAAGAAAAAAATTCTGAACATTCAGTATGATGCATTAAAAAGGTAACATTCACAAAGAGAATTAACCATGATTAGTGATGGACAGGCCAGCTCTTTAAGGACAACTGTTGGGTCAAACTATAATAGAATTTGGTTGAGTATGAATTTAAAAGGGAGATCACACTGAACAAATTTCTATTCTAGTTTGATCCAACAGTTGTCCTAGGAGTTGGCCTGTCCATCACCAATCATGGTTAATTCTTATTTAATCACAATGCTCAGAGTCTATTAGTTTTTGTTTACCACAAAGGGGAGATAATTAATAAAAAAATTGGGTTTTTTTTTTTGTCACTAAAATTCACAATCAAAAGAAATAAACAGCTGCCCCAGTAGCACTTGATATGACTGTTTTCTGATTTAAATTTAGTACTTTTTGTTCAAGAATGAATTGCAATATAAAATAAACATTTGAGTAATTTACCTTAATTGTAACTACCCCATTAAAATTGAAATACAGGACAGCATAGATACTACACCTATAGAGGTCTTTTATAACTGTATATGAGGGTTAGTTGCAAACTAAAATTTCCTAATCTAAACTGGCTTTCTATTTTTAGTTGTTGTTGAGTTGTTGTCTCATTAATAAATTCCCCAAATCTCCTATAAGGTCAAGTTACAGTAAATGGGCTATGTCATAAATTTGGGTAAAATTTGGGATTCAGCTTTAAAACTATAACTAAATTGAAAAAATGATGCACTTTTATTTTCTGAAATATGGTTTTTTTTTCAATCTTGACATGCATGAGATTAAAGGGATGCCTTGTTTGGGGATTCCAGATTATAGTTTCCATACCTACCTGGGCATGTACATATTACATCATCTAATGTATATTAATACCTTATATTGACTACCTACATGACCTACCTGTACATCTACATATGACATCATCAAATGCATCTTCTACCTCCTTCATTGATACTGATCCTTTGTTGAAATCTAGTAAACTAAAAACGAAACACTTAATATATTTGAGTACTCAAAGTTGGAAACATAGCATGAAATTTAAACTAGAGGATCTAAAGAGCCTGTGTCGCTCACCTTGGTCTATGTGCATATTCAACAAAGGACACTCTCCAACATTGTAGACTAGAATAGAATTCATGACAAATATCTCTGTTTTGTTGATCTTGTATTGCTGATCATTTATTCTGTTTAGTTTCTCTCTATCTTCTTTAGTTTTTGCTCAAAACACAAAAGAGGGTTAAAAAAAACTCTTTTTAGGGCAATCACTCCTATAAAGAGTGACAGGCTACTAACTATATCGGCAAAACTTGACTTGTTAGTAGATCTTGCCTTGCTGATCATTTTTGTGATTTAAAGTGTCTATTTATCTATTATAATTTTTATCATATAAGGCAAAACGCAAAAAAAATGGTAAAAATCGTCATTAAAGGGCAATAACTCCAATAAAGAGTCGTTGGACGATTTCCGCCATATTGTCTTAATAGTAGATCTTGTCTTCCTGATCATTTTTGCTTATTTCAGTTTCTATCTATTATAATTTTTAAGATATCTATCTATTATAATTTTTAAGATATAAGGCTAAAACGCAAAAAATTGGTAAAAATCGCCATCAAAGGGCAATAACTCTAATAAGGAGTCGACTGACGATTTCAACCATGCCATACTTATTTGTAGAACTTGTCTTGCTGATCATTTTTGACATGTAAAGTTTCTCTCTATCTATTATAGTTTTCAAGATAATACTAAGGCAAAAATGAAAAAAAATGGTAAAATTTTTTATTTAAGGTCAACAACTCCTATAAGAAGTCGTGTGACAGTTATGACATTTTTGGACAATTGGTAGAGCTCAACATTTTGAACATTTTTGCTCCATTCAGATTTTCTCTATTTATAACAGTTTTCAAAATAATAGACAAAACTTGCATTTTACCACTATGTTCTATTTTTAGCCATGTTGGCCATCTTGGTTGGCAGACCGGGTCGTCGGACATATTTTTTAAACTAGATACCCCAATGATGATTGTGGCCAAGTTTGGTTAAATTTGGCCTAGTAGTTTCAGAGGAGAAGATTTTTAGTAAAAGTTAACGGAAGACGACTACGACGCTGGACGCCAAGTGATGAGAAAAACTCACTTGGCCCTATGGGCCAGGTGAGCTAAAAAGGGAAGATGAGAATTTCATGTGGTTTATACAAGAAGTTTATTTCAGAAGAGATACAAGACTGGTTTGATTGTAATCTTCTAAAAATGGGCTCAGTATGTGCATTCAGTTGACAGTTTTCATTGCATACATTGTGAGAATACTGATGGTTAAAGATGTTGGTTTGTTTGTTTCTATTTATTTAGGTTGTGAAATAAATTATTTATCAAGAGGTTATATTGTTCTTCATCAATATATCTGCATGCTTACTACTCTAATAAAATATACTAGTATAAAAATAAAAATATCAGTAATGCATTTGTTCACATTATAATAATATGTATGTTGTTCCTGAAAACTGTTTTGCAAATTTATGCCGGAAGTTTAGACATTTCAACACTATATTTATCTTAATAGCTTGGTCTATTTAAGCACCACATAAACTTTTATCATGTGGATGATTTTTAGACACGTCCTGACTTTGGCCCCATTTGAAAAACAGTAAGTAGGTCAGTTGTTTTGACATTTGACAGCTCCAGTTGGAACTAATACATAGAAAGGGTAGTGACTAACCATTGTTTACAAACATTGAAACAAAATAAACATACTTTACTTCTTGCCACAGAAAATATGAAAAACATCAAGGTGATCGATTTATTAATAGTCAGGATATATTTGTTTTTTTATTTATGATGTTCGGTCAGTGTCTAGTTGACATTATGTATTCATAAAATATTAATATAAATCAAAGTAACTTTCAAGAGCTTACGCATGCATATTCATGACCTGAGCAGGACTACAATATCCACATTGAGAACCGTTATATTTTGCCAGTCGTTTTGGTATGACATCATTTATACCTTCTATGGTAGTAATTTCCAACCCATCACACATAAATAATGGACACAGGCACTGGAAATGAAAGGAATATGTAAATGCATGGATCACATCTCATTTTTTTAAACAATATTCCATATTTGCCATTCATTTACACGTACAATGTACATCACAATAGAGATACAAAAATTGAAAGATAATTGTAACAGAAATAAATTTTATGAAATTGGGAGGTTCATCACACCTTAAACTTGGTTATCCATTATCTTTGTAAAAATAAACCTTATCAAGTCTGATATTTTAATAAACCTTGAAGTTTGGGTACAATTGTGATTAACTGTCCTTATGGTTCTTAGAGGATTTTTTTCTTACATAATCCAAACATTGATCGAGTCCATTGCAAACCTTTATTAAAGCTTAGTTAGATTTTTTGGTTGCTATTTCATTGTGGTTTTTGTAACACTTACAGAATTAATTGGATAACTTTTCATGCTATCTGATATAGGTTCATATAACTTGGCCTCCACCATACAAATACCACATCCTCCTTCATGGCACATGACTTTTGTACCAACAGAAATCCTCTCTTTTCTTAGATATGTGTTCAGTGAAGTCCATGGTGGATATTCATTTCCAACTGTGAATAAATGTATATTAGAATCAAAGTACTGTCATACTGCTTCCTTTGATATAAGTGCATAATTTAAATATTCACAAAAAAATTATACTTTTCTTTAAAAAAATAAGTACAAATTAGTCCCATGTTCAAAAAGTTTTGCATAAAACCTTTATTTAATTTTTTTTAAATTAGCCTATGACTGTAATTTTTAAATTTATTTTTTTTGGGGGGGGGGGGGGGGGAAATCACAAATAAATCACAATATCAAGAAAATTTCCTGTGACCAACCATATGATAAACTTTCATATGAAAATAACAAAAGTTTATTAAGTTGACCTAGAACAGTTCTGCATGTGTTACACATGATGGGGGCAGATCCAGCCATTTTTAAAAGGGGGGTTCCAACCCAGGATAAAGGGGGTTCCAACCATATGTCCCCCTTCAAAAGCATTGATTGTCAAAAAAAGGGGGGGTTCCAACCCCCAGAACCCCCCCCCCCCCCCCCCCCCCCCCCCCCCCTGGATCCGCCACTGCCTGAGGTATCCAGGAAACATCTAAGGCATAAAGTCTGACACACAATGATTTACAAAATGTATCAATATTCACACTGAAGTGCCAAATGTGAAAGGATTTGTTTAGGTTGACAAATTCTTTATATTAAATACACTTCTTAATCAAAGGTACCTGTATATTTCTGTCCATTGATAGTTACTGTGATTTTAGAGTTGACATCAGATTTCACACTGAATTTGATAAAATGTCCACAACATTCACAGTTGGCAGCAAACACTCCATTCTGAACTTTGTCCTTTCTGAACAAATGTCTGAAATTACGAGAAAAAAAAGGTGACAGTAATAAAATTTAATGAAGGGTAGAAAATAGTTTTCCAGAAATTGGTTTTAACTGCACAATATGATATTAATTTTTTTCTGTCAATCCCATATCCCTGTATTTGTATCAGGAAATACTGTAAATTCAGAAATTATTGCGTGCATTTATTATTGCGATTTTTAAATGATAAACAAAATTGCAAGATTTATTATTGCGATTTCAGGAGAAGCCTCATGCAGATATATGTATCAGATATCATATGAGAGTTCTTATTATTGTGATACATGTATCTTCCCAGTTGCCTAATTAGCATTAATAAAAACCTCACAATAATTTCTGTATGTATAAGTAGCTGAAAATGTACACACATTTTAATCTTTTTTTTTAAAGCTGTTTCATAAATTCTACATTTATAAAGTCCTAAATAAGTATGAAATATTTGCCACTTGGCAAAAAGCAAGTTACATTAATCCATCTTTCCTTTGGATTCAATTTAATTTCCAAAGATTCAAACACAGGCAAAAATTCCAATTAAACTTCAAACATTTGTCCACAACTTAGTCTTTTCAGCCTTTTAGTTAGAGAACTGCCTCAAGATGACACTCTGGTCTTGTGGTAGTGAATGTGCTTGCCTTGAGTGTCAAGAGGTCCTGGATAAGATAATTCTGAATGACTCAAAACATGCACAGACTTGAAAACTAGTATTTGCTGTTTCTGTATTTAGCATTTAGGAGTAAGAGCATAAACTTGTCAGCTAATTAGAGACAGAAAATATGTTTGAGTAGGTCTGCTGAATATTATTGTAAACTAGCTAGCACAATAAAAATCCAGATCAAGGTGTTGGTCTTTTACAAAGTAGGCTTTATTTGTATTCATAATAAATGTTCTTGTCCTGAATTTGCATGAACATTAAGAGATTTTTTTTATTCAAGATGTTTTAATTTGAAGTTATTATTGTATAGCTGTGAGCTGTATTTTAGTATTAAATGGTAACCTAATTGGGGTCAGCTTGGACATATGCAACATTTGAAGCTTAATTACAATGAATAAATTGATGGATTACAAGTACATGGGATGAATATATATAGATATTAAGAAGTATTATCATTGGCCAGAGGTGGATTTAGAGGGGGGTGGGGGGTGGCTTTTTGATCTACATATATGCATAATACTTTTACAAGTTCTATCCCAGAACAATCAGAGAGTGGAACACCTTGCCCAACTCTACTGTCTCTGCATTGAGTCCTGAATCCTTCAAGGCTCAGCTCCGTCATTTAAGATTTAAATGCCATGTTTTTAATTGCACCTGTATATATATATATTAAATTGCACCCATTCTCTTTTTGTTTATTAAATTTCAAAAATAGTTCATGCGCTCACTCCAAATAGTCAACCAGTTGACGGTGGCCGCTTACCGGAAGAAGAAGTCCACCTCCTACCATTACCTTGTTGGGAATCCGGTTCCGTTCGCGCCCAATCACGTTCGCCCCCCATGCACGTTCGCCCCCATGAAGGTTCGCCCCCCTTTCACTTTCGCACCCTACACGTTCGCACCCAAAGTCCGTTCGCACCCTACACATTCGCGCCCATTTTTTATTGGTTTTGTTTTTAATAATTTGTAAACGAGTTTTGGTAAGTGTATTGCTATAAATATATATTTTTTCATTGTTTCTAAATAAAGTGAGATTCTGACAAGGTTTTTTTTTGTGTCATGGTAAATATATTGCTATAAACATTTTTTTTCATTGTTTTTAAATAAAGTGAGATTCTGACGACTAGTATTTTATTTTTGTGTTGAATAATTTTTAATCATGTTTGGATAGTGTATTGCTATAAATAGTTTTTTTCATTGTTTATGAATAAAGTGAGATTCTGACACACATGCGATCAAAGGAGCCAAGCAGTTAAAAACAATTATCTTTCATGTTTTTTATTTAAAATCTTCAAAGTTTTACTCATACCAAGCTAAATACATGCAGTATTTACATCAACGCAAGTTAAAACAACCATGACAACAATCATGATTTTCAAACACTCAACAATAACACCAAATTAGGCTGTGAATAAATACCAATTAGCAGTAATTATACATAATTAACATTTAATAATTAATCATCAAATCAATTTAAAACTATATTTCATTTAAAAATTCCCGAATTATTTATGAAAATAAAAATATTTTGATATAAACATCTACAAAACATCTAAAATTTATCAGGTTTTTGAATAAAAAAAAAAAGGGTGCGAACGTGTAGGGTGCGAACGGACCTAGGGGGGCGAACGTGTAGGGTGCGAACGTGTATTGGGCGCGAACGGACCCGATACCCCTTGTTGGTCCATCGACCCTACCCCTATTCTTCCCCCTTTTAAAATTCTGGATCCGCATCTGTTGGCCCTCATTTCTTTGCAATATATTAGGAAACAGACAACTATGGAGGAAACATTTATTTAACAGATAAAGCAGTTTAACATCTGCTTCGTTCGACAGATATAATTTCCTTGTAAGATAAGATATTGTTATTAACCATATTGCAGTTTCGTGCCTTTTTACACTTAGCTGTTAAAAACTCGTTTAACCATTGCGGTTCTTTTATGTTATCTCTTTACCTGGAATTGCAGACAGGACATACAATACAATTATCCAGCTTGGATGATTGTTTTTTATCCATCCTTCTTGTTCAAAGCACGAGCTTTGCAAATAAAGGTATGGCACATATTATGACCTTTCATCAGCTGACAGATAATATTTTTTTTAATATGGTATACAAATCCTGTCATCATTCGACCGTTACTTCGGTCCATAATGATCTTTTTTTTACTATGTCGTATGAATGTCAATTTCGTGTGGGATTAAAACATTATTTATTTATTGCTTCTATTTGTTGTGAACTTGTCTAAATATGTTATTTAATGTGTATATGAGGAGATGATGCACAGGCACTTGTCTCTGAAAATAAAATCCTATATACCTTTAATAATTAATGTTATATTAAGGTATATGGGAAATTTTTTTTCAGAGACAAGTGCCGTTGAAAATTTCACTGCACTCGATTTCATCTTACCGGTTACAAGTCACATTGCCAAAATCAACATTCTTTTGAATAACATAAACGATACCATTTTTTCTGCACCAGATGCGCATTTCGACATTCAAGAGTTGTGTCCACAACCACCATAATAAAATAAATTATCCATGTAAATAGAGACCGCATAATACATTTTATAAAGCTCAAAGTTCTTTATTTTCCATATGTAAGTGTTCCTAAGAGACATATGTTGACAACAGTACACAATACATTCACATTCATATCACATTAAACATATAAAATTATGGACATTATTTCAGTAAAATTCACATATAGTGGGTGAGATAACCTTATAATTCATATCATATATATAACCATATAAAATAGCACAACATGAAAGGGCCATTAGCTGTCAAATTCATGTTCACCGATTTGACTCGGTCTCAAATTTAATTTATACCTTGTATACGACATACTAAAACCTGGGACTATTATACTAACGTCATGTCCGTGCTAAAACGTACACCCAAATTACAAAAAAAGCCCACCACCAGGACTAATATAGTAATTATCCCAGCCCAAACGAAACAATCAATAATACATGGACTCGTTATAATGTATCATCAATCCGTGCCCGGTGTATTTTAGGCAAGACTCCATCTAATTAACCATGTTAACCATCGAGATAACCAGATGACGCTCCTAAGAATGCCGATGGTCTATGATCCGATATAAACAAATAAACATAAAATATAAATACACGAACAGGCACGTGCAATCGTATAATGCCGATTTTTCTGGGTCTGTTTGATTCCATGTCAATGAAAAAAAAAATATATTCTAAGTAAATCATTGTTTTAACCTGTATAAGAATACTTTTTTTCCATGGTCTTATCAGTCAACGAGATTGTTCTTACCGGTTGCACCCTTGTTTCACTGTTCGATGTGGACATTCTTTTCTTTTTATAACCGAACATGCTTAGTACATGCGTAATTAACCCATCTCAAGCTAATGGTCAAATTGAAGGTCTCATGAAAACGGATATAAATGAAGCGAATTGTTGACTTGCAAGCCAATACCGGTAAAACATTACCAGTATTTTTAAGCTTATTTCGACAAAATTGAATCAAATTGGCTTCTTATAGCGAAATATTATTTCAAATTTTTTATGGAAAAATAATAAAGCTCAGTATTGGCTATTCAAACCCCAACAAAAATAAATAGTCTCGATGCGTTAAAGTCGACAGCATATAAGGGATCATATATGAAGAGTTTATTTAAATAAATTAGTAAAAGAACAATCTTATATCTAAAACTTGTGTCCCCCTTTTTATAATACGCCACATCGATGTCATATATTGCAAATTCTTGACCTTCAACCGATTTGAAAGCTCGATAAGTATTGATTTTGATTTACAAACAATAATCGATCTTTCTCAGAGATGACGATGACTTTGTCGTAAGGGGTTTCTATTGTCAACATCAGTTAATCACTGAATTATTCTGGAAAATGGAAACACGTCCAATCTCAACCTCAGAAAGAGTGCCCAAATTTCTCGGCTCCGAGCAGTGTTGCTCTTTTATCAGACATCATAACATGAAACAGATTACACATTTATCAGTGTATCGATGACTTATTATATTTGGAGGAAACAAATAACCAAGTTGAACCCAACGGAAGTTTTAAAAAAAGAGGTACATCACTTAACATTTCTTGTGGTAATATAGAATAACAAATTGATTTAGGACAAGAAGACAGCACATATAAAAAAAAATCATGTATGATGGAAAAAATCGACAGGATGAAACTGAAACTGGATTTGGGACAGCACTGCAACAAAATAGACCAGATGTCGACGATCATTCAAAAAGATGCCAGAATATATAACTGGACCAGACACTACACACAAAAAAGGTACACAAAAACAAAGATCATCTGACTCCAATACTCGTACGAAAGTTGACCAGATTCAAACTTTTGGAAAGCCAAATGGTGCAGAACATGTGCACCAACACAGCAATTTATACTCAGCTTGCATTACAACTGAGACCTCCATACTATAGTTAACCTTCATATCCGTTTTTGGGACCAGCTGGGTGGTGGTGTGGTCTAAGTAATCCGACTACTGCATCACTAGCCTGTCAAGACTGAGATTGTGAGTATTCGAACACAGCACGTGGCAGGTATGCCCGACTCCAATCTTGATTGACTAGGATTGTCAGGTTTCCTCCCGAAGGGTGTTTCCCCAAGTTAGGCAACCAATAAGAACTGACCGCCAAGAAATAGCCAATTGTGCTTAAAAGAGAGGCGAAAGATACCAAAGGGTCTTTCAAACTCATAAGTCGAAAATAAACTGACAACGCCATGGCTAAAAAAGAAAAAAGACAAACAGACAAACAACAGTACACAAAAAACAATATATAAAACTAAAGACTGAACAACACGAACCCCACCAAAAACTGGGGGTGATCTCAGGTGCTCCGGAAGGGTAAGTAGATCCTGTTCCACATGTGACACCCGTCGTGTTGCTCATGTTAGTACAAACCCGGTGATAAGTCTAATTCGGAAGGTCACATTTGGGGAAAAGGGGACGGGATTGTAGTAACGATATTTGGAACATATCCGCTATCATCTGTGAAACGGATATTCCATAATGGCCAACCAACTCGTGATGGCGTCCGTAAAATTTACGAAGGGATTCAACTTTCAACTTCACCACTTGGAACTCTTGGTTTAATAGCTTCTTTGTGAGCAGCAAACCCCTAATTTATCAATAAATCATGATAGGAAATACAAGCCCTGGAATATCGTATCAACTGGGAGATATATACTCCGTATGCAGGCGCTGCTGGAATGTTGCTACATGGAAATGGAAAGTTCACAATTGGGAAGCTGAAATTATCTCTTTTGTCGCAAAGTTTTGTTTTCAACCGACCCTCATTGTCAATTTCTAGATGTAAGTCAAGATATGAGGCAGACTTAACTGTATCTGTTGTATCCTTTGTCTCTAGTTCGATGGGATAGATGCGTTCAACATAGTCACCAAATTTTGAATTATTTAGTGAGAGAATATCATCTATATAGCGGAAAGTAACGTTAAAGGATACTGCTAACTTCTTTTCTATCTTCCTAAGAAGTCCCTGTATGAAGTCAGCCTCATATGAATAAAGGAACAAGTCGGCAAGAAGAGGGGCACAGTTGGTTCCCATGGGAATGCCAATTGTTTGTTGAAAAACACGTACTCCAAACGTAACAAATATGTTGTCAATCAAGAAATCAAGCATCCTGATAATGTCAGTTTCAGAGAATTTTTTGTTTGAATCAGAGTGATTTTTTACAAAGTAGGATTTATCCCTCCCTAAGACAAGATACTTGTATCTACGTTGGCCATTCTTTTTTATGAAACAAAGCAGGACCAACTCTTTCAATTTGTCTTTGATCAGATGTATGATATATATATCATAAGGTAATCTCATCAACTTTATGTGAATTTTAATTTAATTTCCATCTATATGTTTATGTGTTATGAATGAGAATGCATTGTGAATCGTTGTCATAATGTCCCTTCGGGGCCCTTAATTGGAAAATAAAGAACAAGGCATAGATAGCCTAGCCGTATTTTGCACAAATTTCGGAATATTTGGTTTTAATGATTTTCAACTTCGTTTTTTATTTGGAATTCCAACTGTTTTGATTCGAACGCCACTAGTACTGCTTAGTCTTATGCAGATAAAATGCGCTACTGACGTGCCAAATTATAAGCCCAATATCTTTGATGAGTTTTCACCATATCTTGAACGAAATCAGATGCACCAACTTTTTATACCTCACTATGGACAACAACCTCGGATGTTTGTTGGTACTTACACACAGGCTCCGACATTCATATCCAAGGATAAAGACTTTTATTTATAATCAAACACCTCCAGTTTTTCAAAACGGGATGACAAACTCGGCTAACTCAGCATCGGAGTGCACACTGGTACCTCGGACGTTCCAACAACAACAAACCTTTCATACAAACACCATGACTCATCCAAGAGTAAATCTAAAACTTTCTACATTTGCAGTCCCAACAGGTAAATATCCGGAAAACAACGAATACAATTGTTAAATATCATACCATCCTCACCTAAAATGGCACGTCATCCAACAACAACGGGAATTACCATAAAATCACTATGAAAATATTTCATAAGAAATACAAAACATTACCACGATGGATCTTAAATCAAATACCACTACTCCACCTCTTGTATTGTCTTCTAGAAACATTCAGCAGCTAAATTGAGAAAACTCCCACTTTATACAAAAAGATATAAAGAGATCACTGATTGAGGTGATCCTTCTGGCTACTCAGGAAAAACTGGTACACAACATAACGTATGCAATGGTTCGTGAAACGCAGCCAGCTCAATAAAAGGATGATTGTTTAAATATCCAGAGGAGTACTTGTAAGAAGTCTTGAAAGTAACCGACTACTCGGATATATTACAATTCAAGGAAAGCCAACTTGGGTCAATGGCAACAGCATGGAAATATCTCAATCCCACCCAAAGATGATATTCGAATTATATAACGACAGGACCATCTTTTTCAAGAGATAAGCTTCCTAGAACAACCAAGAAATCACATACTCCAGGGGGAAACATTGAAAATAAAGAGAAAGCAGAATAACAAATTGCAACATAGAGGGAGTGAGATCAACTACATCTTTCCTTGAACTCCTCAGTCAAGAGTCACATCTATGCTTGCAAGAACACTTTCAATAGGAATGCCAAACAGGTATCTTTTAATTATTCCAACGAACCACTTGCAGATTTTAAACTACAAAAAACCCACTCCGGAGTCTCTAATTTATGGTCAAAACACTGGAATAGTCAAAGTTATTAGAATCTACCAGATGGAAACGAGAGAGTGGTATCCATTTTAATCTCACCGAACTAAGATATATAATCGTTTATTTGCCAACTATAGATAAAGACTCATAAAGAATATGGAGAATGATAGACAGTAAACATACCATTGCTACGAAATATCAAAATACTCAGGTTATGATATTTTGTGGAGACATGAATAGGACAATATAATGCAGACCCGATACAACAAACACGACCAGAAGCTGCAGGAATTTGTCCTTGCCACTGATAAAGGTAGTTCTGAAAAAAAACTCTTTCTTCCATCATCCAGGACAATGCAGTTCTCAAATAGAATATATCTTCACCTCCAAGGAGTATCTGTTTGAAAATTATACAATTTGGAATAATTCTTCCCTAATGGCCCAGTAATAAGGTCTTCTAATATTAGCATTCCAACTCTTGTAAATAAACTACTCAAACATTTCAAACAACCACCAAACATCAAGGGGAACAGATAATCTTATCTGTCTTTTACATAGAATCAGTTCATATAAAATTTCAAAGTTGCGTGTAATTCAACAACTATCCAGCAGCATTCCATTAAATTCACTGATGTATAACCGATTGCTTCAAAGACAGTATTTCCACCCAAAACCTAGGAGTACAATTGACTGCCAAGCAAGACACTACCCTTTGTATGATGATGAAAGTGACATCAGGGATGTACAATGCATGTGGTTACATTACAATAGGGGTCTGTTTGCACAGTAGGCTGGTATTTATTGAAAAAGTCCATTTCCACAAATGGACGATTCGTGTTGAGAAATACATACTATTCTGACCAACAGCAAGATTCTTGATTACTAACATTCTTTTGATTTTATTTCTGTTCATGGACGTCAGTATGAAGATATGATTCAAACATGATATCGACACATTTGCGTGGTAACCTTGACATTTCAGATATAAATTGGGTAAATACCATTACACACAGCCATGGTTTATATAAGCAATTGTGATAATAAACATGCATTGCAAAGACAATATTTGTTTGCAATTCAAGTGTATAAAGTATGACTTGAGAATGGTTGCTTTGTCCATTACAAATTTGAAATAACATCCAGAAGGTTAACAAATTAAACATCTAATCAATGTGGGACAATTGGGAGAAGGGACAGACATTGGAATAAGAGGAAAATTTTGTCTGGTAAGGATAACAGATTTCCTTGCAACGACTGTCACTTAGGGCCTCTGTAAAGAGTTGTTGCAAGGGTTCTTTTACATGCACAGTGCTGCACTCTCTCTGTACAAACAAATCATCAGACTTTATTTTATTGTTCCGACTAGACAATGGTAATGTATTCATATATTCTCATAAAAATATATAATAAAGCAAGGATTACCAGGAATTAAAACTAAATTTCTCCCACTTGCTAATATGTTCCAAAACAGGATATAGAAAGTACCACTCACATTCCAGTTGAGTGGGATTTGCATATAATGATCTTTTGTTCATTTTCAGTTCGTATTTTTGACTTGGACTTGTTTTTTTACTTTGATCATTTTTTACAACCTAAAGTTTTGGACAAAAGGTGTATGAAGATGTCAGAAAAAGCAAATCATCAGCTGTATATAAATGAAGCTGAATAAATCTTCTATCTTTATAACTTCAAACGTCCTTTCAGGGATAGATTCCATAATTTTGGAGATGAAAGATTGTTTTTAAAATATCAGATAATATGCATTATCTACCATTGAGGAAGTTCATTTCCAAAATCTTGAGGCATCATTTTATGAAATATACATTATTCTGACCAGCAGTAGGATACATATTTAGGAGGTTTTAGAAAAAATCTGGCTGGTCGTGGAAGGTGTTTAAAAATGCAATGTATGACCCTAATACCCAAATAAGCATTGTAACCTTGATGATGAAAATTAACATAGGTCAAGTGAGCATATGTGACAAGAATTATTCAGATCCAAGCAGACATTACAAAGAAATCGCCAGTACACTATTACAATGATAACCATTTCAGAGCCAAAAATTATATGAAGCAGGACTTGAGTGATTGATCAATTGTAATTTGCTGATAATCAGTAAATTATCTTTTATGCACACTCTGGATGATAACAAATTAAACAACAAATTAATTTGGATAAAGAAGAACGAATGACTGACACTAGAGTAAGAGGATGAGTCGTTAAGGGACAGAAATTTCCAACTCAATATGTCATTTAGTTTTGCAAAGTTCTTTGAAAGAGTTCTACTAGATATAGTTTTAGGATATTATTCTTCCAATTCCTGATATCAGGAATCATCAACCTGGTGTGGCTTCATAGGCATGCCCCCAGATATGGAACTTTAAAACTGTTCAAAAACAGATTTATGGGGGGAGGGGGTGGGGCAGGGACAGGGGGCCTGGCCCCCTTATGGAGCCTCATATATGATTAATGCATAGACTTTTGACAAGGTTCAGTCCAAATATAGGCTTGCCAGGCCCCCGCTCCCTTTTCAAAAACTGGATCCACCACTGCTTTAAAAGCATTAAAATCAATCAATGGGAGTGATAAACTGATAAAATCTGCATTTGATAATATTTTATTCGATCAAATCATAATTAACATTGAAAAACATATATCTTAAAAAATTAGTAAACATTTCATAGATAACAAGTAAATAAGGTTTAATTAAAAAGAAACCTGAGCATATATTGTGTTCTCACAAAATATGGTAGAGGATATAGGGATTTGTTTGTAACCTTAATGCAATATTTACCACAAAAAAACTGTCATCTTGGAAATATATACTGGTATTGACTAATCATTGTAACAAAAAGGCATTCAATATCCATAATCCATAAATATGTTCAACTGAGGAAAATAAATCAAGAGAATTGGTCTGCATTGCCTAATGGGGGGGGGGGGGGGGGGGGGGGGACAGTGTAAAGAGGATTTAAAGAAAGACATTAAAGCATTTGATAAATGCCCTCAACATTTTTACAATATTAAAAAAAAAAAAAAAACACAGGGCTATACATAAAATATTACACATTAAGAGAGGCTTCACCATAACATTTAAGACAAATAAAATTAATATGGCACATTCAATAATCTCATAAAGGTACTGGGTGTCCAACTTACCTTAAAAAGTGATGTTTTATAAAATGCAAAACATTTATTGCGCAGCTAAATGTTAATCTTAGAATTATTTTTTTGTATTTTCAAAATGAATAAACCTTTCGAAAATTTGAACCAATAACTTGCAATTGTTTGGTAACAATATGTATGTTTGTGCTTATGACACTTGATTTTTCTCTTAAAAAAGACACCAAAAAAACACAGGCTATTAAGTATGAATGATCGACAGTCATTTCATGCTATTGAAGCCAATAAATACTTATGACATCAGATTATTAACGGTACAGGATAATTTGCTTCATTCTATTTGTTGTTAGCATAATTTCAAGAAATGTTACATTCAGGAGATTGTTGGACACACAATACAAAACTGACCAGTCTACTCACAAAAAGGACTGGCATGGCACACAATGAAAAAATATATATCTAATACCAATAATAAAATCTTATATATAATGTCTAGTACAAATACAAACTACTTAAAATAAAAATATAACAGTATCTATTTTAAAAATAATATATTTATATAATGGTTTTGATTATTTAAATTTAAAAAATATAAATATTTTGCTCCATAAAATATGTAGATATAAGATTAAAAATAAAAAGCTTTAACAACTGATTGAATTGTGTCAAAAAGATGTATTCTACAACAAAATACAAAACACTCAAACATGCATAAAATTATGTAAGAAATACATGATTGTGTCCCAAGCAATATTGATTGATTATTCAACAAGAATATGTGCCCATGCCCTAATCTTACTATCACATTTCCATGTTCAGTGAACCATGAAATCTGGAGCAATGCCCTTATATGGCATATATCTTGGCAGGTTGCAGTTAATGTTTTAAGTTGATTGCTTATGTTAAAACATTCAGATGACAAATTGAGATGGATCTACTAAACAAAGTTCTTGTAATTTATCTACAGTGGCTGGTCCATCTGAAAGTAAATAGTATTGACATTAAATGAGTAGTTTGTCAATGTAAAGTTTTAACTAATATTATCAATCCAGAAATTATCAATTTTAAAATTAGGAAAATAGATGATGACACACTTTCTTATACAAAATCAACTGGATTCTAAGATTTCTCCAGTTACTTTATAGAACCTAACTAACTGATTTATAATACAATTTATTTTCATGCTGAATACTCATGAAGCATTTGCCACCAGACAACATTAAAAAAGCAAATATTATCAATTTGAGAAAAAAGTTTGTTTCAAGTAAAATAATCTTGCTTTTCAGGAAATACCCCAATCATAAAAAGTGATCTTGTACGTAGATATAAGAAATTGAGTGCAAAGAAAGTGAACTTACTGAGTGCAAAGAATGTGTTGTTCTGTATATCTTGCCTGGCAGCTCCTACACATCGTTTCAATGCAAACAAAGCTGAACAACTCATGCATAATGGTGGTTCTCCAACAGCTAAAAAATTAAAAATGAAATACCTCTTGCATTGTGTTGTAATTTTTACAAAACCAGAGACAAAAAAAATAACATACCAGTTTATATAAAGTCAAAAAAAGAAAGAAAGTCTTTTTTTTTAATGAAAGAACCTTAGTGAGCGCGCTCACATACTCCACGTCCCCACATTGTCATTGGAGAAATAAAATAAGTGTAAGAAAAAAAAATTTTATCAGAAAAAAAAATTGAATCATAATTTCCTGTCAATATGCACATCTACATAGTATGTCCTTATTATCTACACAGTTTCATGAAATTCTGTTGTGTGGTTTGAGAGGAGTTGCGATGACAAAAGGTTGCAGTAGTATATTGGGCAAATAAGTTCAAAGGGGCGTAACTCCTGGAAAAAAATTGAATCGTAATTTCCTGTCGATATGCACATCTACGTAGTATGTCCTTATTATCTGAAAAGGTTTCATGAAATTCTGTTGTGTGGTTTGAGAGGAATTGCGATGACAAAAGGTTGCAGTAGTATATTGGGCAAATAAATTCAAAGGGGCGTAACTCCTGGAAAAAAAATTGAATCGTAATTTCCTGTCGATATGCACATCTACGTAGTATGTCCTTATTATCTGAAAAGGTTTCATGAAATTCTGTTGTGTGGTTTGAGAGGAGTTGCGATGACAAACTGTTGCAGTAGTACATTAAAGTGAATAAGTTCAAAGGGGCGTAACTCCTAGAAAAAGAATTGAATCGTAATTTCCTGTCGATATGCACATCTACGTAGTATGTCCTTATTATCTGAAAAGGTTTCATGAAATTCTGTTGTGTGGTTTGAAAGGAGTTGCGATGACAAAAGGTTGCAGTACTATATTGCAAAAATAAGATCAAAGGGGCGTAACTCCTGGAAAAAAAATTGAATTGTTATTTCCTGTTGATATGCACATCTACGTAGTATGTCCTTATTATCTGAAAAGGTTTCATGAAATTCTGTTGTGTGGTTTGAGAGGAGTTGCGATGACAAAAGGTTGCAGTAGTATATTGGGCAAATAAGTTCAAAGGGGCGTAACTCCTGGAAAAAAAATTGAATCGTAATTTCCTGTCGATATGCACATCTACGTAGTATGTCCTTATTATCTGAAAAGGTTTCATGAAATTCTGTTGTGTGGTTTGAGAGGAGTTGCGATGACAAAAGGTTGCAGTAGTACATTAAAGTGAATAAGTTCAAAGGGGCGTAACTCCTAGAAAAAGAATTGAATCGTAATTTCCTGTCGATATGCACAACTACATAGTATGTCCTTATTATCTAAAAATTCGTAAGGGTTCCGTGGAACCCAGTGTCTCGCCTACTTTTGCTGTTAATCGCAGGCTCAACAAAAATGAGGAAAAAAATTAATAAAAATATTCCTCTCTATACTATCTTTTGATTGTAAGTAGCTTCTGTCCAAGTTTGGTAAAAATCCAGGATGGTTTTTGAATCTAATAAATGTTTTTAAAACTTTAACTGCAGACTGTATGTAAAGTTAACTGGAAGAAAAACTGAGTCCATTTATAAGTAAAATACGGAAAAAATGGAACAAAATTTCCTTCTAGATACTAGCTTTTGATCATAAACAAGCTTCTGTCCAAGTGTGGTACAAATCCAGGATAGTTTGAGAAAGTTGTTAAAATTTTAAAAACTTTAACCACAGAGTGAATGTAATGTTAACTGGCAGAAAAACTAAGTCCATTTATAAGTAAAATACATAAAAAATGGATTTTTTTTTTTACAAAATTTACTTCTGGATACTATCTTATGATCATAAACAAGCTTCTTTCCAAGTTTGGTAGAAATCCAGGATAGTTTAAGAAAGTTATTAAAATTTTAAAAACTTTAACCACAGAGTGAATGTAATGTTTCCTGGCAGAAAAACTAAGTCCATTTATAAGTAAAATACGGAAAAAATGGAATTTTTTTTTTACAAAATTTACTTTTGAATATAATCTTATGATCATAAACAAGCTTCTGTCCAAGTTTGGTAGAAATCCAGGATAGTTTAAGAAAGTTATTAAAATTTCAAAAACTTTAACCACAGAGTGAATGTAATGTTTCCTGGCAGAAAAACTAAGTCCATTTATAAGTAAAATACGGAAAAAACGGAATTTTTTTTTTACAAAATTTACTTTTGAATATAATCTTATGATCATAAACAAGCTTCTGTCCAAGTTTGGTAGAAATCCAGGATAGTTTAAGAAAGTTATTAAAATTTCAAAAACTTTAACCACAGAGTGAATATTTGTGGACGCCGCCGACGACAACGACGACGACGACGCCGAAGGAATGTAGGATCGCTATGTCTCGCTTTTTCGACAAAAGTCGAAGGCTCGACAAAAAGGTTTCGTGAAATTCTGTTGTGTGGATTCAGAGGAGTTGCGATGACAAGAAACAGGACTGACGGACGGACAGACAGACGGACGGACGGACGGACGGACGGGTCAAAAACATTATACCCTCCGCAACTCATTGCATGGGGTATAATTACTTTTTCCAGTTTTTTTTTAACCTATTTGCATGATGATGACAAAAATAAATTATAAATATATCACAATGACTTCAGGACAAAAAATATCTAAATACAAAAGATTACCAAAGCCATGAACTGTTTGATTGCATTCATACAGGACATAACCTTGTATTTTGCAGCCTTTGTATTGTAAATTTTAAAAACTTTCTGTCTTTCCATACAGTACATATAAAATTTTTGCCACAAAAAGCTCAGTGTTACTCTTCACTTATAAGACTGTTATAATCACTACAAAAATCCTGTTCCTGATACATATTAAAAATCAAAGGTTCATTTCATAATCCAGCAATTGGTATTTAAAAAATATGTTCCATACATGTATAAAAATAATAATTAAGTTAACTAACAAGTAACATTATAACAATAACTAGGTTTAGCCATTTCCCCCTGTAAATATATCTAGTTATAACAATATGAATTTTATAAATGCTCTTTATGTTTGAAAAGACAAAAATATATTTTAATTACCTTTTGACCTCAGAACTCCTACTGGGTTTGGAGCATTTTTCAGTAACTGTATCCTAAAATCTATTGGTATGTCTTTTGCCATTGGTGGCTTGTATTCCTGTGAATATATTTAATATGTCCTAAAACTTTACTAAGTAATTGGTGTACAAAACTTGCACTTGAAACACCAAATTCAGTACTTTGATTGGTTGAATTCTGAGTCTGAGTACGATAATCGCCTGATATATGTCAGCAAAGTAGTGAGATTATTTTTTTCTTATCTTGTCTTGACAGTTAGCTCTGATCTGAAATTTGCATTGATAGTAGGTCTTGTGAAAAATAAATGTTAGTATTTCAATATACATGTATAAAGCATTGGTAAATTCATTCTAATGCAAATAAGGCATGTTTCTACTTATAATTAGTGAATAAAGTTCTTAAAGAAACATCACTAATGTTTTAAATAGTGCTTGTTTTCAGTAATACTTGCTTTCATGTTTTTTTTTATTAGTAGAAAAAAACAAAGGATATGGGGTATCCTTCCATTACACAAATCAGTACATGCACAGCAAAAACAAACAAAAAGCAAAGGAACAGCGCTTTTATTGCTGTTCTTCATCTCAAAGTCAATGTTTTCAGTAATATTTGTTTTCATTTTTTTTTAATAATGCATGCTTTCAGTAATATTTTGCTTTCATGTTTTTTAGTATTTAGTAATAATCTGATTGCATCATATGATGACTAAATAAATCTGGGATAAGAATCTTGTCAGATCCAAAGTTGTAAAAAATAAAATTTCAGAATTTATTATTACTGTAAATTCAGAAATTACTACAATGGATTTATTAATTAAAAAATGTGACAGTATCAGGTTCAAAATAAAAAAAAAACAACCTTGCATTCATAAATTTTTGAATCAGATTTATCATATCTTGCTTTTTCACCAGTAATCAGTTTATCCAAATAATAAATGCATGTATCAATTTCTTAATTTACAGTAGTAATTAATATCATTATACCCATCGGGTAAGACAGATAAAACTTGGCCTATATCTTTATGATTGAAACAGCTTTTAGTTTCTTGTCAAATTCTAAATTAAACTAACCCATGTACTGCGAGTCAACAGTTGCCCTGTTGTGCTTTCAAACTTGACCTGTTCTGTCAGCCAGTATCCCAGTCCCATTACAAAAGCACCTTCAACTTGACCCACATCAATCATTGGGTTCATACTGAAAATATAAGCAAAATGTCAGGGTATTATAATTCTGTCCGACAGTATCCAAGGACCAATACAAAAGCACTGTTTTCATGTCCAGTATTCATGCTCTTCATGAGTTTTGATGTTACCTGATTAGTGGAGTCAATGTATGTATAGATATGCCATCCTGATAAAAAGACAAAACCGAAATAAAGTAGCAATAAATCTTCAATGAGATGAATTGAATGCCCTGAAAAGGGAGTTTCCATAAAAATAAATAATCTGTTTTCATATAAGTAAAATCAAGCTTATAATAGATGCAATTTGGGTAAAAAATTACCAGTTTTCCGATAATATTGTCATGTATAGAAAACATGAATTTTTTACCCAAATTGCATGGGTTGTAAGCTGGTTTTCACTTCTTTTAGTTACTCTAAGACCCCATTCATACTAACATTTTTTTAATCAATCTAAATAAAACCATTTAGCGTTCACATTATCTTTAATCCTTACAATTTCTATCGTTCTAATCTGAACCACTGTGTTTACACTACAATTAAAAATGCAATGGATATGACCTAATTACCCATGAAATTGAAACTGTGTATAAATAGAAATATTTAATCAAATTAATGTGTTGATACACACGCTTGTACAAAAATAATGGATGAAGTTATTGTTTCACTTGAATTACAAGTTCAAATGTTGATATAAATAACCGCTGTTCGTATAGTTTTCATTAATTTTCAGCCCTTTTATGTTGGTCATTCATTTTGTAATAAATTGCACATGTAATTTTGCTGCCATTCATGCACACAAATTATTTTCGATTCAATCGTACTAGTTAAGATCGATCTCTGCACTCACATTTAACGTTAGATCAGTTCACATTAGATCGATTCAAACTAAACTACCTCTCTTGGTGTTTTAGTTTAGACCGATAAAAGATCGATTCATGCATTCACATTGGGCTTAAATTTGATCTCGAGTGAATTGATCTAGTTTAAATCGAGCTAAATGTCCAAGTGTGAATGGGGTCTTATTTGACCAAGTACAAGCATGTCCTACCATAGAGTAAGTAACCTGTCGAATTATATACTCTGGAGTCAAAAAGTCTATAATATGAAAATAGTCTCTTGTAAAGGCTTTTTATGACCCTGTGTCTCACTTTCAACTGTTGCTGTCAATGTAAAATTGTTATATTGACTACCAAAATAAATACAGAAAAATAAGTAACAAAATAATAAAAATTTGGCACAGGCAGCTATATATCTAAAAGCTCCTGTCCATGCTTTGTGAAATTCAATGACTGTTTGACAAAGTAATTGATGTTTAAAAAACTTTCAACTCAGACTCTTAGGTAAACCAGTACATAACTGTATATAGCTTGGTCATTTAGTGGACTGCTGCATTTATTATTCAATCCTTATAAATATAATGACAATCAAATTAACTTATTTTCTCAACAATAAAATGAAAACGAAATCATACTTTTACTTTATCTTGAAATAAGAATGAAATAGCAATAAAAAACATATTTGTTCATTCAGATGTCCACAAAAAAAATGATCTAAATCAAGGTTATCAATCAGTCAGCAAGAATTTAACTGGCATACTAGCTAACTAAGGACGCAAAGCAAAGATTGACAAAGAACTCAAAATACTCCAAGAAGATATATCAATGTGCTCAAACAGTACAATACATGACAGCAGTTAAGGCACTGCCTTTAAGGAAACTACAGTTATTAATCAAAGGAAAATTTGTAACATATTTTCACTTATTCTATCTTTTCCATGATTATATGATGTACCATTAAAATAAGCTCTTACCTCTCTCCACAATCATATAATATGTCTACTCTGGTGATTAAGTGTTGACCTGTCAAGACATCAAATTCTACCTCTGTACAGGTAACTCCATATGAGTTGTAGTAGGGATCAGTTGTTCCAGGCTGGAATACGCTAAAAATATTTAAAAAAATTCTATTATTACAGAGTATTGGTTAAATCTCATTTGGACAAAATGTATTGTAGGAATTAATTTTAGCAACATATTATTATGATACAGATTTCTGCAATGGAGGACGATGACTTGTGATTACCAGATCAATTTATGAGTAAGATCAAATATATAGGATGGTTGGACCATCATACTGACAGAACCAAATCAGTATTACAAACTATCTCCCTTGCTATGACTTTTTGGTGGATATATTAAGATTTCTGTAGCTAATACAATGGTAGTTAAGTTTCTCATTTAAGAGGATATCAAAACTAAAAATAATGTACAAGTTACCAATATCTGGAAGATAAATCTACTTTTTCTTCTATACATTTCTGTGCCAAATCTTTCCATGAAGGATTTTTCATTTTAGCCTTCACTGGTGCCATTCTTGTTTTTAGATCTTTACAACAGTTTATTACAGCCTTTTTATGAAAAAAATGAATTACTTTTGTCAGCATGTACTGCAGTTTGTACATTTTTGACAATTTTGTTAATTATGAGATTTCTGGTTTTTTCCTATCCTTGAATTTGTCTTATATGATATGTTAAGTCAGTTTTTTATTCAAATAATTGTATTCCATTTTTAAGAGGTTTACTTTATTAAAAACTTTATCCAAAACAAAACAAAACCTCTGAACACTGCAAATTCTTTATGTTATTTTTATTTTTGTAATACTGACAAATTATATGCTGCCATTCTGTTTCAAATTATCAAATCCTTTTTTCTTCTAAAAATTGCTTTAGTTTTAGAGTATTTTGACTGTTAATGCTACCAATTATTTATCAAAATACTCACCAAGCAGCAGAGCTCACTGGTAATACTAGCACCTGTTGTAAAATCATTGGCATTGGCTAAGGAAGTGTTGGCCTTGACCTTAATCAAATCCATAGGTACACCAAGTTCATAAGCACATACTTGTGCTACCTACATGTACATACAAAATTGAAATAACTTCAACTGTTTTAATGGTATCTCATTAAAAGCAGGATGTCTGATTTCCATTTATTAGCTTCTGCTAACCATAATTTTTTATCAACTCTTGTGACAATTTAGAGATTGTTTTTAAATATATTGATCTCTAAATGTTTTTTGGTTACTTGTGTTGTTGGGTTGCTTTCTCTTTGACATATACCCACTATTTCCTTTAATGCAATATTTGCCTTACATGTATATCAGTGTTTTGACATAAAGTGAAACCTGTTTTAGACAAACCCCGTGTAAAGTAGAAACCTGTTTTAGACAAACCCCATGTAAAGTAGAAACCTGTTTTAGACAAACCCCGTGTTAATTAGAAACCTGTTTTAGAAAAACCCCGTGTAAAGTAGAAACCTGTTTTCTCTTAACTAATGTACCAGGACAACCAATTAATACTCTGCTGCTTATAAATTCAACCAATTAAAACAGACGTCTGGTCAAATACATACAAATGTGGAGTCTCATAGATTTTCAATTTGGACAGTTTTCACTATACTATATCCCTAAGGACGTTAAGAGATTTGTATCACCTGCTTTCTCCATCAGAAATTGTTTAATCATATTCTAAATAGGAGAACTTAACTTATCCTTAACTATCCATGAGGGTAATACCTGGTTGGTAAATTATATCTACATAGCTATATTTACCTTCGTATTTATACCCTGTCCACTTTCAATACCGCCATGTGATATAGAAATACTGCCATCTCCAGCATAGATGTTTACAATAGCATTAAAATGTACTCCCACATAGGTCAGGGCAAACTTCATAGGAACAATTGATAGGCCTTTCTTCTTCCATCTGTTTACCTGGGTTTCACAAAACAATAAATTAAATTCTGAAAGAACGCTGTTAGAAGCCAACTGCTGTACTTGGGATTGTTGCTGTTTTTCTTCACTAATCAAAATGATAATTTGTTTTGTTTAAATAATAACTTATTCTTTTTCTCAGTTTTTAAATATATAAACTGTTGACACATAGATGTCTCACCTGTATGATATTTTGATAGTATGATGCCTAACTTGAAATTAACATGTAAACAAGGCAAAACTTTCAAAGTCAATGAACCATGACTGAGGGAGCAGGCCATATAATATCCATGGAAATGAGATGTGTGAATGCTAATACAAATGCATACCAAATATAATTGACTTAATATTAGTGGTTAACCTTGAAATGACCTAATCACAAACTTTAAAATGTAAAATATGCAAAAGTTTCAAAGCCAATAGACCATGCATCTCTGGTATTTCAATTAATTCAGATCATGAGCAACAACTTTGACAGTTATTAGAAAATTATTGCTACAAATTCAAAACTTATAGTAATTTGTACGTCATATCCAAAATCTATGTGTTTCATCGAGAAGCCTTTTAAATGATATCAAACTTTGAAATTCCTAAGCTGATTATTACATTTATTTAAAGTCAAAACTATCAGAAAACTGTTCAAAGTAAACTTCTTTAGCAGGCTTTCATTTTTTATAAAGAAACTTAAAGATTGCAAGTAAAGTGTATTTATAGAACATACCTTATTAAACTCCTCAACAATCCCCTGTCTCTTTAGAAAGTCAGATGAAGACATAAGGTCTGATACAAGTTCTATGATGTTACAGTACTTCAATGTACCACCTAAAGGTGTTTTCTGTCGAAAAAATATCCTCATAAAGTAAATATCTAGACATAACTTATGGAACTTAGAAATTTGGTGAAGATCTAATACGGATAGATAAAAAACATTCCAACTAAATACACATTTTTCTTGTGACAGGTCAAGTGTATATAAAAAAATGAAACCATTGTCAATTAAATGGAGATTTTCACTGACAACCTAGATTCTGCAAATTATAAAAAATCAAAACACACCTGACCAGTTGGGAGAAATTAATAACAAGGTTAGTTTTCCTCTATACATTTTTTTTATAACAGGTTTCCAGGCATGCTCAATTAACTTGGGTTTCAATAACTGGTTTAGGTTTTGGTTTATTCTCCAAGTTGAATAAATTTTCAAGAAAGTATGTGTATATACAGTAAGCAAGTTTTCTTGGTTATTTTCTATCCAAAATGAACTTCATTTGTGCATGTTAGCATAATTGATAGTTGCTGCTCATATTTAACAAAAAAAGACTTTCTATTAGTAATTTATTTGAGAAAATTGATCCTGCACAGTGCTGCAATATCAAAAATTAAATAATAAAAGAAAATCAATGCAAAAATGGAAAGAAACTTTATTTTCAAATACCTGTCCTTTTTTGTACAGATTGAGAGTTCTGATATATGTAGGATCAAGGTCAAGTTCCTTAGCAACATGCTCCATGATTGATTCCATCACAAATATTCCTGGGGTAGAACCTATTCAATCAGAAGTACACTCTTCAAGGTCATATTCCAAAATACCATTCTAAAGTAACTAAGATCTATACAAATGATCATATAAAGACTACAAAACTTCTTATTTCTATATAAATGATATCAAATAAATAAGACCCAACATAAATTGCTTTGTTTATGCTCAATCTATAAGTGATGTTATAAGTGCATCAACTTATAAATGTATATAATATTTCAAATACATATACGTACTGTAATTAATAATTTAGGGGAAAATGTATCTAGTAAATAAGAGGTGTTTGTTTTCATAAAAATATGTGGGGAAAAATGATGTAATTAAAGTTAATACCTGGTGCTCTGCAATATGTATTCATTGGTTTATTTGTCTTTACTGCTACAGGTGTTAGCTTCCAATTTTCACAATAATATGCTGAAATGAGGTAAACAGATATATACATGTATAAACTGTCTAAAATATTACAAGCTACCATCTTACAGAAAAACAAGAATGTGTCCATAGTACACGGATGCCCCACTCGCACTATCATTTTCTATGTTCAGTGGACCGTGAGATAGGGGTCAAAACTCTAATTTGGCAGTAAAATTAGAAAGATCATATCATAGGGAACATGTGTACTAAGTTTCAGGTTGATTGGACTTCAACTTCATCAAAAACTACCTTGACCAAAAACTTTATCCTGAAGCGGGACAGACAGACGGACGAACAAACGAACGGACGGACGAACGGAGGCACAGACCGAAAAAACATAATGCCCCTCTACTATCGTAGGTGGGGCATAAAAATATGTTATACTATGAGGTTTCTGGATCTTGCTTAAAACAAATAAATTATTGTGAGGTTTTGATTATTGCGAATAATGCGACTGGGTGAGAATCGCAATAAAAAGAACTCACATTCTCATATCTGAGAGATATATCTGTATGCAGCGTTTCCACAAATCGTAATAATTATTATAAATATCACATTTTTGTCCATTCTGCAAAAATTGCTAAAAATAAATGCATGCAATAATTTCTGAATTTACAGTATAGCTTTGATCTTTATGTGTGATAATTTTCCATCTAAAGCTACTGGACTGAGAATGGTCATTGACATTGCCTATGAAAGCAGTCATAAAAATATTATCTATGGTATTTTACAACTTGAGGAAGTTTCTCTGCTTCGTCTCATCTCAAGGTTACATACCTGTTAACCTCTGAAGCTGAAAATGCAAGTCATGACCTGCATTGAAAAAGAAAATGTCAGGTCATAACACGTACAAACTTTTTCGGTCCAATTTTAGAATTGAGGGTTTTTTTATATACTTTAACATATACATGTACCACAAAGTTTCCTAAAAATAATCACTTTTTTAGTTGTTAAGTATATAAATATTTATCATTAATTAAATTTCTTTCTAAGGCAATGCCCTTTTATTGTTTTATTCACACTAGTTTACTTCTTTTTATTAATGAATGTCATAAACCCCAGCTTTACATGTAATTAGAAATCAATTATAGCTAATGTGCTCATATACACAGGAGGAAGATAAATAGAAAGAAGTAAGTATGTTTCCTTTCAGTGTAATATCTAGAGCATATGGACTTGATTTAAAGCTTTTACATTTAAGTGATAACAAAATTATTCTCTCCTACAGAAATGTATTAAAAAAAGGTTCAAATTGTTTCAAAATGATTTTTACAGAATATTTGATATTTGCAAATGGCAAATCTTTTAATCAGGACATAGAGTTGTATGTCAAGCTTGACTTTAACAGAAATTCATTTTATTTTAATATAACTATATCTGTTCCAAGTTTTAAAAGGATGGCACTGTTTGTTCCATGCTCAATTTTTCTTCAAAGTCTTGTATACTTTGTAATTCTTTAATATAGGACCTTTACCATTATCTATAAACATGAAAGCCACAGGGAGGTTGTTGTCATTAGGTAAACATCCCAGATCTGAATACAACTGAATCTTTATTCCATTCAATTTACCAACATCCATATAACCTACCTACAACAAAACATCATATTAATAAAAAACCTTTTAACACCCAACCTTTTATAAAATGTCATACTTATAAAACTCTAGCTTGTTTGAATATTTCAGAATATGTGTTTATCTTATTTAATAATACTAATATATGATATTTTAAAAAGCTCAATTATATAGCAAGTAAAATCTGTTTTGGCTGATTTATGTTAGATTTAGCATGGTATGCAATTGTTTAGGAAACTGTATAGAATTTTAAGCTAAAATCAAAGAATTTTCAATGCAATAAGAATAAACGCTTCTGTAACATTCTTATTAAAATGAAGCAAACAAATAACAACTGTTTATTTGTGTTTGTTTGTTTTGTTTTTCCATCAAAGGTGTATATCAGGGTCAACACAGTAATAACTTAAGAAATAAAGCAGCAAGTAAAATATTGCATGTAAAATACTTGAATAATTGCAGAGTAATTGCAAGTAAAATGATGTAATCATGAATACTTATTATTTTCATAATGTAAAGACTAATTGAATGTTATGATTAAGCATGGATTTAAAGCTCTTGTCATTACATACTGTATAGTCTGCTCTGTAAGAAAATCGTCTTCCAACCATTTTCATGTTGGTGTGAAATTCCATATTTAACTTCACAGTCCTTAAATTCAAATGAAAAAACTTAACAAAAACCAAATCAGGAAAATCAAATTGAAATATTATTGGGAGTTTCTCAGTGAAATGATTATGCCCCCAACCCCTTTATCTCTTCTTAAATAAAATGTGCAATAACTTGAACATTCAGTTTTAATCTTATTGTGTTAACTAATTGATGCATGTTTGTATATAAAGAACAGTCAGAATAAGCTACAGTTTACTGTTAATCCAGGTTGAAGACATTTATGGATAAAAATATATACCTTTTCATAACATGAGCAGCTATAGCACAGCCAGCTGAAACTATAAAATTCCTTGTAATCTTACTGCCATAAGCTCCACCAAGTCTCTTCACTCTAACATTTATACTGAAAACAAATAATTTAAATTCAAAATATATAGTTGTTATTAACAACAGCCTCTGTTTCATATTTGTTCTATTAATTAAGTATTGTACGTGGTAGCTGCTAATTTAAATTTTTCAAAATATATTTAAAATTTTAATACACCTCTGTAAATTTAATATTCATATGGAGACTAGGACAACTGATCGTTAGACTGTATACCTGCTTTCTGGGATCCCTAGAACCATAGCAGTAGACTGTTGAGTTAGGTCTATCCACTGTGTAGAGGCTTCAACATCCATACCATCTTCTGTAGGGGTACAAATACTGATCTGCAAATCAAAATACAAATGTATTAAATAAAATAATTTGTGATATTTAAATTTATGATGAAATAATTGCAATGATTAAAAAGTTCCAGGAAACAGTGGCGAAGAAAAATATTATGCCTACTGTACTAGTTGGGACAATGCAACTCTCCTTAGCTACATCTTTACACCATGTTATATGATTTACGGTCACATAGTATCTGAGATCAAAACTCAGATGTGAAACAAATGTCAGTAATGATATTTAAAAACTTTCAAGCTAGTGAGCGATGAAATATGGATCATGTTACCTTTATCAAATGGTCTATATCTCAAAGATGTGCTTGCAGTTTTGTGAGTTGAAACAAGTATTTTCATTTATGTAGAGGATAATTTTTTTACTCATGAAAAGTAATCAATGAGTGATGAATTTCTCTTAGAAGAAATTTAAAGGTCCCAGTGAATAAACTCCACAGAGAACAATAGCTATTGTATTTATTCAATGGGACAATAGAACTAACAAAAGTTTAAATAGATTGACCAATAGGAGATGACTCTGTGTAAAAGTCTCATTTGGTTCACAATAATTGAGGCAAGCTAAAATGACTCCAACTTGCATAGAAATCATTTCATTTAGTTTTACTGTGACAATAGAAAACATTTAACGTCCCAATTTGTAATTAAATGTACCTAAGTTTCACGTTTGAAATTTTATCCATCAAAACTGATACTTCCTGTCATTATTTTACTATTTACCTGAGTTTCCATCTGGAAATGTTGTTGTTCTCCAAAACTGATACTTCCTGTTATCTTTTTAGGACTGTTAGCAATGGCAGCTGGAATATAAAAACATTGTTCTAAGCCACAGTAAATCTGATAGAAATTTGATATTTTTCTGCTTTCTAGACTGTTAATATTTACATAAATCGCTTCAACTGTTATAGTGAAAGGATCAACACCAAGAGACAAGATTAAATGGTTAAGTTCATCGTCATCATCGATCCATTTGTACAAGAACAAGGAATTAAAAAAAAAAAAAATTAAACCACATACCTTTTGAAAGTATCTAACAATCTGTACCAGTAGAAAGAAAACACCTTTCAACTTTTGCAAATGAATCTATTAAGTTAATATACTGATGTCGAAAAATGATCACTTATCTTGACTAGTAGGGAATGGAATCTCTGAATACCGGTACTAAAAGAAGGTATTCTATAATGATAATTGTTGGGTATGAAAATGATTTGTAAGCTTTTTTATATAAAAGCTCTGAGATTTATTAAAGAACTGTTAAAACATAATTGTCTGTTCATATTTCTACCTACTTTCAGCGTCACCAGCTGTAACCACATCCCCAGGGTTAGGAAAGTATGATCCTGCTTTAATCCCATCCTCTATAGTAAGAATTGGTTGTTTCTGATCTGAGTAGGTCACCTCAACTACTCCTGCAGCTCTGTTCGCTGTTTCCTCATCAACTAGATGTTTAAATGGATAAAAGTATATAATTTTTTATCAAACATCTATGTATATCAAAAAGTTAATGGTTTTGAAAAAAGCAAAACTTTTACATTTTGACAACAATTTATTGTAAAACAATCTTCATGCATTACTGATCTTCACTGAAAAAAAATCAATCCACCAGTTAAAGAGAAGTTAAAAAAGCAAATGATATACATCTTATTTTATACAGCCATTATATAACTAAATTGATAATGAAGACATAAGGGCTGTGATTTAAGAAGGATTATGGTTGCAACATTTTTCTCCATAGTATAAAAACAGCATTAATGCAACATAATAAAACAACTTCTCACCACTATAGTTTCGATAAAATATATGTATATAACCCAAAAAGACATGTCCTAATCCAAAGTATACATACAAGTAATATTTGTAACTGGACATTGAGAAACAAGCTAGTATGACGTGCTCAAAAGTGAGTAGTAACTTGGTCATGTAAGTTTTATCTCTATGTGTATAGCCTAACATACATGTGTTTTGCACCAAAAGAAGTTCTTTTTCCAAGTCATGAATCAAAATCACTGATCAATCACTCCATTAGGTTGTGAGTTTTATATATAAATGTTGTTTTTTCTTTCACACTTCTGTTTTTCAATAGTCTTATTAAGACAATAATATAAACCTTAAAACTAAGAACTTTTTTAATGATTTCATTTACTAATTTTTATGAAAATACGAACCAGCAACTATTATTCCTAAGGCCTGTCCTGCATACATAACATCACCACTACATAGAACCTATAATATTTACATGGTTTTTGAGATAAACATGATGAAAGTATATTCACTAAACATACATTTTTTATTTCAAAGATCTTTAAATTTACTGATCTTCGAAATAAAAACTATATACGTTATTATTATTTTGAATTTAAAAGGTCATTTTAAACACAAAACTTTGTCAGAAATTGTCAAATGAGATGAAAACAGTATCAATCCAGTTGCAATCAGTTATACATCATATAGCTGAACTTTGAATAATGAAGATGTCCATTTCAAAGTAGATAGCTCTTAAAATATTAATCACATTTCAATACTTATCTAACAGACATGTCATAGGTAAAAACTTATTTTTTACATATTTCAATCAATTATTCATATCTACAATAAATGTAATGTCATTTATTTTTCAAATTAATTTATCAAATTAATACAATAACCATTTGCACAAGATACATGAACGAGGTGTTAAAATAGTGTTGATTTATTAGGTGAGTGAAGCTTATAATTTTATACTCTTGGGTTGGTTTCATACAGATTGGTTGTTTTTATACAATTTGGTAACACGTGACAATGATCCCTCTTTCAGCCCATTAAAGATCAGCATTTATATGAATTGAACACCTACTGGAAATATGTTTTATTGAAAGACAATTATGAGAAAACCTCATTCACTTTTTGTATGATTTTTGAAAAAATGACCTTATACTTTAATAATAAAAAATAATTTGATAATTTACCAAAACAAATCAAGAACTATAATTAACAGCCACCTTTCAATCAATTCAATGCAAAATGAGAAATTTTCTACAGCTTATTTTAGCAATACCAATTCTGATACTTAAGAAAAAAAGTGGGCTAAACAGAAAAAAATAAAAACAAGCCATCAATCACCTCAATTCAAAACCCTTTAAACAGAGCAACAACTTACCTCTTCTGCCATTGAATTTGGAAAACAGTTATTTTCTCCAGGTATATCTTTTGCTATTATAAACTTTAAAACTCCTGGCAATTTCTTGAAAAGACGATTTTAGAACTTATTTTGAAATTCTATGAATATCATATATATAGCTATAATATGAAAGATATAAAAGCATCTCTTTGTATTAAGTAGTTTTTAAATTTCAGAAAATAACCTATCTATACCAAATCTATTAGTATGAATATTTATAATTAATAATGAACTGTTTAAAAACTAATGTATATACATATGTGTAACTGAGGAAAACTCTAGAAACAAATATATCTTTCTATCAGTAGAAATAGTATAAGCCATTATTCCTTCTCTGTAGGTTAAGAACATTTGAATCCCCTCTGTGAGTGGTAACAAACCAAGACGTTGCAAGGCTTGGTCCCAGTGACAGTATACATTTCCCACCCTTCATCCCCACTTTGCAGGACCTACTTATTGGATTTCTTTTGAATTTGTTCTTGACTGACTGTATGTATCAATTATTTGCCACTGTACATGAAACAAACAACATGGATGATGTCTGTCATATCTATTTTTTGTTTATTGTTTTGTCATTATTCAGGCCGTTGGCCACTCTGGTGGATAGTTGTCTCATTGGCAATCATTCCGCATCTCCTTATTTCATAACAATTAATCAATCAAAATACCAAAAGAGCCCTAAAAAAACCAGTAAAATAAATGGTTAAACAATGTAATCAAACATACCAGAGCTTTAGAAGGATCCATACTCTTTAATTTAGCATTACCAACAGTACTAGTAACAAATGCAGCATACAGAGGTTTGTGTAGAGGTATGTCATTTATGTACTGGGCTTTACCTGTTGTCTGAAATGTAGTATATCATATATAGAATAAAAAATAAAGGACAGTTATTTCTTTTCAATATATATACTATAAATATAACTTTATTTAGTTTTGGTAATTTTATAATTTGTGGAAAAAGCTTTTGAATTTGATGGTCAAATTGGATTTCCTAAATTTATTTTCAAATAACGACACAATGGAAATTTACATTCTATTTACATTTCCTGACCACGGTCTAAGAAAATCAAAAATGAGTAAGGAGTTTATAAAACTGTAATCAATGATATCAGTTACTGTTAATTCAGAAATTATTGCGTGTATTTATTATTGCGATTTTTTAAGAATGGACAAAATTGCAAGATTAATTATTGCGATTTCAGGAAAATCTCCATACAGATGTATGTTTCAGATATCAAAAGGGAGTTCTTATTATTGCGATACTCCCACAGTCGCATTATTCGCATCAATCAAAACCTCACAATAATTTCTGAATTTACAGAGAATTAGCACTCATTTTTCTATGATGATGTTTACACAGGTTTCATATTCTGTGAGTTTTCCATAACTGTTTCACTATTTAGGAAATAACAAATTAAATTTTAGATTCCAGGACATCTATAATTTCACTGTAAATAAACTGAATATGATTGTAATCTACATTACCTGATTCATGGCCTCTAACTTCATCAATGGTTCAGTGAGGGGCCACTCCATTGGTTTGGTATCATATGACTGCTGTCCTGAAGATAGGGGTCTCTGTAGAGGTATGGCACCACTTCTATATTTAGATCCAGCAGTATCTCCTAGCACCTCAAGAAAGTACTGAAATAAATATAAAACAACTACAATATGGTTTGTATTAACTAGAATATGTTTAATAATAGATTACTGTGATGATTGTGAAACTGATTATTAAAAAATAATAATAACGAAACAAATGTCTTAACACCTTAATATTGAATATCAAGCTGTGCTTGAAAAAATAATGCCCTACCCCCCCCCCCCCCCCCCCCCCCCCTGAAAGATGATTTGAAGCAAGGTAAATGGAAAAGTGGGTTGGAACACATTCTGTATATGTTTTTAAAATTGAAAGATAAATAAGAGGGTTTTTTTTACTGAAAATGAGTTTTACTAACTTCTGATAAGATGCCTTCTAAATATTTTATTTTATTCTCCCAACAATTGAAAAATGCACAAAACAGGTGTATAATGCCCTCTCAGTGCAGCTGTTTGTTATAATAAGAACTGAAATTAAATTGCATGTTTAATAGGGCTCTCAATCACAGGCCAAATTGTTGTATTTCAAAATCCTTTCTTGTTACAATTTCAAATTATTTTTAGAAAGGATGAGTAACTGATATTACACGTTTCAATGGATCAAGCAAGAGTGTCAACTTAACAGAAAAAAACATACACTGTACAGGAATCCAATGGCAACATTCTTTCTGTATCCAGCACTTGGTTCTACAGGGTCAATGTTAGGGTCAGGATTTAGTTCTGATGCAAGAGTTGTCAAAGCTCCTACAAAATATTGAACATTCACAATATAACAAAGTCTATAAATCATTAAAAAATTGCACCATACATTTTTTTTTGTAATTTCAAGTATATTCAGTTCAATGTACATTTATGGTACTTACTACAAATGTCATGTAGTATAGACAAAAATAATTCTGTTCTGGAAAAAATAATTTAATTTCACCTATTTTCTAATGATATATTTCTTTAAAATTGTGAATTCAGCATTATTTTATCACACTCGCATAGACAAGCAAATAGTCTACTCATTGAAATTTGCCTCAATTCTTCAGACACCTAGTGACATTGCTATTGAATGTATAAAGTGTCCTGTGTGTTATGTGTCCTGTGTTGTAATGCCCTCTATAAATTGTGTAGATTTGAAAACAAAAGCACATTTAACTGAGGTCTTTTGTACATAAAAACAAAGTCCTAAAGAAACATGAAGACACATTCCATTGAAGAGACTTCTGATGTGATTGTACTAGATGTACTGAAATCAAAATATAACAAACCTTGAATAACTTTCACATCATTAAGTTCCTTCCCTTGTAAATAATTCTCTGTTTGTACAGCATGAACCTGTCAAACAGTGATATTTACATGAGAATAACAAAACCCACATATAAAGGATAAAAAGTAAGATTGAAATACTCCCCTTATCATAGCAAGTGAACCAGACAAAATTATGTAAATCTCAAATGCTTGTTCCTAAGTCCTACTGATTATATCATCATTTTGTATATCATGTGTTTTATCAAAGAATAAAATACTGTTTGCACTTACAGGTAAATCATTTACCCCTCCTTCCTTTTCCTAGCCTCCTATTAAAATCTTCTCAAAAATTATGTTGCCTTGACTTATTATTCAAATCCATTTCAACTTAAGTTCATTTGACTATTATGCTTTCCAATGAAGGTCAAATTAAAAACAAACCATTTTTTCTACAATTAATTATCCAAGGAGTTCACATGTGTCTCATATTGCTATTTAAATTACGGAACAGTAAGTTGGAAGATAGTTGTTCAGGTTCCTTCTACTTACAAAATCTTTAGAAATTCCTGAGAAAACAATACATGGTTTTTCTTTCACAACAAAATTGTTACTCTTGTCAATTTTCATTCTTATTCCAGCATTTACAAATGAATGTGAATTCTGAAAGATAAGAAAGTAAATATATGAATATCTAATATGTATTTCAGGGCCTTTTAAGTAAATTTTTTAAGTGAAATATTTCAAATAATGCATGACAAGAAGTTAAAAGATAGACAAAGGGAAAATGTATCCACTTAACTTCTTTTTGGGGAGTATATTAATTTCAGAATGCTGTAAATTTGTTTATTTTCCAGACCAATTTTTATTAAAAAAATTTAAAGATTGGAGCCGGTATAACCTTCCACTGAACAAGATGCGTGAGTGTGTGTGTGTGTATAAAGGTCAGAGGTGGTTAAGGGGTTCCACTTGGGAAAGGCTAAATTCAAGTAAAATGTTGTAGGTTTTTACATGATAAAAATATTTCTGAAGTACAAAAATGTAAGGTTACGGGAGGAGAAGTTCCAGACCCCTTGATCTTTTTTATTCACCCCACAAACTAACGTACATGTCTTATATGTCATAAAAACAAAAAACTAAAAAAAATAATCTTAAAAGGAAATCAATGACCTTTATTTCCATTTCAAAATAGAATATGTAACAATTAGTCTATATATTTCCTATAAACAATCGATTAATCATTAGAGTAAGCCCAAGAAAAGCTAACCTGTGATCTCTGTGCCACTTTGTACATCCTTAGAATGTAATCATCACTCATGGAATGTAATATCATGGATACTATAACTTTGCTGGTCATATCTGTCTTCAGGAACTGGCCTATAGGTATTGGGTTTGATCCTGTTTTGTCAGCTATAAATGAGGTTTATTATTAGAACTATTACGATGAACCAAAATATGTGATGACCCACTCACACAATAAATTTCAATGTTCAGTGAGCCATGAAATTTGGGTCAAAACCATAATTTGGCATACATTTAAAACAGTTCACATTATAATTAACATAAAGACTTAGTTTCAAATTGATTCTACCACAATTTCATGGCAATTTTATACTGTAAGCAAAAACTTTATCCTGACAGGTGGAAACAAACAGATGGACTAATGGGGGAACAGACGCCAAAGGAGAAAAGACAAGGATGCACACCCTGAATTGTCTCTCATACTTTATCGATCATGATTAATATTTAAAATCTTTTTTCTAAAGGTTTCACATAAACTTGACATTATCAATGTTCCATGAAATATAGGTCAAAGATAGATGAACTCTGCAATACAGATATGTACAAGTAACAATCATTTCATTTACCAAATATAGTTGAATTATTGCTTATAGCATCTTAGAAATGAACTAATAAGAAAAACTTAATGTTGACCAATGAACCATGAATATGAGGCCAAGGCCAAACGAACCTTGCTAGACAGACATGTACACCTTATATCAATCCAAAATATAGTTTACCTATTATTGAAATGTCTATACTCCCAGTCACAGACGAGACAATAATGCCCCCTACTACCCTAATTGTTTTTGAAAGAGTTTACACAATGAATACAGGTAGTTTTATTTTGACATTTTCAAACTCTATGGTTTACATTGTACTTGAAAGTGAACAGAATTATAGAACCTGACTGCAGCATAAAAGGAAAATCAAGCATCAAATATGAAGATACTATATGATATGCCAATACTGACCAAAAGAGACAGAAAGTTTTTCACTGTTAACTTTAAAATATTTATTAATACTTTATGAAATTATTGTCTTGACTAGAAAATGTGCCCTAAGATAAATGCCATATGAATTTTCATGCTTTAGCAGACAGAGGTAAACTAGTACTTGAGTGGTGCATGTATACCTTTTCATAAAGGAGTGGGCCTGGTAAGACCCCTTTTTTGGCCCCAAAATATAGCGTTTTTACAAAGTTGTTTAAAATGTAAACTTTTAGCTATTTATTGATGAGTAGAATACTTTTGTTACATAAATATGGGCTGTTTTTGACAAAACAATGGACATGCACAAAGTACTAGAATTATTATTTCATGCAAAAATACTGAAATCTTCACAATTTTAGAATTTGTACTAATTTTAAGACGTTTTTTGTTTAAAATGGAAGTGGCCGCACTTGTGTTCAGTCTTAATATTTAAATATATGTTGTATTTAAAGATATTACATAACATATATAAATGTTGAAACTGAACACAAATGCGACCACTTCCATTTTAGACAAAAACCATCTGAAAAGTGACGTTTTATGGCATATTTGATATATTTTTCATATTTAAGCTTGAATTTGAGCATCTTTAATGACCAAATCAGTTCAAATCTTTAACATAAACTAATTGAATCGACTGAAGTAGACACTTAAGTGTTTAAAAAATGTTAAAATCTTTAATCAGATGTACTTTGAATTATAGGCAGAAATTAGCCCTTACCCTTCTCCTTTAAATTATGTAATATTCTCAAACTTCAAAAATTTGTTCATGAAAAAGATCTGACTAGTTAATACCATTTCAAAAAATCAAAATTGACTAATGAGTTGACATGTTTTTAATGACACTGATAAATTATCTTTTCAAGTAGACTTAATTCATATAAAATTATTTCCATTCCAAACAAAAGTAAAAATTGAAAATTAACTCACCAATTACAAGCCCTACATTAGCAGCTTCAAGACAAACATAGATATCTGACTGGAATTCTGGATGTAGATGTTTTAACATTATATTTCCTGCCCAGGAACCTAGCTGTAAAATACATGAAACAACCTAACATTCTAGAGAGCTGATATTCAATGACAAGAACGCACAGGCTGAAATATCATTTTTACTGCCTACTTTACTTATCATGATTGAATTGATGTTAAAATTCTGTAATATGAAGGTTTAAAAAAAAGTTTTACCTAAACTTAACACTGTCAATGATCCATGTGAAAGAAGTCCATATGAAAGAGATGAACCCTGCCAGACAGACATGTACACATTACAATTATAACATACACCAAATATAGTTAGGCTAGTGCTAAGACATGTATTATCTGAGAAACAGACCTAATTACGAAAAACTTAACATTGACCAACTAAGGGAGCTACCATTTGATTTTTATGGTGAGGGGGCGGCCTAGGATGAAATTTGAAAAAAATAGGCAGGACAGGAGTTTTGAGTAAAAAAAAAGGCGGGATGATACACTTGCAAAAAAAAAAAGTCAGGATGACAATTTCGGTAAAAAAAAGTCAGGATAAACTTTTAAAAATAAGGCAGGACCAAATAGAGTGAAAAATAAAAAGGCAGGACAGAGATTACAACTTTTAAAAAATGCAGGACAAAATTTTTCATCCTAGCCCCCCCATAAAAATCAAATGGTAGCTCCCTAACCATAAAAATTAGGTCATGGTCAGATGAATACTGCTCCTCAACATGTTCACCATGCAATCATTCCATACACCAACTTTAGTTGACAGATCATAAGTTAAAATATGCTCTTCATTCCATAGTGGTAACTTTGATTGGCATGAATACCTTTAGTTATAAAGACTTAAGAGATTAAAAAACTGATAAAAAAAGGTCTGGCTGGCTCAATTTTTATCAAAGACCTGCCATCAACACCCCAAAAAAAAGGAAAATATAACAAAAGGCCATCACTAAAAATTTTTTACTCTGTAAACACAGGTTTTTTAACCTTAAACACAGTATGATTCTAAAACTTTTCAAACGACAGAAACCATTTTGTTCCCTTTCTAAAACCATCAAAGTCTGCCAAATGTTTTCTTGTATGCAATCTTATATTGGTTCACTAAGAGCATATAGGAAACATTCAAATTACTCACACTGCGTACAGATCTAGTAGCAACTTTCTGTAACATATTTATGATCTGTGTAAAGTATGAATATAATGATGCAAGCTTGAATCTTGTGAATACCTCAATCAGCTGAGTAATGGACAGGTTACCTCCTATGATAATTGTTGAGTCAACCTACAAAAATATTTAATGAGTTTGAATTGAAAATGGATTATTAAAGTGCTGTAAAAGCAGAAATTGGTAAAGTTTATTTCAATGTATTTGAATTATAATCAATGAATTAGAAACTCAGCTCAGAAAATTCATAATAACATATTACCCCTATTTGCATAAATATGGCAAAGTCCATTTTGCTAACTAAAAACAAAAAAATATAAATGGGTTCAAAAATAAATATGATGCCTACCCTTTAAGTATGGCATAGTCTATGTTATGCTATAGGAAACACTAAAAACAATTTCAATACATAAGTTGATAAGGGAGTGTAAAATAACACTATTTCACAGTGGTTATATTACTGGTAGAAGCACATAAAAGATGCCAATCCGATTATGAAGATCTGGCAAACCCCAAAATCAAACAGGTTGTGGACTATGCTATAAGGTAATGAATATTTTATGAATGTTAAAAGGAACAAGAATGCAATGTCATGCTTAGCATATCCCTACTCATAATTCAAAGTATCAGAAAACAAAAATAAGCGTCTGACAAATCCGAAAAACTCCCACAACACGTCCCTGTCAAGCTGGTGGCCAAATATGAAGTAATTCTGTTCAATGATATTGGAAAAATGTGTGACGAGAAATTTTAAGTTCATTCACCATATATACCTTATATTTGTCCATCATTGTTGGAAATTATAGAAGTTTCTGATAAATTTTGAGATTACAAGAGAAAATGTATGACGACACAAAGGAAAAGTGATTGTTGTTTGACGTCAATAGTTCAAGTGTCACAGATTCTTGGGTCGAGTGTTGCAGATTGCCAAATAGCAATAGGGTCTATCGAAAAGAATTTAAATATCGGCAAGCAGGAAGTAGGTAAATAGATAAAAAAGTGCTAACACGAAAGATACAAAAGTGATCATACCTTACAACTCATCACTTTCAAGCTCATGACCAAATATGAAGTCATTCATTTTAGTAGTAGAAAAATGTGACGAATATGTTTTCTGGAATGTGGGGGTAAAATTATGAAGGACAGAAAAACTAACAAATACACAGATGTATTGACAATCAAAGCGCTGTAAGCGCTGTAGGCAGTAAACCAAAAACCAAGGCAAACGTAATTATGAAAACTGTGGCAATGTTGCTTCAATTTTTTTTTAAGATTTGAAACAACAAACATTAAACATTCGTATATTGTACATTTATGTTCAATAAATGAATTGATTATTAAGGCAAATTAATTAATATTTCATCAAGGTTTTCAAAAGCAACTCATATATCAATGTAAATGACCCCCATCTTCATCCCCAAGTGCATGATGTGACTCCATACCTAGTTTGGAATAAAATGACAGGTGATTATAAAACAGTTGGTCAAACATTCTTTTGCTTTACACTGCTTGAAAGATTTAAATGTTTTCTTTAAAATGAGCCATAAATGAAAATTATGATAGGCCCAGAAATAATTTAATAAACAATTAAATTAAATTCAATAATCTAGACTCATTTTTTGCATCAAAATTTTTGTAACAGGATGCCGTTACGAAGTCTCCCAAACAAAGCCCCCATAATTCGTCATTCCCATGGTCTCCTGACATTGGGCAAAGTCCAGTTCATATTGGTTTGGTCTAGTAAAGTGATATGCATATGTGACACCAAGGAGATTGACCCTGTATGTCATTCAAATCTTTTTGAAATGATGAACAGGAATAAATATGGTTAGGTGTGGGTATCTCGACCGTTTACAAGTTCTCAAACAGGAGGGGTTGGGGTGACCCCAGGGACTCCCCTATATTTCATTTGATTTGTTATATTGTCCCATACATGAATACATATGGTTTAGGGGTGGGGATCTCGACCATTTCCAAGTTCTCAAACAGGAGGGGGTGGGGTGACCCCAGGGACTCCCCTATATTTCATTTGATTTGTTATATTGTCCCATACATGAATACATATGGTTTAAGGGTGGGGATCTCGACCATTTCCAAGATCTCAAACAGGAGGCGGTGGGGTGACCCCAGGGACTCCCCAAATATTTCATTTGATTTGTTATATTGTCCCATACATGAATATATATGGTTTAGGGGTGGGGATCTTGACTGTTTACAAGTTCTCAAACAAGAGGGGGTGGGGTGTCCCCATGGACTCCCCCTATATTTCATTTGATTTGTTTTATTGTCCCATACATTAATATATATGGTTTAGGGGTGGGGATCTCGACCATTTCCAAGTTATCAAACAGGAGGGGGTGGGGTGACCCGAGGAACTCCCCATATATTTCATTTGATTTGTTATATTGTCCCATACATGAATATATATGGTTTAGGGTTGGGGATCTTGACTGTTTACAAGTTCTCAAGCAGGAGGGGCGGGGGTGTCCCCAGGGACTCCCCCTATATTTCATTTGATTTGTTTTATTGTCCCATACATGAATGTATATGGTTTAGGGGTGGCGATCTCAACCATTTCCAAGTTCTCAAACAGGAGGGCTTGGGGTAACCCCAGGGACTCTCCCTATATTTCATTTGGTTTGTTATATTGTCCCATACATGAATATATATGGTTTAGGGGTGGGGATCTCGACCGTTTACAAGTTCTCAAACAGGAGGGGGTGGGGTGACCCCAAGGACTCACTCTATATTTCATTTTTGATTTGTTTTATTGTCCCATACATGAATATATAAGGTTTAGGGGTGGGGATCTCAACCATTTCCAAGTTCTCAAACAGGAGGGGGTGGGACGATACTGGGGACTCCCCCAAATTATTTTCATTTGATTTCTTTTATTGTCCCATTCAAGTATATATATATTAAGTGTGGGTATCTCGACCGTTTACAAGTTCTCAAACAGGAGGCAGTGGGGTGACCCCAGGGACTCCCCTATATTTCATTTGATTTGTTATATTGTCCCATACATGAATACATATGGTTTAGGGGTGGGGATCTCGACTGTTTACAAGTTCTCAAACAGGAGGGGGTGGGGTGACCCCATGGATCCCCCCTATATTTCATTTGATTTGTTTTATTGTCCCATACATGAATATATATGGTTTAGGGGTGGGGATCTCGACCATTTCCAAGTTATCAAACAGGAGGGGGGGGGTGACCCGAGGAACTCCCCATATATTTCATTTGACTTTTTATATTGTCCCATACATGAATATATATGGTTTAGGGGTGGGGATCTTGACTGTTAACAAGTTCTCAAACAGGAGGGGCGGGGGTGTCCCCAGGGACTCTCCCTATATTTCATTTGATTTGTTTTATTGTCCCATACATGAATGTATATGGTTTAGGGGTGGGGATCTCAACCATTTCCAAGTTCACAAACAGGAGGGGTTGGGTGACCCGAGGAACTCCCCATATATTTCATTTGATTTGTTATATTGTCCCATACATGAATATATATGGTTTAGGGGTGGGGATCTTGACTGTTTACAAGTTCTCAAACAGGAGGGGCGGGGGTGTCCCCAGGGACTCCCCCTATATTTCATTTGATTTGTTTTATTGTCCCATACATGAATGTATATGGTTTAGGGGTGGGGATCTCAACCATTTCCAGGTTCTCAAACAGGAGGGCTTTGGGTGACCCCAGGGACTCCCCCTATATTTCATTTGATTTGTTATATTGTCCCATACATGAATATATATGGTTTAGTGGTGGAGATCTCGACCGTTTACAAGTTCTCAAACAGAAGGGGGTGGGGTTACCCCAGGGACTCACTCTTTATTTCATTTTTGATTTGTTTTATTGTCCCATACATGAATATATAAGGTTTAGGGGTGGGGATCTTGACCATTTCCAAGTTCTCAAACAGGAGGGGGTGGGACGATACTGGGGACTCCCCAAATTATTTTCATTTGATTTCTTTTATTGTCCCATTCAAGTAAATATATATTAGGTGTGGGTATCTCGACCGTTTACAAGTTCTCAAACAGGAAGGGATTGGGTGACCCCAGGGACTCCCTTATATTTCATTTGATTTGTTATATTGTCCCATACATGAATACATATAGTTTAGGGGTGGGGATCTCGACTGTTTACAAGTTCTCAAACAGAAGGGGGTGGGGTGACCCCCATGGACTCCCCCTATATTTCATTTGATTTGTTTTATTGTCCCATACATGAATATATGGTTTAGGGGTGGGGATCTCGACCGTTTACAAGTTCTCAAACAGGAGGGGGTGGGGTGACCCCAGGGACTCACTCTATATTTCATTTTTGATTTGTTTTATTGTCCCATACATGAATATATATGGTTTAGGGGTGGGGATCTTGACTATTTCCAAGTTCTCAAACAGGAGGGGGTGGGACGGTACTGGGGACTCCCCCAAATTATTTTCATTTGATTTCTTTTATTGTCCCATTCAAGTATATATATTGTTTAGGGGTGGGGAACGCGACGGTTTACAAGATAAAAGTACATCTTCAAATTGAAGGGGGTTGGGATGACCCCCAGGGACTCACCCTATATTTTGGTTGATTTTTTGTATTGTCCTGTTCTCATTACTGAAGACTGCATGTGTCTATCACCTACTGAGTCATTTGAAAATTAAAAATATAAAAATCCCATAGGGTTCTATAGTAAACCCCTCCCTTCTTGAGGCCCCTCCAAATACCCCTAAATAGACCCCAATGCACAAACAAAAGATTAATGGCTCCGCTAGACATGTTAGTCTCATATTTTTATGAAACCCTAAGTAAATCTGACAAACGGTCAAAGTTGTCTTCTTAGACGGTTTGAGTGGATTCGGTCCGACTTGTCTCGGGGACGAGTTGTCCACATTACTTAAAACATCCCGACAACGTCGATTTCCGCATCTGTTTTCATGACCTCGTTTCATTCATAAAATAACAACAACCTTATTTGGCAATATAAGTTAGAAATTACCACCCACTTATATAACTTTATTTCCTCTATCATAGAGATTTGTTGTACATGAACAATATTCCTGCGCATTTTGCCATTTGGGAATTATAAACGACTTGTAATTACCGATTTTCGGCGATGAAATATTTCATACAATTGTTCTTTGACATCGTAGCCAAAAGCACAGGGGATAATAAACTACGTACGGATTTTTATTGAGCACTACTTCCTATGTGCAACTTCAAAAGTTTTGGGTAGTTCGACGATCATTTAAGGTTTTTCTGGTCATATTTTTTGTATTCCAGAAATAAAAGTATTAAAATAATGTCCAATTAGTTATAAATAACATAATAGCCAGCTAGATAATAACAATGGCACGTATTTCAGCATTTATTGGGTAGAACACAAATCTAGGGTGCTCGCATAAGGCAGCTTAACTGCCTAAAAATGATCTCTTTACAGCCTGGATTCACTATGAGGGCAATACAATAGGCAGAAGATACCAAACTAGCTGCATTCTTGGGGACAATGTGAAAATAGGGACATAACATTTGCACAGACCATCAAGGAAAATGTAAATTTTCTTCAATACAGATATGTTGGTACTAAAGTTGGTATTCAATATTGAATAACAAACAGAAATCTAATGTTTCAGTATAATTACTGTGGATTTATTATTATTTGTGGGATACCAATTATCATGGATGTTGTAAGTAAAAGTAAAACAAATATTTAAATTGTCAATGAAGTACACATTTTCTATAGGTTTGTATGCAGACTTTGGCAAAAACCACAAAAATCAAATATCCATGAAAATACAGTTTTTCCTCAATCCACAAAAAATAATGAATCCACAGTACTTCCTAAATAATAAATATAAAACTTACATCAAAGACAACACCATATAATTCTTTAATTCCTCTTAGGTCTAACAATATATCAAAATTTGCCATACCAAGATCTCTGTAATATACACCTATAACAAATGCAAAGCTAGCATAGGTCATAACAGAAACAGTAAAACACAGTAGCTTTTGGTGCTTTGTTTGCTTTAGCATTATTCATATAATACAGTTTATAGACATTACAAACCTAATAATACTATCCTATTTAAATCTTTATATACTTTATGTTTCTTGTTAAGATCTCATCTAAGTTTATAATGGCAAACCAGGAAATATTTATAAAAAAAAAATTTTTCCTATTATTTTTGTGATGCCATCATGGAGGCTCATCTGTGAAAATTCAAATATGTGAAATCTAACAACTATAAATTATTTTAATAGCCAAAAGAATATTGAGAAAACAGAAAAAAGAAGTTTTGGTATTTACAATACATGTGGAAATAAATTGCTGACACATTTGTCTTAAAGATCTGTATGTGGCAAGGCTAGCACAGGAGATCACATAACAATATGGAGTATACATGAGTAACTACCGGTATAGAATTTTTATTTTAAGTTTTGTTTCATCTATTTAAAATTAAACTACCTTAATTTTTTTCAGTTCAAATTTATCTAATAGCAGTTTACAAAAAAAGTGAAAAGGAGGAATTTCACAAATAAACACACACAGAAACATAAGACTACTTGTTGATTATCTTAAATACATATACTACATTTTACCAATAATACAAAATAAAATAATTTCCAGTACATTTAGTTCATATGTAATAGATACCTGATCCAGTATTGCCAAATACTAATCTAACTTTCTTTCCTTGATTGTCTGAAATGATCTTGAATAGTTGATTCAAGGCCGTTGGCCTGTACCATACTGCATCAGCACCAATCACCTGTAGTTGTTGTCCCATCTGAGGGTGACATTTACCATGGCAACGCTGTCCTGTTTTAGCACAAAAACTCCTACCTAATTCCTATGCAAAAAAGTCAAAATTAGGATTATAAAAACTTCAAATGATAATAAACATTTTATGACTTCTATACTACATGTATATTACTGTATATGGTGTTAAGTATGCAATAGTACCAATTGTATTTACGTTTGAATGTTTGTATTCACTTACAACATTTGAGGTCTTTTAAATTAAATAAAAAATTAAACTTGAAATAGGAACCAACAAAAATAAAAAAATCAACAATTACCATGAACAAGAACCAAGTAGTAGTACAGCAGTGTGATCAAGTCTTGTTTTTTCGATTCTTTTTGTTAATAATTTGATAGGGCTGGTTTCTTTGGTTACTGTTGAAGCCATGCAATGACCAGTAGATATATTTATTCAGTTTCACAACCACATTATAATAAAGAGCTGCTCCATGAGCGCATGATGCGCCAGTCTCTTTTTCAAAGAATAAAGTTCCACAACTCCTCAATGTCATATCAGAAATTTATAAAAAAAACTAAAGGGAGTTTATTTTAATAGATATAAACCAGTCACTAAAGTTTCATGAAAACTGCTCAAAGCACTTATGAGTTATTGTCCGAAAACTGGAAAATCAACCCTTTTTTATGAATAAAATCCCATAACTCGGAAACTCCGATGGAACTTTCCAACTAGTTTGTTTATTCTGAGTGCAATCGAAAAGTTCTGGAAAAAGAAGCTAGTTGAAAAGTCCTGGAACAATGTAGCTAGTTGAATAGTTAATCGAAACCCTAACCCTAACCTAACCCTAACCCTAACCCTAACCTAACCCTAACCCTAACCCTAACCCTAACCCTAACCCTAACCCTAACCCTAACCCTAACAAAGAGGAACTTTGTGACTAGTTGATAAGTTCCGTTTGACTTTTGTGGCTAGTATCTTTGTTCCCCTTTGAAAAGGTTCAAAGATAATATGTTGCGCTTTTATTTTGCATCAATTCTCCAAATGGAACTTTGTGACTGGTTGATAAGTTCCGTTGGAACTTTTGGGCTAGTTTGTTAGTTCCGGTTTTGACTTATTTGCCAAAGAGGAACTTTATGGCTAGTTGATAAGTTCCTATTGACTTTTGTAATCAGTATCTTGGTTTCCCTTTGAAAGGTACATATATAATATGTTGCGCTTTTACTTTGCATCAATTCTCCAAATGGAAGGAACTTTCTGTCTAGTTGATAAGTTCCTTTGGAACTTTTGGGCTAGTTTGTTAGTTCCGGTTTTGACTAATTTGGCAAAAAGGAACTTTTTAACTAGTTGACATGTTCTATGGCTCGCCTGAACCACTTTTACAGATAATCCTAGATTATCTCAGATAAACTAGAGGATTATCTCACTATTTTACATTAAGCTCAGATAAACCTGGAATATCTCGAATTTTAAGATAAACCGGGATTTTCTCAGCTTAATGCATATTTGAGATAATTCATTATATTCCTCACAAAATTAGATAAAAAATTAACTGGAGAAAATCCGGGATTATCTGAAAATTCTGAGATAATCCGGGATTATCTGAGAATTTTGAGAAAATCGATTAACTGAAAAAAAGTAGCCAATAGAAAGCCACGACACATTGGAGGAAAATTTCATGGTCATAAGGGATAAGATATAGATACAATGGTGCATCTACACAGATAGAGAAGAATGAAAGATTACGCTCTTACGGGAAACGTTTTAGAAGTTTTAAATTTCCAAATTTGATAAAAATAACAATTGATTTATTCAGGATGTACATGTATGACAAGTGTATCGATAATAATGAAGATCAGAGGGATCTAGAATTTAGAAGTTTGTCTTGAGAGGTTTTTTTAAGAGAATTTGAAAGTTATATCCGTATTTGTCTTTATGAAGATAATGAAATATGTTACATAAATCTGGCATCTGCACAATTAACTAGGACAAATAACTAAAATGTTGAAATAAGTTAAGCAAAGTTGAAATACGCCATTTCGAAGTTCTAATAAGTTTCCTTTTAGAAAGTTATAATCTTTAAAAAAAAAATATCACGCACCGTTTTTCTTTCCTTAATTTTCCCTATTAAAAGAGTAAAATATGATGCAGGAATTTATCATCCATTTATTACAAAGTGTTACATTTTAGTACTTACTTAGTAAGTTGTATAAAGTGTTTGTTGTCAATTAGATAATCTAATCATGATAATGACAAATGCCCAATACCTGAAATATTTATTACCTTACAACTCTATTATATTGTTAATCAGTTTGTTTTTTAACGATACGTGGCCAATGCATAATTAACCTTTAAACAAACGCTGTTAAAACAGGGTTTTGATCCCTGAAGGACGCCACACTTTGCAATGAATTAGATCTATATTTGTTAACATTTTCAAATTAAATAAACTGAATGGATTTCTTAAAATTCTCAAATGGCTTTAATATTATTACAAACAAAACGAAACGTTTATTTAACATTTTTTGCAACTTTTATCTTTATTTTTGTTCTAAGAAAACCTTTCTTGCTTGGTTAACTAGTATGTGTTGATTACCTTCACTAATTACTAAAGATCAGACGACCTAATTAAGGATTCGTATAGACCTAATCAACATGATAATTGGTATCGAATATGATCATCGGTCATGCATGACATATTCCAAATAAAGGCGCGTGTTAATAAACACTTCAATAACTACTGAAATATTCAATTAATTTTATTCAAACAAAAATATTAAGATAAAAATCAGACGCATACCCTCAACGCCCACTGAAATATCTATTACATGTCCTGAGTGCACTCAGGAGGCCCTGAGCGGTTTTAAAACGTACCGCAAAATTATTACTTAAAATAATTTTTGTTGACTGTTAAATGAAATACATTTCAATTCATGGAGTGTCAGTGAGTTATAATATATTTTACAAATGAGGGCCCAACTTTGGTAGTCCAACTTGAACACATTGAGTGATCATATATATGCAATCAGGAACAGATGTATCCACGAAATTATATTAACATTTTATGAACTTGCCTGCTTAAATAAATCATGTTTTAGTTATAACATACACTTTTAATGTGGTATTATTTATAAATCAATGTTTAAAATTCACATATATGTGCTAAGATTAAAACTTCATGTAATATTTTAATACTTTATTCTTGTAAAATTTTTCATTAATAAATACTGTTTAAACTAAGTTTAAAATTTCATGTGTCATACGGTCATTCCAAGTGTCATTCGGTCATTCGTGTTACCTATCTCCAGTACTTCTCTATGGATAAGAGCTAAAACTACCAAAAACAAGTTCACCAGAATTAATCGAAAACTTCAAGAAAAAGCTACCTATAAGCTTATACTCTCATTACCAACTTATGTAGCAGATGTTACTATCAACATCCTAAACGGAATGCTACCAGTAGAAGCCCAACTACATATCCGAGTACTTGGACTATTGAACAACATCTGTAATCAGCCCGAAAAAAGCTTAGATAAATTGCTAGCTGACGACAACTTAAACTGAAAAATAGCCAAAGTTCTAGTTGCGTGTAGCTATAAAACATATGCCCAAGAAGTACGATCTACAAAATGGTACATGGACAACACCGTCAAAAAAATATTATGGCCCTCCAACATCAAGAAAACAGTACAGAGCTACTAGTCTAAGAGTAACTTCAGTAAATAGCAACACTGTATTCTAGCTTCGAAGGCCGTACGGTGACCTATAGTTGTTAGTTTAAACATATTTTATTGTTCAAAAATGACAAATGGATTAGACACAAGTTTTTCAACTTAGTAACACCTTCTCCTATTGTTGTCAATTTCTGTGTCATTTGGTCACTTGTGAAGAGTTGTCTCATTGGCAATCATACCACATCTTCTTTTTAATTTCCAAAACGAAGAGTGTAAAAAAAAAAGCAAATATGCAAACATACAGACTGATTTATATTTACAACAAAAACAAAATGAAATACAGGAACAAAGACTCAATGACACAATATGTCATGACGGAGGAAAGCACATGCATTTTTGGAAGGGGCTAAAAAAAGGTCTAGTGCCAAACCATACCTTAAACTGAAACTGTACACATGGGATAAGACCGAAGTCAGAACTTAAAGTAAAAATTTGTTGAAAAAGGTCCAGGGTACCGTTTCACAAAGCCTTCGTAAGTGGGGGGGTAGGACCTTTATCGGGACTCCGGGATCGAGTGTTTTTAAGCTCGGGATTTCGGGATTGATCCTTTCGGGATCCAGGAATTCTTTTTTCGAATTTCGGGATGTCGGGATTTAAATTTTTTTAAATTCGGGACCTCGGGATTCCATGATTTTAAGCCCGGGATTTCGGGATCAGGACCCCTCCTACCCCCCTCATAAGTCTACGTGTCATCGTAAACAAATCGTAGGTTTAACAGCCGTTTCACAAAGCCGTTGTAAGTTAAGAATAGCGTAAATAATACGTAAGTCCTGGCGTAACTTACTACAGATATACCAAGTCGTTACCTCGATCGTAGTTTTTCCACGAATATGAATTAAAACATATCTAAGATGGCTTTATTCTTGATCAAGATGCCGCAAATGTTAGAAGACGAAGAAGAATCTTCAATATTAGAACCACACTTTCTTCGTTTGATCATTTTGAAAATGAAATGGATATTATATCCAGATACAGACTGGATAGACACAGTATCAATGAAATAACATTGGCATTAGAACCAGATATAAAACATGATACAAATAGGTCCCATGCACTTACTCCTGAAACGCAGGTTTTGTTAGCTTTGCGCTACTCACTGGTTCTCCGGTAAAGCGCCCATTTTTTAACGCTGATTTGTCCCACAGTAATAAAGCAAAACTAACGACTTCGAGTTATATACCCGTAGCTTGTTATACTTATATCTGAGATTTTTATATTTCTTTATTATCTATATTTTTAATTTTTATAAAGTTTAGTACATATTGCACAACGATAGTGATCGTACCGGCCGTCATAATGTTTTCTTCGTACACCTGTAATTCCCGTTAACGGATAGAAGACCAAGCAAGACTAAATATT